TTTGATGCTGACAGGCTTAAACCCGAATGTAGATCTTTGCTTTATACGGAGTAGGCATGACCCTTGTTGAAAAGCAAATTTCGATTCTCGACGCGTCCGAAAGTAGCATCCGGAGATGAACGCTCCCACATCATTATTGTCTCTCATATTGTTATAATCACGAAGTGAAGTGATTTTGAAAAGTGCTTTAGTTTAAGAAGACAACATCTGAACATGCGGGGTCTTTAACATTGTTCAACGATGGATCTGGTGGAAGGAATATCTTGTTACTTTGTCGGCTGAAAAGAAAGTAGGTCGACCACGGAAGAGATTAGATCTCTCAGTGGCATGACAGGTGATCATCGGCCCGCAGGTCCGGTGGATTTGAACAATTGATATACAGGACTAACGATATTTGCCGCATGAACCGCCGTCTGCCGCCTAAAAATCCTACCAGGCAGGCACCTCGGAGCAGCGCGTTGCCGAAAAAGAAATTAGGTGTGTGAGAATCTCAACATTGATGATCTCTGCCTACTCGAGCGTGGTGGTTCCTTGGCGCCTGTCTTGGCCTGGTCTTAACCGAAGGTGTTGCGGGCTGCCCCAAGATCAAAAGATCAATTGCCGCTCTGATAAGATTGAATTTCCATGGCATCCAATCCAAGGTAAGGTGAGACTCTAAAATTTACGTCAAAGGTTTGATCTATATGATATGTGGATTGACCTTAATCCTCGAAGCGGTAACGGACCTCTTAGTAATTTGACGCACATCCAGCCCCATGAACTTGTTTGAATGGACTGTCCGCCAAGTAGACCACGTCTTGTTTGATTAGCGACATCGGATTTATTCGCGCAATCCCCGATGCTGTAACGCCTAGTGCCGAACTTGAAGGCCTTGAACGCCGGATCATTTCGGTTGTCTCTTTCCAGTATGCTGGCCGTCCTGATATTGTCGGTTAGAGTGACCTACAGCCATAACTTCCGAATTTGATGCACAAGCTAATCAGTGAGGGGGTTGTTAGAAGGGTGTCGGATGTTGCCGTCTCTTTTGGGCAGCTTACGGATGGCCAGTGGGGCCAAACTCTCACAGCACACTAGGGCCAGTTGAATATTGCTGATTGGACCAGAATATTATCAGATCATCTGATAGGAGGTGGTTCAATCTCGCTTTGGTATGCGGAAAGACCCTGAAATTTCCCCTACATAATTTCTTCAACTGCCCTGTGCATTTCTGCCGGGTCTTTGAAACAAATTTTTCGAAACATATCTCATCGATCAACCAGAATTTGTCTTTCTGTTGGATTATGGAGAAGACAACTGCTGTTGACCAGGTCATACCGGCCAGCGGCATCAATCATGATGCCGAGAGAGCCATGGAGTTAGACCAGGCCCGGAATGACCGCTCTGATGATAAGGTCGGCATTTCTGATGCAGATTCAGCTGAGTTCCAGGGTGGTGTCCAGCGAGTGCGAGCCATCACCGCCTCTTGGTCTACCGAAACACTCATTCTGATGTTTATTCTGTAAGTCTGAATCCTCGATTTCGGGAAATCCTCACTTGGTCTTCTATCTTCTACCTAGACAAGATCTAATCTTATTTGGGCATACAGACTCTACCTCGTGTCGTTCGTCGATGCGCTCTTATCCTCGGTCCAGAGTTCTCTGAATCCTTACATTACTTCATCGTTCGAGAGTCATGGTCTACTCCCGGTTGTTAGCGTTGTTTCTACCATTCTAGGTGGTTCTTCCAAACTTACTCTGGCCAAGATCATCGACATCTGGGGTCGTGTAGAGGGATTTTTGTTCATGCTTCTCATCATCGTTGTCGGCCTGATCATGAAGGCTACGTGTACAAGCATGGAGATGTATACCGCGGCACACACTCTATACTGGGTGGGTCACATCGGTATAACTTATGTCGTTGAAATCATGTTGGCCGACATGACCACTCTGAAAAACCGTATGATCATGCTCGGTATCAACGGCACACCAGGTATTGCTACCACATTTGCCGGTCCCAAAATCGCGGCTCTTTTTTATGCCAATCTCAACTTCCGTTGGGCATTTGGTGCCTTTTGTATCATACTGGTCGGAGTTTGTATCCCCGTGGCTGTTGTGATGCTATTTATGCAGCGCAAGGCCGAGAAAACCGGCATGTTGCAAAATGAGCGTTCTGGGCGGTCATGGTGGCAATCAATTTCTCATTACTTTGTTCAATTCGATGGTGCGTATCACAAATCTAATTTTGGCGTCAGGCTCACGCTAATAATTGACCATTGTACAGTGATTGGAATCATCTTGATCACCGCAGTTTTTTCTCTTATCCTACTCCCCTTCAGCATTGATTCGTATGCCCCGAAAGGCTGGGCAAGTGGATATATCATCGCCATGGAAGCCCTGGGCGTTGCTTGTATTCCTGCATTCTATTTTTGGGAGAGATACTTTTCGCCCGTCCAGTTCCTCCCTTGGAAGTATTTGAAGGAACCAACAATCATTGGCTCATCGCTACTTTACGGCGTTATGTTCATCTCAACCTAGTAAGTCCTTCATATTTACCCGAGCCAAAGCAACGCACTGACAATAAATAAGTACATGGAACACCTACTTCGGCTCCTACCTCCAAGTTGTCAACAGACTGGATATCACCACCGCCAATTACGTGCTGAACGCTTACTCCCTAACATCGTTCATCTTCAGTCCCATTTTCGGCCTGTAGTTATCACCCTTGTAGGTTCCTTGGACCAAACGCTAATATGACCAGGTTGATCCGCTTCACTGGAGAGTTCCGATGGACCGCAATGGCCGGAATCCCAATCTTCCTTCTAGGCACCGGCCTCCTGATTCCCTACCGCCAACCCGGCACCGGCGTCGGCACCTTAACAATGACACAAATTCTTGTCGGACTGGGCTCTTGTATTTTCACCGTGTGTGGCCAGATCGCCATCATGGCAAGTGTCAGTCACCAAGAAGTTGCGGTTGTCATGGCCATCTGGGGCCTTTTTGGCTCTATCGGTGCAGCCGTCGGTTCTGCAGTCGCTGGTGGCATGTGGAATAACATGTTGGAGAAGGAACTGTTCAACAGACTCCCTGAAGACGCCAAGAGCCAGGCCGCAAGCATCTACGCCAATTTGGTGACGCAGATGTCGTACGCAGATGAAACTCCGGAGCGGAACGCTATTGTTGGCGCTTACGGTGATGTCCAGCGGAGGATGGTTATCGTTGGAGTCTGCATCACTCCTCTGTGCATTCTTTGCACTTGTTTCTGGCGCAACGTCAATGTGAAGAAGCTCTTCAAGGAGCAGACTTCCGGAACTATCTGGTAGAGGGAATTACTCACATAGAAAGGTGTAATGGGAGACCTGCGAGACGGTGATGGATAGATCTCTGATCGTTGTTTTGATTCAAATTTTTCATGTCAGATCCTGAAGGTGATACTCAAGGTGAATGAATAACAAGATTGTCAATTCATAGTCATGGTTAAATGCTCTCATTTATAAATTCCACTTATATTTGTCGATTTCTAAATTCGACAATTTCCCCTTTACATTCTACTAGTTTCCAAAATAGACATAAACGGCGTCGAGCGGATTTGCTTACAGTAAGCTCTAGGTGCACAGAGAGGCAAACCATTGGTATTATCAATACCAATATCCATGATCTTTGGGCAATGAGCGCAAAGTACGACTATATTCTAGGTATCCCTCCGGGTGCTCCTTAAGAGCAACCAAATTTGCCTCATACTCCCCTAGATTGAATATTCGCTGCTCTTCCTCGGTTCCCTCCCTCCTCCCTTTCCAATGGTATTCACCCGCATAGTCTACCATTCTGTGAATTATGAGTTCATGCAGAAAGGACCCGCCGCAAAAAGGATAATCCACTTTCTCGGCCTGTGGATAGAGGCGCCGAAGCGCAAATGCGGGATATATACCGTTACCCCAGGGTACTGAAACTCCAACTTTGACCGAAACATTATCCGAGATTTCTTTCAGATGCAGGCGCCAGTTGTAATAGTCCCAATTTTCCTCTGGAATATCCCAGTCTTCGTGTGTAACTGGACATAATAAGCCTGTAAAATGCCGAAGAACACCCCAACGATCTATGCCACAGAACTGACGATTCTGACACTCTGCTAATACTGCCACGACATCTCCTAACAGGAGAGAGCCGCTAGTAGATTCCATGATGTAATTACTATCAAGATCATTAGCCAGGGATATTCAAGATAAAGGGAGAATTTACTATGACTGATCACTGGAATAGTCACTAAAACACTCAACCTCTATGCATCGGCAGGGAGGCTGTGTGGCTAGCATAGTGGTCCATGATCCAGGTTTATCATAGATGCGCTTTGTCAAATCGAAATCTCCTTGCTCTTGCTCCGGAGGGTCGGTATATATCTGTGTTGAGATGCCTAGCCTATGAAACGCAGGATTCAATTTGAATGTTTGCGGACTATCCGGCTGTTGACGAAAACCTTTGTCGTGAGGTCGATACCAGCAGGCTTGCTGAAGTGCGGGAGAATTTTGAATAACGTTTTTCCATCCGCGGCAAACTCGTTGCGCCCGAATTACTTCGTCGAGGGAATTCAATTGCAGGATTATGTGCTCAAGGATCTCACATATACCAAGCGCACGCTCAATAGACGACTCCATTTTAAGAATTTCGCAAGTTTTCGCTTTGATTGTTTTCAGGCTGCACGTGAGGCTTTTGCAATTGAAGGGAAATGCAGGTTATGGGCGAACTTCTAAAATCTCTACACACACTAAAGTGAGTCAGAATCTTCTTGATTACGATTCACCATCGTACTAAAAGTCTGCCAAGAATAGGGCAAGACATAGAGTAGCCATAATAGGTGTAGCGTATTATGGAAGATGATACTCGACAGTATGGAAAATGTCTTGGCTTCCAAATTTCCGCAATTTCCAGATAAAGCGGAGATTTGTCTAAAATTTATTCGTAATTATTCACATATATGACCTTTTCACTTAATGACAATCGGTCAAGTGCCTGCTTCTCAAACATCCACTATACCCTGCCAAGGAGACCTTGAGCGGTTGTAGTCTTGGTCGCAAGAGCAATTAATCCTCCCACTACAGACATTGCTCCACTGAAGATCGAAACCTCCAAAAATCCGCCATACTTGTTGAGCAGCGCACCATTGACTGGAGGCCCGATCAAAGCAGCAAGAGAGGCAACCCCCATTCCCGTGCCCAAGTATGTTCCGATAGCCCGAGGATCTAGGATAACAATTGAAAATGCGGCAGAGGAACCAGATATGATTGTTCCCGACCAAAACCCAAAAGCGATCGAATACACGATCAGAGCCGGGGTTGATTCAGCCTTGTTCATGCAAAAAATGATGATCCCGGTGAGGATACCGCCCATGCTCAGAACGTTCAATCGACCAAACCTATCTGCCAGAACACCCGGGATGACACGCCCAAAGGTCGAAGCAGCGTTGAGAATTGCGAGTAGATACGAGGCAAGAGTTGCATCCATCCCTCTTGATACCGCGTATGTTGGGATGTAGAAAAGTGGAGTGAACAGTCCGAGAAACATGAAGAAGATTGCGGTGACCAGGAGTGAAAAATTGGGACTTTTGAATGCCGATACAAGGAAGAATGTTGTTTTGCGTGGTGGGAGTCGAGATTTGACAGCGAGGCATGAGAAGACCAGGAGTGGAGTGATCACGAACCCGATGATCCGAACTGACCATCCGAACCCAAGGGATGTGCTGTTCAGCATCTTCGACAGGGCTATAGGGATCACTACACCACCTATGGAGGATCCAGAAACTGCCGCTCCCAAAGCAGCGGCGATATTCTTGTCGAAATGTTGGATAACTGCTGCCATTGCTGGGAATTGCAAAAGACCCATGGAAGTGCCCAGAAGAACACCTTGCGCGAGCATGAACTGCCAGTATTGCTTGCATAGACTTGTCATCATCATAGCAAAAAGATACATTATTGCGGCCGGCCGAATAACCTTTTTCTGTGTCAGTACCCATGGTCTCACCAGCCTTCACGACTTGAAGATCGAAGAACATACCCAAGCTCCATATCGATCAAACAACGGTCCCCCGAGAGCACCTGCCGCGAATTGAAGAAAGGCTGCCAGGGACCCAATCCATGCAACCTTATCCGCGGACTCATTTTTCAGTTGGTGTGAAAGATAGTATTCCTCAAATATGCCAAATGAGTTGGCGAACCCTAATGCCGAGAAGAAGATGCATGCAGTTCCTGCTGTAACAAGCCATGCCTGGAGACCACCATCCGGTGCTTTTTCAATAACTTCCTTCTCGCTGCTCTCCGTCGAGGGGATAGGATCAGTAGCAACTTCCTGCGTAGCCTCGATGTCGGATTCGTTAGCACTCATGCTTAATATATATTGAGCTGATGTCAAAAGAGATAAGAAAGTTGATATCAAGATGGTATTGTGGATACCCTATTTATTATTCAGGACCTACTACTGAAATGAGAGAGAATCGTGCATCTTTATAAGCCTCCAAGATACTAAAGGCCGTTTCTCTAAATTGTATACATATCACCGATCGTGAGGCGGAGAATTGCAGACGAGACGGACCAAAGGCGCAATTCCCGAGAATGTAAGACGGAGAATCCGCGGTGGTGGGGAAGGAGTCATCTCTAGCCCCCTGCCGGTTTTTCACCGATGAATATATTCATTTGGGGTCTTTCCCTTTTTGTGCGTTCAAATATGACTCAATCATGGATGATGGAAGCCCACTGTTGAGCGCGATGTCGACGTCCGGACTGAATCCTCGGCGTAGAAGGCCGCCTGTGTAAGTGCCAAGCCACGACTCATAGTTTCGCGCTAACATTGAGAAAAGGTCATGTACGCTTTGCAGGCGGAGAAAGATCAAATGCAACAGAGAGGCACCCTGCAGTAATTGTCTTCGAGCTAAGAATAAGAGTTGCATCTATGAGAATTCAGCTCAACCGCTTCGGCGGCTTGGTAATGAACCAACGTTTCAGCTGAATTCAGCCCAGGAATATCACGAACCTCAAAACTCGTTTTCTGTGTGGCGATCTTCAGCCCCAACTCAAGAGCGTACGCCACAGACTGGGTTGTCGCAACCCACAGCTACCAGCTCAATCGCAGCTTCAACTCCATCCAGCCACTCATCTACTCGAGAGGTTGAGTTCCTCAGGAGCAAGATCAGAGAACTTGAGGAGCAACTATCCAAGGCAGCAGGAACCCCAACCCAGTCCACTGCTCCTACTCCAACCTCCGACATTGAAACCACGACTTCTCAATTAGCGGGCACTTTCCACGTTCATAATGAGAACCTCCCTTCTAACCATGGAGAAAGCCAGGTCATTAGCCGCACTTTTTGGCATAAAACGCGACTGTATGGTCAGAGTCATTGGATTGGGGGCATCTCATTGGTAGATCGCTTTTATTGTCCAAATCATGAATTCTTGACTGACCAAGTATTAGCTTCGTGAACTGGCTGAGTCAATTGAGCCATACCTTTTAAAAGAGGGATCTAAAGCTGTGTCTGGCTTGCAAAAATGTAAATATCTGGGCAAGATGATCAAATCACAGCGTGCTCCTCAATGGCCAGTACCAGTTACGCCAGATCTGCCTACAAGAGATGTTTGTGACACTCTTGTTGATTGTTACCTCCGAACTGTGGAAAGAATTTACCGGGTCGTGCATATCCCGACATTCAGAAAAGAATACGCAAAGATATGGCCGTCAGAAACCCAACCTGATGCAATGTTTCTGGTTCAGCTCAAGCTCGTGCTTGCTATTGGAACGATTACCTATGATGAAGATTTCTCGCTACGTTCTTGGGCTACGCACTCGATTTATGAGGCTCAAACATGGGCCTCCGAGCCAGAATTCAAGTCCCGACTTGCCATTCCATTTTTGCAGATTCAGATCCTGCTACTAATAGCTCGAGAACTCATTGGCGTGGACGGAAGGATGGTCTGGGTGTCAGCTGGAGCATTGATGCGAACGGCTATGTATATGGGGCTGCACCGAGATCCCGCATGTATACCAAAAATGTCTAGATATGCGTCGGAGATGCGCCGAAGGTTGTGGAACACCATTCTGGAAATATGTCTGCAGTCCAGTATGGAGTCCGGAGGTCTTCCACTCATCTCTGTGGATGACTTTGACACAGAGGCACCGGGAAACTTTGAGGACGACCAGCTTGAGATGGAGGATTGCACCTCTCATCCAGAGAGCAAATTCACCTCGGTCTCAATAGCGATCGCGCTCCGAAAGATGTTTCCGATTCGTCTTGCCATTGCAAAGTCTCTCAACGATGTGCGTTGCCAAAGCTCTTATGAAGAAACGCTTCGCCTTGACGCAAAACTCAGATCTTGTTACAAAGAGATGTGCCGGACTCTTCGCGAGTATATCTCGAGATCCGCGCAAAATTCGCTTTCAAGATTTGAGCTTCTTGTGCTGGACTTCATTATGCGTCGGTATCTCTTGTCTATTCATATCCCTTTCTTTGGCCCGTCCTTGCATGAGACAGCCTATGCCTTTTCTCGAAATGTCGTCGTTGAAACTGCGCTCAAACTATTTACCTCGGCCCACAGATCTCATGCTTCGCGCGCGGGATCGTCATTGAATACGGACAAGTCACCTGGCGAAACTGAGTTCTCCCGGCTGGTGGTAAACGGATCTGGTTTCTTCCGCACAGCGCCCATGAACGCATGTTTCCTAATATCAGTTGAGATAAGAACAAGGATAGAGGAAGAGGAGAGCTTGGATGTCTTGAATATACGGCCTGACCTGCTGGCAGTAATGCATGACGCGAAAGCCTTGAACTTGCGATGTATAGAGGTTGGAGAAACAAACACCAAGGGCTACTTGTTCATGTCTCTCGCCCTAGCACAAATTGATGCTCTAAGGCGAGGCGCCACGAAAGAGGAGACTCCATTGTTACTAATAAAAGCTGCTGAAGATGCGGAAGAGGATTGCTTATCAATTCTAGAGCATTTTGCAGCCAAGGGTCAGAATGAGAAAAACGGAGATGGGCTTGATTCTTCCTCTACAAATCCACTTCCTGAAATGGTAGGAGATTGGGACTTCATGGTTAGTGGAAATTTCATTCCTTCATTTTTGCCCCACTGACTCATTTAGATGGCTGATGATAATTTGGACTTTCCGGATCTCGAACCCGTGAGCTGGATGATGAGTGGAATACCATATGGGATCCCCTAAATAAGCCCGACACTTTTTTCGAAATCCCGTGGCAGGTCTCTTCATCTACCAAAGAAGCAATACTGGCTCCATAGTTTGGGATCTACGCGATCAGCTGGATATATGAGTTCTGCAATCCGACTCTAGAAGTGTCTCGATCCTTATCTAGATATCGTGGAAGAGAATTCCGATGAGGAATCACGGAAATCGAAAAATGACTCACGAGTGGCAAGAATGGCTCTAATTTCCGTTTGATGCAATGTGCCAAGTAACACCTGCAATCCGATTTGAAGCGATTGCCGACCATGGTTCGTAGGTAAATGAAGGGATACTACGACATACCTCGGGCAAGTCTCCGTTAGCTCATAGCCACCGCACCATGAAAACCTGAGAACTTCAAATCTAAGAGAAAGCTGTCGACTGAGCAGAACTCTGATCTTTGAATGTTATTTGATTTGAAAGCCCGTGTCTCGATGTTGGCGAAACAGTGAACTCAGTCGACTTCTTCATGTCAGCAGCCTTTTCCATCAGCAGTTTCAACAAGGACTCGGATCCAGAAAAAGCAAATTCATCAGAGGACAGGCAGGATGCGCCACGGAGCAGTCTGCAGGACTCGGATCCAGACAAAGCAAATTCATCCGAGGATAAGCATGATGCGCCACAGAGCAGTCCGCAGCAACAACAGCCAGCGCTTCATGTCCGATTTCGATGCGATGGGACGCCACAAGAAATCGGGCGTAACCCGCCTGCAGAAAGCCCACAACAAGAATGGGCACACTCTCAGCGGCAGGGAGAAGCTCACAGACCGACAGCTCCGTATGCGCACGAGTCGGAAGATATCGCCGACACCCCACAGCAAGATCGTGCTCTTGAATCCGGCCAGCCTCAGGGCGCCCGAGGTCTCGACACCATAAATAACGCAACAAAAGCAGAAAACGAGAAGGAAGAGCCTGAAGTCCCTCAACGAAAAGGACTGAAAGAGCGATGGCGATATGCAACGCAAACCCTCAGAATGAAAGCCGGCATGTTGGGAGATCGCATGGGTCGCCCAGCGTCGGAGGGGGATGATCTATCATCGGGGAAATACAGAGCCGACTGGGCAACTGGGGGCGCCCCTGCGCTATCAGACTTCACAGATGATAAACACAAGTCTGATGAAGAAAAGTTAGGAAATCAAGCAGCTAGCAGCTCTGAGGCACACCGTCTTGTGCGAGATTTGACCCAGGACCATTCCCAGAAACGTCGGAAAGGACGCGGAAGACCATATCCACATGCTGGCACCGAATTCCAAGACGAGGAAAACCCTACTGGTGCAGATGCAAGCTTGCGATATCGGTCTGGAGGCGGTGGCATCCTGTCGCAGTTGATAAAATTGAATGGCGGCCAGCAAGCTGGCCAGCAACAAGATGTTGGAACCGTATCTCGGAGATCTACCGACTCCTCGGTTGCCTCATCAACGAGTACAGCATCTGGAACTCCAAAAAAAGGTAAACCACCAAAGTGGTACAAAAAGCCTGCAAACACTTCGACGTCGACGCTGATCGGTGGCGGCGAGGGGGCTTATAGCGGTGCAAGCACGCCCGTTTCCAGCGAAGTTCTATCTGCAGCCTCAAAGCGACGCGGCCAGGGAGGTGGCGGTGATAAGCCGGGTTCAAATATGCGACTCGAGGATGAAATCCGAGTGACGATCCACATTGCTGAGATCATCTGTCGCCAGCGGTATATCATACAGCTCTGTCGGTGTTTAATGTCTTTCGGAGCGCCCACCCATAGACTGGAGGAATATATGCAAATGACTTCCAAGGTGCTTGAGGTCGACAGCCAGTTTCTTTACTTGCCAGGCTGCATGGTCATGTCATTCGATGATCCGTCTACTCGCACGACAGAAGTGAAACTTGTCCGTGTGGCCCAGGGTGTTGATCTGGCCCGTCTATCAGAAACTCACCTCATCTACAAAAATGTGATTCATGACGTGATCGGTATAGAGGAAGCAGTACAGGAACTGGACAGTATCATGAAGAAAAGCCCTCGTTATCCTAAATGGATGATTGTGTTGGTTTACGGCCTGGCCACTGCTACTGTGGGACCATTTGCTTTTAATGCCAGACCAATCGACATGCCGATCATCTTTATCAATGGTCTTCTTGTTGGACTAATGCAGCATGTTGCTGCGCCTCGGTCGGTACTATATTCTAACGTCTTCGAAGTCACATCGACTGTCTTGACGTCGTTCCTGGCTCGAGCCTTCGGCAGCATTCCACGTGCTGTTGTGGATGGCAAGCGAGAATATATCTTTTGTTTTTCCGCCATTGCACAAGCCTCTATCGCATTGATACTACCGGGATTCCTAGTACTCTGTGCTAGCCTGGAACTTCAATCTCATCAAATTATCGCCGGGTCAATCCGCATGGTATATGCGCTCCTGTTTTCCTTGTTCATCGGCTATGGAATCACCGTTGGCACAACAGTCTACGGTCTTATGGATAACGGCGCCGTATCTGAAACGTCGTGCTCAAAACAAGGGGCTTTTCAAAACCCCTATGTCCAACGGTTTCCGTTCGTAACGATCATGACCGTCTGGCTCCTGATCATCAATCAAGGCAAATGGAAACAGCTCCCACCAATGACTGTCATCGCTTTGTCTGGGTATATCAGCAATTATTTCAGTACCAAAAAGCTGGGATCCAACTCGCAAGTTGCGAACACAGTGGGCGCATTCACTATCGGGATTATGGGCAATCTATACAGCCGCCTCTGGCATGGCCACGCTGCAACCGCTATTCTTCCCGGAATCTTTATCCTCGTCCCCTCTGGACTCGCCGCGACGGGCTCTCTCATTACAGGGGTCCAATCAGCCGACGAAATTCGCAAAAACGTCTCCCAGCATGGTGGCGCTAGCTCTACACCCGGGGCGGGCCTGTCATCTAGCAGCTCTGTTTTCAGCTTGGGTTTTGGAATGATTCAAGTTGCGATCGGTATTACCATTGGTTTGTTTATATCCGCATTGATCGTTTATCCATATGGCAAGCCTCGGAGTGGGCTGTTCAGTTTCTAGACTGTTTGTCTCCGGGATGCTCAATTTGTCAATATTTCAGTTCCGTACCTAAGAAGTCAAACCTGGTGTACTGTATAGTCGCTGTGCTTCTAAAAAAATATTACATACTTCTTTCATTTTTTTTCGGTTCCTCCATTGACGAGTCCACTTTTGGGTCTGGCTTCCGTCGGGCCAGCCAAGCCCGCCACCAACACCGCAAGGAATAGCTAGCCCATGCTATCAAGTGCTGCATCCTTGTTCGATCCCGGAGCCTCGTGTTGCCGCAGTATCATGCAGAGATAAAATTTCTGAGACCTTAGTAACCAGATCAGGGTTAAGATTAAATGATCTTACGTTTTCTGAATACGAAACAGCGCTCGGCATAATTTAACCTTCAACCTTCTTGGCCCCTCGCCAAAAACAGACAAGAGATACAGAATACGCCTCTGCAGACATCAATCCTTACCGGAAATTCATGCAATAGCTTTGGGGGGGTATTGGCGCTATATCTCGCTAAAAAGAAGACCGCACCATTTTCGTGACCACTCGTGATACCCCCAGAATCCCGGCGACTCTCATTCCTTTTTTCCAACACTAGAACGGTTAGCTCAGACTTATTGTAGCATTATCTACATCAAGAGCTGTGGAGGCCGCTAAATGCCATAGATCAGGATTGGATGTGCAGATGAACAACGCCGGCTCCGGCTATGCAACACCCTAGATGCAGACCTAGAATAGGCACACCTGGTCTACGCTTCTAATACTAGAACGTGTTGGGGTGATACAGAAATTTGTAGGGCTAGGTATCCATTGGTACTGGTGGCAAGGCTGTGGATGTCAGTAAGGTTGGAGCAGCAGTCCTTGAATTGTTCTATTTTCCCGTGTAGCTGAGCCAAGATACCGACTAACTTGGATTCATATGCAGGGCCTCCAACAAATCTGCAGTCAAGACTATCTGTGAGACATACCCCACCCCTCCCCTTGCCTTAACGTGCGTAATTTGATGGCTGAGTTGCAGACTCGATTGTAAATCATCTATTGGTAGGGATTGGGTTAGCATCGGGATCATGTGGCAGGACCTTCCCGCCAGTTACTATGCAGTGATTAGACCTAGGTGCATCCAGATCTATAATCGTGCAGCAACAAAAACGAGGCAGAAAGCAACCATTCGCACAATCCCAATTCAAAATAACAGCCATTCCCCAAAAAGACACTTCCAAACGCTGCCAATAGCTTGAAATACCCAACATCCCCTCCCCGCCAACGAAAAGCCCTAAATCTGAAACCCTGCATGCATCAACACCCGCCAAGTCTGCCAAGAGTAAAGGACACCGAATCAAGCACAAAGGCAAAAACAGTCATATTCACACACCGCTAGCGCCAGGACATAAGTAATCAATCACATCTCTCAATACTCAAGATCTCGATTCCCAGATCGAAAGGTCGCAAGTGCCCCAGAAGCCAATCCACTTCTATACCTCAACTCCACAACAACCACGGGTTCCTTGGCGATCACCCGCATATATGCACGCCGATACGACGTGGCTGAGGCTTGGACTGTCGGTATGTGAGGGGGGAGTTTGTGTTGGATGTTACCCTACACTGCTCCCCGCATAATAAAGCAGGGGTTGTGATCCCTGTTCTCGTATTTTGCTCGGGGTAGACAAGAATCTTCCTATATGTGTGTTCTTGGCCGTGACTAAGGGATCGGGGATAATCCGGGGCGTTGCTATACTGGGATTAGAGTTGGATTTTTTGTTACACTGGAGAAGAGAAATACGAGGTGTGTAGGACTCTGAATGGAGGGATTGATTGCCGGTTCCTATATTTTTGGGCGTTCGTTGGGGCTGAGGTGTTTTGTGAGGGAATTGTGACCGTGACGTGGTGGGAGTATGTGAGTTAGTGTTTGACACGAGGCAAACGCCGAGAGTCCTAGATGCCGAATAGAACACATGGAGAGACAATGAGAAGTTGACGGTCTATACTTACAATCGAAGTATAAATATCCCTTCAAATCCCTCTCAAATGCGAACCATCTATCAATCCAAGTTCTCTCTATCAAACCAACCTACAAATTCTACCTCAACCACAATCACAACAACCACCACAACACTACCGAAATCCAGAATGAAGACCAATATCCTTATCCTCCTGGCTACACTGACAGCCAGCGTCATGGCCACCCCAACCGCCAATGCGGAAGCCAGCGAAATCTTCGAACGCTCCGGCAGCTGTTACCACCCCAGCTCATGCAGCCGTTCCTGGGCTGGGAAGTGCGAGGATTACTGTGGTAGCCGCGGTTTCTCGCATATGACCGGTGACGGCTGTGGATGGCTTGCTAAGAAGTGTTGCTGTAGCAAGTCGTAAATGCCTACACTGAATCTCTTTCGTACTGGGATTGAGGGTGTGGGACGATGAACTACGAACTCTGGGCAAAGGGAATGGGGAGAGGGGAGGAGGTACGGTACATTGTGTTGGATGAAATGCAGGCGTATCTCGGATGTCTACGAAATGAAGATGAGAAATGCATTGATATGATATGATATGATCTACCGTCAAGTACAGATACGGCTTCTCAGGCCAACCGGACTGGTGTTATAAGATACCCGAAAGTAAATGTCTAATGGATGAATTGAAAAATAAGCAAAGGATGCCGAGTCAAACTCTGGCGTTCCTTATCTATGAGGAAGAAAACACACAATCGGTATCGCATTGCAATGATGCAACCCAACAAAAAGACTTCGCCAGCGACCAGCCGCCAGCATGATTTGATACTCAACGTCAACAGCCAGGAGGGAGACAACAGAAAGTGGCGCGAATGAGGAAACGTGGAATCAATTCCGGCTCATGAGAAGAAAATTAAATTAGGCACGGTCTATTGTATCGGCTTCATGCTTTGTAGTCGTAGCTTTCATCTGATCCTGCCAGACGGCGAAGCCGAGCAATTCAAGGAGGTGGCGTTCACGGTATATGAACATGCAGATGCCGGTAGTTTGCAAGAAATGTTTTGCGTGGGTGAGGAGGATTTCGTTATGAGATGTGGAGAGGGTGTAGAGGGTGTCGAGGGAGATGGTAATTTGATCTGGGGATTCAGAGATGACAGGGACCTCAGCCAGGAGGTGGCGGGTCTTTTTATCACGGGATAATGAGTCACAGTATGTATCCAGCATGCGTTCGCGGGCGATGAATTTGAGAATAGAGTCCAGGGAGCCGAGTTCGACGATTGCTTGGGGAAGGGAGGTTTCCGGTTCGGCGAGACCGCGTTGCATCAAGACCACGTATTCCAGGTCCTCGATCAGTGGGGTCAGTTGTATACTGGCTGGAGAGGACAAGCCCAAGACAGGGCGGTCGTATCCAAGCTTTTTGCGCCAAAAGTAATTGCACAGAATCAGGGATATGATGCATGGGATGAGGACGATATATCCCCACCAACGCTCGGCAGTGACCATAGATGCAGCACCAGCAACAAGACCATTCAGGCCGTTGATACTAGCATGCCATTGGAAGCGACGGAAACGGGTATGCAGACGGCGACGGATATCATCACTTGGTTCGCGAGCATAGACAGCAGCGTCATGCATACGGAAACGATGGATCAAAAAGCCCGACCAGATGGCATTTAATAGACCAAACAACGCGGCGAGACCATTTCCAATATACCCAGAGAGCAGATTACTGGCCTTGTAAACCCGGGGGTTTGCACCGCCAATCGCCATCAGCGTACCAATGCCAACGAGCACCGCACCAAAGCCCATCAACACATCCATAACGATTCGATCCACAACCTCCGTTCCAAGCTCACGGAATCCAACACTAATCCGACTATCAATCAATTGAGCCAGCTCAGCATTCTTATCATGATACTGCCGCAACCGCTGCAAATGAGCCCGCTCCGCCCGGAGCAGCTTGACATTCCGCCAGCTGAGGCGGTAATCCTGGATAGCAACGAACATCATGCCTAGGGCGAGTGTCCCACCAATACCCATCAGCACGGCAGCGAACTTCGGAACGGGGACCTCATTCCAGACATTTGCAGCGAAGTCGCCTGCATTCGCTAGCTCGAGGTATCCCACGCTGGCCAGTAAGCTGTTCCTGAATTGGGATTGGTGGAGCAGGCGAAATCGGCCTCTTCGTCGGACTAGGGTCACCTGGTCTCGGATTGCTTCGAAGGATTCCTGCCGTGTGATGTCACTGGCTTCGCGGATGAGTTTCGGGACCACCGGTGGTGCGGACTCGGCTGGTGAGAGGGAACCTAATTCCATTGCCCTCGCTTTGTCAGGCGTGAACTGGGAGAGGCGTGTTGGTGTGGCTGTGATGAGAGTGTCGGAAGAGTCGGTAGGGGTTGCCATTGTGAGAGTTTTAAGCCAGTGACCTTGGGATGGGAGGTTCACATGACGCTGTCCATTCCCATGCTTTGTACAACCGCTTGAGGGAGTTGGAGAGGAGACGGAGGTAGAGACAGAGAGAGAAAGAAAGGAGAGCAAAGAGAGAGGCTAAGAAAGATAAAGAGAAAAGAAGACACGCAAGCGGGAAGACCGGGGTACCAACGAAAGCCAAGGCGTCCCTGTGGAGCCAGCCCTGTAGGGCTGAAGATCTCCACGGACTTTTGTTAATGCGCACATTTGGAAATTAGGCCCCACGAACTAGTGGTCTGTTTATTTTACTGGCTGTTTATCGTCTATGCGTAGATGTCCAGGGGTAGGCAGCAACAATAGAGTCTCAAATTGTGGTCTAATAATACATATGTTGCTACGCTTCTTTCGATAGTTTCAGATTATCGGCTGCTTTAGGTGTGAGAGCTCGGATCAGCTTGACGCCTGCGTCCGCCGCCATATCACGGGATTGTCCACTCCAGAATTCGGCTTCCCGGTCGGATCCGCGAAGGACATCATCCTCTGGTACGTCTTTGGTAGGAGAGGGCGTTCCGTCGGGCGAAGGCTCCTTTTCAGTGGAGCCGTACACATTCACCCGCTCGTTGAAGCGCACACGCGGACGAAGTCGGCCATTTGGTGAGCCCTGGGAGCCAGAGCTAGATGACCCAGATCTTGCTAGGCTCGCAGCGAAATAATTCTTGCGAACGGCGTACCGGCGGGCCTCTTCCCGTCGGATGGTGTCAGAGAAGATCTTCTCGAGGGCCACGGAAGCTGTGAACCGCATTCCCAAGTAGGCTTGCTCCGCAATAAAAACGGTCAACAGGAGCGATGACAGACGTACCTCGTGGATCGGCCCCCGATAGACGTGCACGATCGCTGCGGTCGAGAGAGTGCCCAGCCAAGCCATGAAATCCAGTCCAAGCAGACAAGGACCGATGGAGTCCGCCCGGATTGGGGGCGGGCGCTGGCATTCCAGGGTGAGTTTGAAAAAGTCACCTCGCAGTTCGAGCCAGTTGTTCAGCAAGAAGCCCAATGGAACAAGTGGCCAGGCGACGCCAAAAAGTGCCAGATATCCGAATTGCACACACATTTCCAAGATATCTTCCTCGACGTTGTACTCTTCTGCATCAGCCTCGCTACGCAGCCGGGTCATAAATGCTGCCTCCTCTGGCGGGTCGATCAGCAAAAGATCGGTGGCATTGGAATAACTCCGCTTGCGCCCATATCTTGCCTTGCGATCGCGGTAGTTGCGCCATTTCTGCCATAAGGTGTGCTTCACATATGGCAAAATGATTTCCTCCCCAAAGCTCAAGACTTGGGCTGTCATGGAAAGATAAATGACCTCCTGCTGGAAGCGGCTCGTGTCTACTTCGAACTCCTTTTGTCCATTGAGCAAGGCGGCCTTGTACCCTGTCCTTCGGAGAATGTCCAGGTGTGGGACAATCAAGCTTCCAAAGGGAACGTAGACGTAGGCAGTCAGTATCGTCGGTAAGAAAGCTGTGATGAAGTTCATCACAAAGGTCTTCTGCGTCTGGGCAAGATCGTATTGGTCCTGCGTTCGGTAATTCTCGTAGTCGGTGAGGCGAGTCGCGATGTTGGTGAGGAATGAGGTGATGGCAGGTAATGAGAGCGAAAAGAGGATGGTCGGTACGAATTCAAGGTAGCTCTTGAATGGGCCGTCGTACACCTCGGAGATGAACACTTCCGACGCAAAAGACGCGACAATCAAGGCTCCAAGGGCCACACTCGCGACTGACGCAAAGGGAACCAAGAGCAACTGTCGCGAGAACTGCTTCCAGCCTGGGAAGACGTGCTTGATTTGTCCACTAATGGGATCTTTGACCTCCTTCTCCCAGACATACTGCTTCCGATTGACCTTTAATCTGCCAACACCCTTGACATCCCATCGTTGACTCAAATCGGCCTCCCGGACCTTCCAGTACTCGACAAACACAATGCACCAGACACATAGCACAGTTCCGTAAACAATGGAATACGGTCCCAAATATACCCATCCAACGATGCCCAGTACGGCAGGCACGACGAGAAATAGAGAATAGCAATGAATGAATGCGTAGTAGAAAGCGACCTGCAGATATTCAGCCTGGGGTCATTACGGCCACCTCGGAATGAGCAAAGAGCGAATTTTACCTTCTCGCCAAAGAGCGCTCGAATCGCATCCAAATCCTGGCTCGTTAAGATAGTCTTCCGACTCCAATTCCGCAGCATGTCCCTGCAAGCCTCCTGATCATGCAATGGAAAGGAGGCAGTGACACGCTCCCATTTTCCAAAACCTGGCGTGATCCCAGCACCACCGATCTTCTTTTGCCAGGTGACAGCATGGTAAACTGAGCGAATCTCCTCGGACGGGGTTTCGGCGTCAGCGACAGCTGTCTCATCGCCGTCCGGTAACGTGTGGGTAATCCCGAACAGCCAATCTTTAATTCTGTAATGCCATCAGCCATTTATCTTCATAACACCCATGTATCCACGCTTTATATCCCTCACCTCGACTGATGTACTAAATTCCCCAGATGGTCTCGCGGTACCCGAATACACACCAATAGCGCAGTGCCGTGGCCGTGGCGTACCTGGACCCGAAGACCAGCTTCGCTCAAATCGTGGATGAGGGCTCGGAACTCGGTGATGGCTTGGGCTTGGTCTGGGGTTGTTAGTGAGATGGCCAAGGAATATGCAAACTTTCTTTACCGATTTCGCCAAACTCATATTGCAGAACCCAATCCACGCCTAGGTTGTCCTGTTCGTCTTCTTCGTCCTTCTGCCCCGCGAGCCAAGACATGTTGAGGGTCGGAGGGGAAGGTGTGTGAAAGTCGCAGGAGGAAGAAATGTGGGGGAAAGTGACCACAGTAATTAATTATTACCAGTTGCTATAATTACCAGCAGGTACAACTTCAGGGTATTTCGTCTATCCCCGCCGATCTCACAGTATGAACCTGGTCACGGGTACTGCCAGGAATCTCCATCTTCTTTCTCTCCTTTCTCCTTTTCCTCTTATTTTCTTTCTTCCTTTATCCCCCCTGAGAACAACCTCAATCATCAAGTTACACAATTACGATCGCCAATACCATTGAAAATGGCCGGCATGTCCGGCCCTGATCCGGTTCCAAGGCGCGTCACTAGGCTCCACGGGCCAAGCTTCAGCCCTACGGGGTAGGTTTTCCCAATAACCCGATTTGCCACTGACAGGCAGCAATTTGAGATCGCCAATTCTATTTACCGTACTCCTTGCTGATGTCCAAAGACTATATTTTAAGGAGCCAAGGTCCAAGACTCACAGTTTGCGACCGTGCAGGAAATGAGGCTGGCTCAAACTCCAGAATTCGATGCCTACAGGTCTGTCCCCACTCTCGACGTGTTCGCCACTTCGGATTGGCGGGAATTGGCCCTTGGCCTTGCTTTGCAGGGCTGGAAGCAGGCGAGATGCGGGACTGAAGGTGGTGGGGGATGGATTGGCATTGTCGGTGAAAGACACGGGCGCGAACTGTTTGAGACTGTCGATTCGATTTTAAAATCCACCCTGTATTGCTGACAAAAATAGGAGTGACTTGGCAGGAGAAATGTTGAGGCCAAAATGCTGCTGCCTGACATGGGGCGCCAAGCCCATTCGAATTCGATTTTTATTACATTTTTCACCAAATGCTCGGACTAATCCCTTTTCATTTATTGGGCCCCAGTTATGCGGTCAGCGGGAATTTCTATATTCTTGCCAAGAGTGGAGGTCGGAAATTGGATCCGTGATGGCAATTCTCGTCCAAGTCCCAACCAATTGGCACAGGCATCAGCATTTACGAATGTCGGCTTGCCACTGTCGATACTCAAAATGGTGTAGCCCAAGATGTTTCGGCATGACCCGTGCATGGCTGTATATCCGGTGCTTCCATTAGTCGCTTGTATATATGGGGAAGCCGCGCTGCCACCGGTCCCATGAGTGAAACGGAATGAGTTGACCATTATTGAAGTCAATTGATTTGACTTGTGCCACGTTAATCTATCCAATTCTCATCTCCATTCCTGACTATCCAACTTGACTGAACCGGTCATCCTCGTACTTGGCGTCTTGGCTCTATGCTGGAGTCAGCCATCGAGATCATGGCTCGTCGATTTCTTCGCGAGCAGAATATCACCCTCGGGTTGAGCCTGGTGCTCTTTGTCTTTATGTTCTTGCCCACGTTCCTCATTCTCGTGGCGGTCATCCTCTTCTTTGGGCTGGCCTGGCCGCGACTCCGCGGTTCGAATGCCCTGGACCGCGAACAAGGGGTTAAAGATCGGCAGCCGGGGGCTAAACAAGTATCATAATGGTATAGTAATGCGCTCTGCACGGTGTTAGGGTGAATGAGTTGACTGACTGAGTTGAAGGTGTCACACGGGGTGTGTCTTTATATTGAGCGTTATTACGGAGTCTTTGGGGACATTTACGACAACATCTTGTTATTGTTTCGCATTGATGGATTGAAACTGTATTCATTCTGGTTTATACATGTTTTACTGTAAGATTAATGAAGCTCCATTTTTTCAATGAGTTTCTGGAGTCCCACGATTCGAGATATGAAGATCTCGAACGATATAGGGGATCTACTGCACATAAGTCAAGATCAGCCCCAGATCATTCGAGAATAGCCTCAAAACCTGGGGACCTTGTAGAACGTCGATGCCTAACTCGGAACCGCCGTTCCGGAACCAAACTATCATACTTTCTGGGCAAGCGGTCGAACCCGCTCACCTTTTGAGTCATTGGCTGCAAATTTTCAACCCGAGTCCACCTGCTACATAGCGCATGGAGCTAACGGGTAGGGCTGGCACGCGTTTCACGTGTTAGGTCATATTGTTTTCTCTCCCGGGCATTTTCAGTTCCTTCCTCCACACCCTGGACCACCCTATGACCATCACCAGATACCCCCTATTACACCTCTCCTCGAGATTCACTCCAGGAGAACTAGAATGGGCTGAGCAGATCACATTCCTTCATGAGAGTGCGAATACACAAAGGGAACGCACTCCACCAAGAAACCTATTTCTGATGGCACCAGATCACCGGTCTAGCCACCGCACACCAACCAACCTTTCTCAAAGACAGAGATAGCAAAGATGGAAACCCCACAGGAAAAGAAGGCAATGCTGGAACACTCCCCGCCTGACCGGTTCAGCTTCTTCTCGTCCCAGACGAAGGAGGTCACCACCTCGTCGACCTGGGACGCTCTTTTCCCAGAAGGAAATCTCGATCATATGACCCAGGAGAAGCAAAAGGGTCGTCCAGATCCCAACCAGCCCATCTGGTGGATTGATATCTGTGATGCCAGCGAGGGAGACGTTGATGTCGTTGCCCAGGCGTTGTCCATTCATCCCTTGACGGCAGAGGATATTGCTATCCGTGAGCCTCGGGAGAAAGTCGACGTGTTCAAGAACTACTATCTGATCTCATTTCAGACTTTGGTTTCTAGCGCGACTAAACAAGAACGGCCTGGCATTCCCGTCTCCGCTGCGCTGTATATTCTCGTCTTTCAGTATGGTGTCGTCACTTTTTCACCTAGTGGCTCTGGACATGTTACTCGGGCTAGAGACCGAGTTCGCAAGATGCACGATCCGTCCATTTTGACGAGTGACTGGGTCTGTTATGCAATGATGTACGTCGCCCTTCCAACCTCCCTTCAGGTACGACCCATGACTAGGAAAACTAACATCCATTCAGCGACGACATAATCGACAGCTTCGAGCCCTTCACCCGGGCAGCAGAACAAGAATCCGAAGCAATCGAAGACCAAGTCTTCATCGCCCGCATTGACGACGCAAAAGAACTCATCCCACAAGTCGACTTTCTCCGCAAGAGGATCACCCACATCATCCGCTGCCTCCACGGCAAAGTCGACGTCCTAAACGGCTTCGTCAAGCGCTGCCAGTCACCCGACAAGCACCCCGTTTTCCCGGATGGAGATCTACTCCTCTACCTCGGTGACGTGCAGGACCATCTCGTCACGACACTGTCTTCTCTCGGACACATCGATGAGATCATCGGTCGGTCCCAGGCGAACTGTCTGGCACAGTTGAGCGCTACCAATCTGCGTCTTAGTTTGACTATTAATTCCGGATTGAGTAAGGTTACCCTCCTGGCTACTATTTTCGTGCCCTGTCATCTTGTTACTGGTATGTGGGGAATGAATGTTCCTGTCCCTGGCCAGGAGGCCCATGGGCTTGGGTGGTTCTTTGGTATTGTTGGTGTATTTGCTGCTTTTATGGTTATTTGTGTTGCTATGGCTGCGAGGTATAAACTTTTGTAGATGATTGTTTATGGTTAGATACTGGTTTATCGTTGGGTAGATTTATGGGTAAGAGTGCCATTCTAGAACATATTCATTCGTGACATTTATCATACTTATCTTGTCATCGTCACTTCCTATACATCTGGCTGCTTGAGTTAGTTCAAATGTATCTAATGTTCGATGTACATTCACGAGGGATTTTCCAGGGTCGTTTATTAGTAGGCCACAGGACCAATATTAGACAAAGACCTCTGCTCAATCCCTAGGTAATATCTCCGACTCGCAGCTGCTCTCGTATCAGCGCTGTAAGCACTTTTATCGGTGTTATCGGCGGTACGTTCGACTGAGTTGCGCAATGTAAAAGTCATTCGTCCCCACATGCGGCTGCGTAGATCCGATTTGGACATCATGGCTAATGGTAGACCTTTTTGCGCCCTTCTTTCACCGCTATAAACTGTTGCTGATTACCAAAACCGAGTTGCGGCCGCAATCAGGATATGATGGCAGAGACCAATGTCTTGTTTTTTACCCGGTCTTGGTGGCTAGCACTATATTGCTCGCCCTTTACTACTTTTCGATCACTTAGTAAAACTAAGCACGCCTAAGAGCACCCTCACTAGAAAGTACGTAGGCTCATAGAATTTGATCTGGTCAACATATTTACACCTTGAGGCTGTACATAGAAATCTACTGCTGGTCTTCCCGGCCAGAACGAGAAATAAGCCTCGAAGACTCAGCATACCTCTCCGTCTGCCTCACATAAAAGTCAAATTTAATCTCCCCAACCAGCTTCTTCACATTCCTAAAACAAAGTCAGCAAAACCAACACCACAAGGGATTAGAGTAACACTCACCCAATCAAATCCTTCAAACTGAAGCTAACAACCGACCTCAAAACCTCAAGCGTAACAAAGGCCGAAAAAGCCGGATCCTCAATATGCCGAATACTAAGTAACTCCCCATCAATTCTCTGCATCTGCCTAGCAAGAGGAAAGGAATCCGGTGTAGACAAGTAAGGCGGCAGCGGCTGGCCATTCGAAATTGCCGCAGACAGATGACACAGTAATGAGGTGATGCGATGAGAATTGAAATCATCCGATTTCAACGCTATCTCAGCCAACCGCCCCATCCACTGATCGTCATCATCCTGACCAGAAGTCTCGGAATCAACAGCTAACTCCTCCAAACTCTGCGTCGTATGCGCCATAAGCGACATACTTGTCAAGATTCGCTGGATCTCAGCAATGATACTATCATACGTCTCCTTCGGGAACTTGCCACCGATGGGCGGCTCGTAAGTACTAAAGTGGCTATGAGCACGGAGACCGGTGAGGAGCATCATTTCCTCTTTGAACAGTTTGTGCCGGGAGGATTGGAGGTTATGTGCTGGGGAGGATTTGTCTTGGATGGGCCCTAGTTCGTTGTTGAGCCATAGTTCGATGGTGGAGTGCATGCAGCTGTAGAATTTTGCTAGGACGAAGAGGCTTCGGCCGAGGAGTTTGCGGAGTTGGGATTTCGCTGTTATCGGGTACGGGAATATTACCCAGAAAAAGGAGATTGTGCAACCTGCTGCTACGGCAGCTAGTTTGTAGGGGCCGAAGAGGTAAATTGGGTAGTATGGTTGGCCGTTTGAGGTTGCTTCTGGCAAGCCAAGTTTTCGGAACTTGGTAACTTAGTTCTTGGTTCTCTTGGGCTAGGTAGATGGGTAGGATAATACCTGTAGCTCGTAGCCGACGATCACGTTCAAGGTGACGATGGAGATGACGCATGCTCCGAAGTATTGGGGTACTTTGATGTAGAAGTAGTACTGCTGAAGTTAGTATAGTTCATCTCGGTGTGTACAAGGTGAATATACATACCCCGAATACATTGGCTAGATAGAGGAAGACTATCACACCAGCAGTCTTGCCATCAACGATGTACCAAACAATCAAACTGAGAACAAGTGAGATCGTCGTCGCAATAATCCGAGCAACAAAACCAAACATGGTCTGTCCACTTGTCGGATTCATTCCAATAACGATAACAATCATAGCCCAGATACATCTCTGCCGAATGAAAAAGCCCTGAGTCTGATGCAAGAAGGCAAGGATCCCGACAGAAAATGAAGCAGCAGCAACGCGGAACCCAAACGCGCTTTGATCGGACTTGATGACGTGGGAAATGGTACGTAATATCATACTTCCTTTCTCCCAGATATTTTCGGGTGGGAGGTGCTCGGGATCTGGAAACCTTGTAGGTTGATTACGTTGGATACCCGAGGGATCGACATTCGATGATTGTCTGCTCGCCGACGGAGTTTCAGATTCTTTCTTGTCAGAGCCTAGGGAGAGCCATGCTCGAATGGACTTTTGTTTAGGGAAGATAAGTCGGTTGCGCTTCATAGTCCCATCGGTATGCTTGCTATTGGCGAATTGCACCAACTGCAGCGTCGCGTTCAACATGTCATCTTGTAGATGGCCCATGTACAGGATCAAGAAGAATTCCTGCCGGACATCTGGATCAGCCGCGATAAAACGCGGCTTCGACTCTGTGGAAGCGTCGGCAACAGACTTTTCAGCAGCAGAAAATGCTTCAAGTGAAGCCAGAGCCTGGGGCAAGTGTTTCCGACGAGAATAATAGCTGTGTAACTCCTGCTCGAATCGCGCGGGAAAACCAGGCTGCAGCGGTGATAGAGTTTGACCCCTTGCTTCTTCATCATGAGGCTTTTTTTGCTTGTCCAAATGTTTAGGCTTGATAAGCTCCAGTGCCAACAAGAAATAGTGGAGACCATGCTGCACAAGCTCCGAAGAATGGATGATTCGTTCATGAAGTGTTTCTACCACCTTTTGGATTTCAGAGTGTTTCAATTCCCCTTCTTCTAGAGCGTCGAGATCGCCGGCTTCCTCGTCACGCGTCTCATTCTTGACTATTGACTCCAGAATCTCCGGCAACATCGACATTCCAGACAAGGGAAGAAGAAGATTTCCGAAGAGACGTGCGATGGCACTGAGGTCTTCCGCGGACAACTTCCCCCATGCAATCTCACTCTTGGAATAGAAGAGATCGGCGTGCAGTTTGTTGTGCAGGCCATTGAGTTTCGCCATTGCCCCCTGCAGCTTCTTCTCTTTGGCTTGCAGATCATCTTCATCATCGTCCTGCACATCCCGTGTGCTTTTGTAGGTCCGCGCTCGTCGAAGGAGACCTGAACCTTTGAACAGGTGTGTTTCCGAGCTATCTTCAACAAATGATATCTGGGCTTGAAGGAGTGCCTCAACTGATGCTGCGTAGCCCTTGAGATCATGGAACATATCGCCTCTGCTGGTGATGGGAAGGATAAGCAATGAAACACCAGTTGCAATAGCAAATCCAATCATAAACCCCTTCAGTAATCGAGCCACGAAATCCAAACCTGCGGCTAGCGAAGTGAATGTTCCCGCACGGGTAATCGTAACAGAAGCAAAAATGGAGAAAGCGACCATGGGATCCTGAAGCTCCATTGGCTTTAGAGCACGAAGCGCGTTTGCGCCCCTAACAGCAGTGTTAGCATCATCAATATTCTCGGGAGACACACTTCATCGTACCAGATCATGAATATAAGCCATATCGCAGCTACCGCGCAGGCATCACTACTATAACTGTCCCTCGCATCGGGGGCAGTATTATTTTCTCTTGCTTTCACGGCACAGAATACAGCAAGACAACACAGTGATGCGGAGACACATACTGATATCAAGTCGAAGAACATGATTTTGATGAATTTGGCACGAGGCATGAGCGCCTGCGACAGAACTGATATCAAGGCGGAGAGGTAGCCAATTGTCGTGGTGATGTTGGATATCGCATCACTTTGGTAACTGTAATGATATAAGTATGGGTATTACCATGATACGGCGGGAAGCGTACATGGCGATGGTGATAGTTGGTGCCAAGGCGCCTTTCAACATCATGAGCATAGTCCGGGAGTCCAGCTCCAACTTGGACCACCATGTTGATGGATTTAGTCGGCTGTGCAATGGATTAGCGTGCGGGGTTTAGAGGAATAGCAGTGTTTGTTTACCTCAGGATCCCAGGCTGAGACAGCTTGGGCACATTTTCAGCCGTTGTCATTCTGCTCGTCTAGTGGCCTGCTGCCCGGTATCCAGATATATATATCCGACCAAAAGGTTCAGTGGGAGGCAGCAAAAGGGAAACACAGAGCCAATTCTCCATGGAAGAAGAAGAGGAAGTAAAATTTCAAGGTAGATCAATTAGACTATCGGATGCGTCTGCATGCGGATCGGGTTGCCGTTGGACCCATGCCGAGCCAAGTGCCGACAGCGGGAGGAACAAATGGGCGTCGAACTCAGATATTTAGATCGATTTCAAGATATGCTAGTCTCATATAAGAGAAACCGTATTGTCTTGCGGCGTTGCCTCCTAAGAAGTCAAAATGAGCGCCGGTCGGATCAGTCCGGAGAAGGCACGTGATGTGATAGTTGAGTATAAATGCAATAAATGCAATAAATGCAATATATCTCTAACATTGTATCCTGCATAGCTAAATTAATGATTGGAGTTCATTAATCTACAAGCTATTAGTTACTAGTATAGTGGCCCTGTTCTTAGGGAAGTCGCGCTATGTTTGATATAGGACTTGTGGCTGTCAAATAGCGGAGTAGATATTTTCCGCTTAGGAAGATCGCTCTTCGATCGCTCTACGATGGGCGGGCGATTCTTTGATTTTCCGCAGTTTTAATCGATAAGAAACAATACGCGACTGTGTGTTTATAGCTGATAGATATTATGTTATTTGTTCTCTAAATCCAAATCAGGGAAATAGTCTCTAGTATCCCAGGTCAGGGTTCAATGGTAGAAATTACATGAACATACCAACAATGACATATTATGTCTTTCTTTAAGCCAGAAGTCACATTTCTTTTATGCAAGATCTCGCGATAAACGTTACGCAATTCAAATGTCCTACGCTTCACATTCAGGCAGCCATTGTGAGAGGCCTGGCGTGGCTCGCCATAACAAGATCGATTTCGTTACGATGCATCTTGCTGGGCAGGAGCAGGTTGTTCCAGAAATAGATCGTTGAACATGAATCCACCAGTCTCAACTGTGATCCTGAGTCAGTGTGTAGAACCAACTGTGGCTACCCTGACACAGCCACAAGCCACAAAAATGGTGCGGAGTTATGGGGCTTCCAAGGTGATGGGCGCGGTAAAGTGAAGCGGAATGAAGCGGGAGTTGCGTATGCAGAGCGGGTGCATCTGAAAGCGAGATGCATAAGTGAGCTCATTACAGACAAATGAGGTACAACAGACACCAGCCAAAGGACCGTGGCAACCAGCGTATCACAAGCACAAGACACTAATTCTCATTTGTGGTCCTGGAGATGTGCTGGAGATCTGAACAAGCCTATCTTGCGGGAATTTGAGACATTCTCCCGAATCGGACTCGGGTTGAAATGCACCGCAGTAACGCAGTTGTGATAGGTCTCGAGCGATTCCCGATAGGCAAAACATGAGCCAATAATGGTCTCGACGGGGATGGCAGTAGCCAGCGTAGACCAATAATGTCGGGTTGGATGTCAAACATTGTCCTTGGTGGAGTCAGATTTGCCGTCCATCAATCTTGGCATCCTTATAGGGAGAATAATCGAGAACGCGTCATGAGCCATGCTGTCTTACTCGAGTGGCCTTTCCATTGATGTGTGCCCTGCGTTGACATCATGCTAGGGGGTGACGAGAATGCCAATTCTGGTTGTCGGCGTGTACTCGTCAACACATTCTTTATCAAGATCATCAAGGATCCACCATGGAGACCAAGACACAATGAAACTTCGTGTGTGGCGCGCTTGTTGAATAAAAGTGGGAAATGTCCGCGCCAAGATGCCAAGCTCATAAATAAGTCTGGTCCCCCCTAATCCACCACTTAACAGCTCTCTCCTTCACTCACTTCTTTCCAAAGGCTTCTTGCCTTCTTTCATCTGTGTTTTGTCCCTGTAATACATGCGTAAGTTGTGCTGTATAGCTATCTATAGCTGTCTTATTCCGACTCCACCGCAACTAACCACGCTCGCTTCTATAGACCGGATTCGCTCGTGGGCGAAAGCTCACGCATCCTCTCGCGGCCTGACAGATCAGCCCTCCCAACAGGCCGACGTACCTACCGAGAAACCTCCCCCTGAAAATGGACAAGTGAATGTCCCTGTGGAGGACCCTACTCCAGGGTCTGACACAGAACCCAACTCAAAGCCGGGTCTTCTGATTCGTATGCGAAATGGATCCGGCCGGTTTTACAACCACACCAAGGATGCCCTGTGCCACAGCTGGGTGAATGTGCTGCTGGTCTTCGTGCCGGTCGGCATCGCCGTCGAGGCCGTCGGCCTCAACCCAGCCATTATCTTCGCGATGAACGCAGTGGCCATCATCCCCCTGGCAGGACTGCTCAGTCACGCCACGGAGAGTGTCGCCAGCCGTCTTGGTGATACAATTGGAGCTCTGATCAACGTGACTTTCGGAAACGCAGTAGAGTTGATCATCTTCATCATCGCCCTGGTCAAGAATGAGATTCGCATCGTCCAAGCTTCTCTACTTGGTTCTATTTTGGCCAATCTGCTGTTGATCATGGGTATGGCGTTCTTGTGTGGTGGTCTCCGCTTCCAGGAACAGATCTACAACAGCACTGTGACCCAAATGAGTGCTTGTCTTCTCAGTTTGAGTGTGATGAGTCTTCTTCTGCCGACTGCTTTCCACGCGTCGTGGTCAGATAATGGCGACGCCGACCATGAGACCCTAAAGGTCAGCCGTGGCACTAGTGTTGTTCTGCTATTGGTGTACATTCTGTACATCGTCTTCCAGCTGAAGTCCCATTCATATCTCTACGCCAGCATTCCCCAGGCTATCATTGACGAAGAATCCCATCCCGGTGTTCTCGCGGAGTTCATGAACAGCTCTTCGGAATCCTCGTCAAGCTCTAGTGAAGAATCCGATGATACTACGACATCATGGACTACCGCCAAGCGTATTAAGAGAGCTATGAAGTACCGCAGACACCGCAAGTCAAGCACCAGCTCCAAGGGCACAACCTCTCGCCAGTCCTTCCAGAAGAAAGCAATGGCCTCGACTTCTAACGAAAACCAAAGCTCCATTGGCAATTCGATCGCTAGCAACGAGCATGCCATTGAACTTGGTGATGAATTTCACTATGACGGTGATAATGACGTGCAGGAGTCTGCCATTCGCTCCCGTGACTTTGGTATCGCTCTTGACCGTATGGATAGTGGAACAAGCCAAAAATCGAAGCGTGACCGCAAGAAGCGCAAGGCACTAAAGGCAGAGAGGAAGGCAGAAAGGAAGGCCGAGCGGAAGGCACAGAAAGAGGCCACCCACAGTGCTCCCTCCAAGGGGCCCCAACAGACCATGAAAGGCTTCTCGTCTGCTCCTACATTTGCCGGCGTTGAAGGCGCCGGAGAGGATCCCCAGAAACGCCGTTCTCCCTTCGGCCCGATCCCCTCTTTGCTCTCAAATACTGTTTTCAGCTCTCAGTCGCCGGCTATGTCCCCTCGAGTCGGAGCTGCTCGCCCTGGTCTTTCCCGCAGTAACTCGCTCCCTGCTCACATCAACCGTCCTCCCCCTGCCGGCAACGCGGTTCAATTCGCACGCGGTGCCTCTCGTCTCACTGACTCGGCTGAGCCCCCTGCGCCAGACGCTCCAGCCAAATCCCAGGAACCTGAAATGTCTCGGACTGCTGCCGTCGTTATGCTTCTGTTGTCTACTGGCTTGGTTGCTGTTTGTGCCGAATTCTTGGTTGACGCCATTCCTGAGATGATCACAAGCTCCAACGTCAGTGAGGCCTTTATCGGTCTCATTATCCTGCCGATCGTCGGTAACGCAGCAGAGCACGTTACCGCTGTCAGTGTCGCTACAAAGAACAAGATGGACTTGTCAATTGGTGTGTCGGTTGGTAGCAGTATTCAAATTGGTACGTCCTACATCTCTAATTCAAACTGAATCCTAACTTTTCCAGCTATCTTCGTCACTCCCCTGGTCGTTATCCTGGGATGGTGTATGGATAAGGACATGTCTCTCTACTTCACCCTGTTTGAGACCATCTGTCTGTTTGTCACCACCTTCGTGGTCAACTTCCTTGTTCTGGACGGCCGAAGCAATTACCTTGAAGGTGTGCTATTGATTGCCGCCTATATCATTATTGCGTAAGTATTTCTGTTTTCCTCTTGATGAGCTCTCACTAACCTAGTTCTTAGTTTGTCTGCTTTCTTCTATCCAGACAGCGATGCCGCCAGTACAATCGCAGGCTAAATTACATAGCCTAGCCTGGCTACTGACTTCCGTTCGCCGTGCGTCCATGCTCTAAGGCAGCGCCCCAAGTTAGTAGTTTGTGATCGAGTTCGGAAATCGCGCCCGCATGGTTGATATTTCCCACGGGTGTTCTCGCTCGCAATTTTACGTTTCATGAGGTTATTACAATTACTCAATACATTTATTTATGGGAAATGGCTAGCGCCCCTACTCCCGACCCCGCATGCATTATATCTCCATCGCATTTGAAACCACTGCGACTCCGTCTCGTATATGTAGTTCCCCTCTCTAGCCACGTGTGTAACAATTAGTGGCTGTGCTATATAGACTAAGCCACCTAGTGGCTGGGTATACACTAGCGCGGATTATCTGCATCTTTTTCTCTCAGTTGTTCTCTTCCGCAACCACTAAGTGACTTCTCCACTGCAGGTGGGGTGCAATCGGTCTCCCCCTATTCTCTCATTCCCCTATTCTACTGAGAAATCTCTAGGGGTCAGGGATGTATATGTCTAACCGTCAAGGTTCAGGAACCAAAATAGAGAGTGGAGTTGGCCGATCAGGAGTTGATCATGTAAAACTCCTATGTAGCCAATATGTGCCCTATGATGACACTTAACACTTGGCATGCTTACACTTGTATCGAATCATTCAGGACAGCCCTGCAAGGCGCGAAATTCCCAATTTGGCCGGGCCACAAGCCACTACTGGGGCTCAGGAAGTTGATATCGCATCTGCCTAGAGGGATTAAATGCCGTCAACCACAGCGCTAACTGACATCTGGTGGGTACATCTGTCTCGGTCCTTTCGGTTCTGAGCGGAACTGTTGATGTCTACTACAAATAAATTGTTTAATTGTTTTCTTTCGCTTCCCCATAAAGAGGCCTCACTCCCCTCCTTCTCTCCTCTCTCTTCCTTCCTCTCCCTCTCTTCTCTCTCACCGTCAACTCTCTCTCAATTCATCATGTCGTACGCCCCGCCTTATGGTGACCCATACGGCCGCCCACCAGCCGACCCCTACGGTCGTCCACCATCAGACGCACCTCCCTACCAACAGCCCTACGCGCCATACGGCGCACCACCCGCAGACCCGTATGCTCGACCCCCCTCAGACAGACCGCCCTATGAACGTGGTCCCTACAGCGCCCCTCCACCAGGCGCCCGCCCCCCACCAGGCCCCCCACCTCCACTTCCAGCCGGCTGGCACCAGGAATGGGAGCCAAGCACCCGCCGCGCCTTCTGGGTAGAGGACGCCACTGGCCGCTCGCAGTGGGAGACACCTTATGCCCAGCCTGCCTATTCGGGCTACAATGATGGCTCCCGCAGCGTTCCTCCCCCCGAGCCTCAGGGTGGTTATTATGCGCCGCCTCCGGGCCCGCCTCCTGTCAACTACGATAACCGTCCTTCTGGTGGTGGTTACTATGATCCTCAGCAGCAGGTCGAGCCTGAGAAGAAGAAGAGTAATACTGGCAAGTATCTTGCTATGGGTGCTGCTGGTTTGGCTGTTGGTGGTCTTGCTGGTGCTTATCTTGAACATGAGCACGGTATGTTTGATTCTGTTGCTTTGGGTTCAATTGGACTTGCTTGTTGTTCTACCTCGAGTTTGATGCTAATGGGTTTATAGATGAGGATGAGGAGCGCTCGGACCTCGAGGAAGCATATGAGGAAGGTCGTCGTGACGAGGCCTACGAGGATGACTATGGCAGTGACTAGAGGTCTCATTTTGAAGATTGACAGTTGCTTGAGCAACCCATATTCTTTACTTCATTCTTTACAACTTCTTCATTGCTAGGACTGCATTTCGCGAAGGCGATCAATAGGGTTTACATCGATACTACATTTACCATTGCATTCCTTCAAGACGTCGTCTCATCCATACTTTACTTTACTCAATCTTAACAGACGGACATATAAACTCCCATCAATCAACACCCAACACCCTCACTTCCAACACAAGATCTCCCCATGCAACAACCCAAACCAAGCATCCTGATCATCCACAAACGCCCTCCACCCCTGCGCAATAACATCCAAATCCGCAACTCCCGCAAACCCCTCCTCGACAACCCTCTTCGCAAACCCAGACTCCCTAGCCCGTCCTTCCATAGACCCACCCCAATACGCCCTCTCCTCATCACTCCCAAAACACCAAGCCCCAGCACTTCTCCTAACATCCCCCCTCCTAAATCCAGCCTCAAAAGCCCAAACATGAATCATGCTTCCAGGATGCGGATGTCCCCCACTAGCCCGCTGCATCCCCTCCGTAACCTCTCTCCATTTGGCAATCCCCTCATTCTCAGGGTACCAACTCAACACCGCAGACTCCCGACAAGAAACAATACCGCCTCTCTTCACAACCCTCCTCATCTCCCGTAATGCCAGCACCGGGTCCGCAATGTGCTGCAGCACCTGATGCGCGTGCACGATGTCGAAGGATCCATCTTCGAATGGGAGGGCGTGGATATCGCCTTCTTGGAAGGTTATGTTCGTTACACCTTCTGCTTGCGCGAGGGCGCGTGCTCCAGATAACGGGTCGGAGACGTATTCTACGCCCGTGACGGAGCCGCCTGGGACGAGTTTGGCTAGTGAGACGCTTATTGAGCCTGGCCCGCAGCCCACGTCTAGGATCTTGTGCGTTGGTTGGATGTGTGGGATTAGATGGGGCGCTGAGTTTTGGGCTGTACGCCAGCTGTGGGTTTGAAGAACAGATTTTGAGTGGTCTGTTGTGTAGACTTGGGGCATACTGGTGGTTTGCTGGTTGATGTGATTTGGTTGTTGCTTTAGTTTGGTTGGAGTGGTTCTTATGTTTGAATGGGCTGTTTTGGACAAGTTGTATTGTTTGCGTTGAGATTTGCTTTTGATCGAAGCAATTGTTTTGACTCAATGGGTGTTGAGAAGAGTGGATTTGGAGTTGCTTGCCGGGGGCTTTTATAGTTGCGGGGAGGAATTGGGTTTGGTTCGGAGTTCCGAGGTGGCGATCTTTTCCAACTATTTCTATGTATAGCCCCATGGATGTCATTATTTCAATGCAAAAATTGCTATATATTTAGTTGAAATTAATTTACTCTCTCGCTTTCTATGACTGATGGTAATACCCTCAAGTCTTCACACAAGGGCGAGTATCTAGAACAATATCGGACTTGGTAGAGCTATTCGGGAACTTCATATTCAACTAGAAGCATACTCACCTTATGTTCATATAACTATAATAAGTGCAAATTCGCCAGTAATCTTATAAATGGTCATGCTACGTGCAGTCTCAATTCAAATGTAAATCAGCTTCGCTCTGCTCTCATACAATCATGAGGTCATGTGCTATCACCTGACCGCCCGGATACAGCACTATAATGATTAGCTACTTTCATCCTACATATATCTCACCTCGCTTCGCATGAATGAAGCGAACCGCAGCTTCTTCGCGACCACGATGAAGCGGGTTAGCTCCTCCTCGGAAGAAGAGCTGTTCTCAGTGCGAAAAGTCGAAAGTGAGATGTGATCTGGCAATGCCCACTTGCTCACGTTGCAAGACTCGGAAAACAAATTGCCAATATCCTGCTGTTGTTGGGCCAAAACATAATGCATATTCCCACCATGAAGTTTCATCGAGTATTCCAGTCACAGAGGATATTCCATCTATCTCAGCCGAGATTGGTTCCGCAGGAGAAACATTTAAGATCCCAGCGATCTGTTTGACCAACCCGGACACGTCAACAGACATGGATTTTGAACATCTGGACCTGGTTCCAATGGCAAATGCAGATGAAATTCTTGATCGCTGGACGCGTCCTTACCTCAACATGTCGACAGCCTCAGTACCTAAAGCTTTCCCGCCTTACACCATCCAATACATTACTCGTATCCTGAAATCCTACGTCTCCGGCACAATATATATTAGCAATTCCCGCTGGCCCTTGGACGATCAGCGTTCAATCTCTTACTACAATACAATATTATATCCGCTACCGTTTGGGACGGACGGACTCTACCTCCCTTATCCATATCCAGCGGTAATTGTATTTCACCACCTATATTCCTAGAATTGCATGACCCTATAAGAATGTTTCGTAGTATTTCAGTTAGTACACAATCAATTTAGTGAGCCTAAGACAGGCGAGAAGAAGGGGTGCCGTAGGCGGGGTCTCCTCCGTATCCGTAGCCTATTTTTCCCCGAGAGGGGACCGGCGGAATTTTGGAATGTCGTTATGCGAGTAAGTAGATAGTTTAATACAACTATAGGTCTTTTTCAATTGGAATTGCGCTCTGTCCACACAGTGAAACTTATTTCCGCATAGTAATTCTCAAGAAAAACCTAGCGTTAGAAGTGATGTATGTACGCGATGATCATATCTATTACTCCTAAGGTCATCTATAGGAAATCAATGTTTTAAGTTTTTCAATTCTCCAAAGTGATATGATGACGCTTGCTCCTTGTCTTACTGGGGTAGATGCTCAGCACCTACCCTCGCATATTTTATTCTCGTGTCAAACAAATTGCATATCCTTCCTTTCAAACCAATCGAAGAAGCTTGTTCGAACCCAATAGCCCAGTTTTCTGTCTGTTCTTATGTCGTCCGATAATCCATTCTTGGATGTATTTTCTTCAATGCTGCGCCAGACGCGGGATTCAGCACCCCGGTTGTGATCCCAGTCACCCTCTTCAAAGATCCCACCAGTTTCCTTTGCTCGGTCCAGACACAATTCGAATGCTGCCGGAGATGGAAAAATCGAAAAATCACATCCCTGTTGAGCAAGAGTGCGATATAGCTCATCCGCTCGGTAAAGTACTTTCTCAAGCCGAGCCATTATAGCGTCGCGATCTTGCTCTGCTTCGGCCCTAGATAAACTTATACTTCGATCGACCCAAAGCACAAGCATAATATGCTTGCAGTAAAGAAAATGCGTTTGTAATAGGGTAATAATAGCATCGTATACCCCCCATGATACATCGAGTTCTGAAGAGGTCTTGCGGCAGCTGGTAGTTGGATAAAGGTGTGGAAGATTGCAGTAGATTACCACAGAACTTGTGCCAAATTGCCTTTCAGCGGATACGATGTCCACATCATTAAAATACCTGAAGAGCCTAGAGTCCGATCAGAGGGAACACCTCGATCGAGCTTCTGCAGGTCTTGGGAAACTCACTTCATTCGTAATCGATTTAAAATCCTGAAGACACCGCCATTTCCGGACAACGTGGGGTGTAAAGCACACGTAATTTGACTGCTGATAAGTGTCGGTTGCTGGTGTTGAGCATTCTCTCCATTGCCGGTGAATGGGTCTGTTAGAGCAGCCCAGGACGTTTTGCTGTTTGAGTTCTGCTCTAGGCATTCCACATTCAGCTGGATAAACCCAGAATTGTACGGATATAGACATCTTTTGCCATGTGCCCGATGTCGGAAACCTGACATGGTATAGGAATGAGAAGAAAACTTGAGCAAGAAGCGGCAACGGAAGCCGTAGTTAGCCTGGACTAAAATTACTGTGCCTTTCCTAATTAGGTAAGGCGTGCGCCGGGGGTGTCATTTTAACACTACAGTGGAGTTCTCGTAAGTTCTTCATAGCGACGAGACTGAAGTTTGAGTCAAGCAAAGATGTTATTATTTATAATTGCTGGCAGCTACAGCGCAACCTGTTGCCAAACCCACTCCAAAGTATCAGTTGATGCCGAACGTCGCACATCGCTGACGTCTTTGTTTGAGATGTTTCTAGCGCAAACTATCAACACTAGGCGAGGCAAACTGGGAAGAAATAGAATGTATAGATAGTTCATACTAGTTCGCATATCATAGCCTCTCACTAAATACACATGCTGAATATACGGTCCCCCACGAACTATCATCCATCACTAGTGCTCCATCTCAGCCATCTAAACCGTATCGAGAACAGCCTTAATAGGCTCCCTAGCAATCAAACGCTCAAGCCACTCTTTGGCATGAGGGAACTCCTCCGCCTTGAATCCATCCTCAGCAAGGTGGCTGTTAAGAATACGCTGCCAAGCAACGAACGCCACGTCAGCGTACGACAGCTTATTTCCAACTAGCCACGGCCCATCACCGAGACTCTTCTGGTGAGCTTCCTTCTGCTTAGCAAGCCATTTGTCCAGCACGCCAGTGACACGCTTGGCCTCATTGACATAGCGTTCCACAGCAGTGGGGACCTTCTCGGCGTGGTAGACTTTGAACCAGATAGCCTGGCCGTAGTAAGGGCCTTGGCCGGAGATCTGGAGATGGAGGAATGAGCGTGCAAGCTCGGCTTCAGCGCTGCGGGGCGTGAAGCTCAGCTTGCGGGGCTCTTGGGCGTCATAGCGGTCAATTAGATATTCGATGATGGCGCCACTCTCCCAGATGGTCAGGTCGGTGTTTGGGTCGTGGATTGAGGGCACACGTCCGTTAGGGTTGACGGCTTCGTATTCGGCGCCCTTGACCTCGGACATCTCGACTGGGACAGTTTCCCAGGGGAGTTCGAGGAGGGTGAGGATGAGGGCGGCTTTCAGAGGGTTGGGGTGGGGGGCGGGAGGCCCTCCGTAGAGCTTAATGGGCTTAAGAGTGGAGGCCATTGTCAGGGCTTGTTGATATGTTTTGAAGTGTTTTGAAGTGTTGGTGTGGTATGTTGACCATGCTATGTGAACTTGATCTTGCTTTATACTTGCTTTATACCTCATTACATCTCCACTTCAGCTCTTCCTGTGGGTCCCGTTGTGTTCTACTTGGCATTATTAATCCGACTGATTACACATGTGGCATCATATTTCCAAGGCTTGGCTTATTCATCTGGGGCAGCTCGGGCTTTTCGGGGGCCGAGCCTGCCAAGTGAGATCGAATACACTCACGCTTTGTTTCTCTACACGAAACCACTCTAAACATATATAGATTAGTGTTGAGATCACATGACCTTGGTGGTCATGTGACTCTTGATGATCTATAACGTGTCCTCGGAGGTCGAAGCTTCTCTCCTTCCCTGTCCGTTTTCCAACCAATAAATTGCTATTATTGCTTGCTTCTGTCCTGCCTGTCAAGAACTAGGCGGAAAATAAAGAACAGAACATTTCTAAACTCCAGAACGACCGCTTTGCGTATAATATTGTATTCTACACGAGACTCCTATACACTTCTACCTCACTGCCATTCCATACCCTGACATCCATCCTTCTCAGCACGACTATCTGACAACTGCTAAATATTGCACCGACATTACCCCTGTCAAAGCTACGCCTTATTAGTTTTATGATACAAGCCAACCACGAATGCAGTGAACGGACGATCAAACATATTCGCAGGAACTTCCGACTGCTCGGAGACGTCCAATCCCTCCCCTCCTCCCCCCTCCAACCCGTATCAGTCGGAGGCGAAGCATAATACAAGTCATACTAGAAGCGCTCTGTGACCATCTGCTAGAAAAGCCATATCTGTACCTCAAGATGACTATCTGTCTGTTGGATGAATTCCAGATGCTAGCACACAACCTCTATCATTAGGACGACCCTCGTATCCAGAGGCTGGTTAAAAAAAAAGACCGCCCGACAGGGTGCTAAAGAGCACAATGCCGATTTATCTTCACAACCTCTCCGAATTTGAGTCGCCCCACCTCATTTACTTTGATGAATCTAGATGTGATAAGCGGATTGGGGTCCGACGTATAAATTTATTAATAAGCTTAATTATAGCACAATAAAAATTCGCTTAACATTTTGTATAATTTCGTTAGTTGACATCTAGACGAGCGCACGCAAGCTAATGAACCGGCTAACGATATACGAGTTTAGAGATGTTCACCATTCTTATTGTAGTCGTTGTCTAGGAAGCCTCGAATTAATAATAGGAAACAAATTTTGAACCTCACTTTGTCTAATTAATTCACATATTCAGATGTGTATTTCTCCGATAATTTCCGTCGCTGCCCAATGAGCCAGGTGCCTCCACTGTGGTGACAATACTGGCCATGTCGATTTCAGAATAGCCGTAGCCCATCCCTCAAAGCACCATATGTGCGTTAGACGGTGCAAGACAACACAGTAAAAACAGAGGTTCACTAGTGCCATCGGCTCCCGTTCCTGCATTCTTTCTAAGAATCGTCGAGGACACCTTATTGCCCAGCAACATGCAGCATTCGTAAGAACGTGGTCTCGCTAAACTGTACTTAGGGCATCTTCCAATACGGTAATCGTTACTTGGTATACAGCAGTACCGTGGCCGGATTCTGGGTGCCGTAGGCGGTGTTTGCACTATAAAGTTGATTCACGGCCAACCGAACTTAATCTGGCAGTGGGGTTGAACATTCCAGTTCGACCAAGGCTGAGTCAAAAATAGGACTGAAATTGCTCTCCTGGATTGAAGGTCCGGAGACTTTCAGAACATGTTGCACGCCCTCTAATAACATGAGCACCTGGAATAAATTATTCACAGATGAAGATGGATTAATGGCGTTTTCTAGGCGCAGGAAGCCAAAGTAGAGTATAGTAAGGATACTCGGAACATGCAAATATTGCTTTGGCATATCTCGGCTGATATCACCGAGGCTTTTATGCCATTATGAATATTGTGGTCCGCAGTACGGCAGAGTAATGTGGCCGTCGGCTCAAACCGAGTTTTCCCCATACATAGTGAGAAGTGGTTGGTCTTGATAATACTATTAGTATCAAGCAATGATATGGGAAACCTTCTGTGATATAGTTCAATAGTTTTCATGTTATTGTTTTGCTCTCATGCAATACAAATCTTAGGTAGTCAAGGTAACAATGTGATCACGCGACCCCGCACCTGTCACATCACATCCCCGTACACGACCTCGTATAAATAGAGCAGCCCAGCTGCGCACTCACTTCCCCTTCTTCATATCCCACGTGAGTAACATCTCCCTCCCAACCACTTTTCGCACCTCGTTACAATATTGATATCTGACTACTTACTAAATGACAACCTATCAACCTCCAACCAAAACTTTGCAACACGCGACACGCGCCGTCCTACCTCACGCAAAATCAATAGCGCATTTTATGAACCCTTCAATCAACACTTCAGGCATTATAATGGAACCTCTGTGTACTGCATTATTACATCGCTCCTGTTCAGTCCTCACGTATTACCTAGCCCTCTCATGGGTATCAAACACCGACGACGACAAGCTCCCACGTCAACGCAGATGTGCGGGTGTCGATTGTTGTTTACCTCTAGATACCCAAAGCAACGGATTCCTTTACAGCATGTTGACATCTTGCCCTATATGTCAACATGATAAGTCGGTCTCCTACAATACTCAGCATCATACTCCAATCACAATCCTGACACGTCCTGAATATTATTTAAAGCAAGAATCAAACTATTCAAATTCACCTAAAATCTAAGTACACTCAACAAAGTTGTTCCCACTAGCTCCAGTATGCGTAATAACACCAGCAAGCTGGTTGTTCGTGTTAAAGATAACACGGTCCGCACCCGGTGAGCCACCAGAGTAAATGCTGCCACTGCTAAGAATGGGGAACTCGTAGTATGTTCCCGAGACAGGGAAGACGAAGCCCTCATAGTCGTGGTATACGTGCGGGTATGAGGATGCAGTGCTGCCTTCGGAGTACAGGTCATATCCAGCATTTCGGGCGGCAGCGACCGCGCTGCTGCTGTAGCAGTGGGAACCGCAGGTTGAGGCGCAGGCACGGGCCTCGATGTCCAGGGGCGCACCGAGAGTGCTGGAGATGAAGACGGCCGCGAGGGCGAAGAGCTGGGATGGTGTTAGTCGGTTATATTGCTGAGAAATGGGGCATGTTACCTTGGTGTACTGCATCGTGGGATTGGATATAGGTGGAGATTTATAGGGGGATTCTTCAAACTGCTCGGCTGGCTCTGAGATGTTCTTGCCTGCTGGAGTTCAATGCTGCTGGGGATATAGCTTGTTTATATAGACCTTGCCGGCGGAGCTGGAGACTTCTCCGATACTTCAATTAATCCAATACCGAAGCGAAGCATCTGCTTCATGCAGCGTTACATTCCCTAGATTGAAACATAAACCATCCCATTGGTGAGAGGTTATGCTTACACAATTTATTCCCGAGTTAATTGAAGTCTTTCCGAGTTAGGAATCTCCGCCGATCTGCAAAACCGGAGTATAATAACGGAGCGAAGGAACAAAAGACATCCGATTGGTCTAATGAACACAACGTGAAGAATTGGGCGATGATAGGGTTTCTGGAAATGCTCGCGCGCTATTCGAAAAGTGATCGACACGTTTCCGGGCGCTATTTAGTTAGTTAGACCCTTACTAGACTCATGCAGCTCAGATTAGCGTAGGGGATTCTCTCCTCTTTATCGGGCCAATGGGATCACTTGCTGCAGGCCACGATGTTGATCTAGCGGCCAGTTCTTCAGCGCCTACTGTGGGGTTAAGCACCGGGCTGTCGGCATCTGCTAAAAATCGGGTTTCGAATGAGGAAAGTGCGATTATAGAGCTTCACGTCCGGGAATATACTCCACAGAATACAGATCCTTCGAGCTAGGCCGGCCATATTATCTTTTTCGTAATTTGCATAAAGTGCTTTCCCCTCATTTCGTTCCGCCCGCCGACGGTTTCCGTGCTGATCTCGAGAAGTATATCATTTGGATCGACTCGGGAGTGCCCGATGGATACCAATTGGACTGTATGGCTCATGAGCACCACCTACTCTATTTCGCTTTTGCCTTGGCGGGCTGTTCTATCTATAGTTCTTATCACATAGACTTGGTATTATTGGGAATAGAATTTAAATAGCATAATGCGAATGTAGACGGTCGGGTACAACAGGGGTCATAAATGTGTATACAGTGCCCTAAAGTATTGAGCAGTTTCTACACGACAGCCTCTAAGCGAGTGTACTGCTCCATGGATCTTTTTGCCCTACTTTAGCCTCTCTTTTTTCACCTCTTTTTTTGGGGATCTTCGAGTGCCTCCGGTCAATCATGTAGATTGTATAAAGGTTGGGGTGTACAAGGGCTTCCGGCCTGTGACTGTATGATCCACGGCAAGGGATAAGCTCAGCTTACCCAATAACTATAGAATAAATGCGAGCCCACCAGCTCTTCGTTTTCTTGAGAGTCTCAATCTCCTCGGACTCAACAACCTCTCTCCTCCCTGTCCAAATATCCATATCCTCCAGTCGCACCAGTTTCGTCTTGTTCCAAAACTTGTAAGCAATGACGAATAACACAAACACCGGTAGCAAGATATAGTTGATCACAAAATCGGTCGAGCTGAAGGGGTTCAGGAAACATGTGTATCCTTGGAAGAAAATCAAAAAGACATTTGCTGCCAACGAAAGGTAGGTTCCCCAGGGATAGAAAATCGCTTGGTATGGGAGCCTTGATGGGTCTTGACCTTGCACAACAAGTGCTTGGCGGAAGCGAATATGTGCAATCCCAATCACTGACCAGACGATGAAAGTAGCCACTATACTTGATTAGAGTTACTCAATCCAGCTTGTAAATGGCAGCTTACCTCCTGAAAGTGTAATCAAGGCTGAGTAAACCTTGCCAGCACTAGATGATTGTCCCAAGAATACAATGCAAGCAAAGATATTGGTAAATATCAAGCCAGCCCAAGGAACTCCCAGCTTATTCGTACGACCAATAAACCTTGGTGCTTTTCCATTGCGGGACATGAAAAGGAGTGTCCGCGATGCCACATATAGAGAGCTGTTGCCAGCTGAAATGACACTGATCACGATGAGGGCATTGATGAGGTGGGCAGCCGGTAAAATACCGGCATCTTGCAATGAAATCGTCAACGGAGAACTGGCTGTCTTGGACGTAGATCCCAAAAGCCTGTGGTCATTCCATGGGATGAGGATTCCAATAAAGAATATAGTTCCTAACCAGAGATCAGCAGGTACCACCTTTGTCTTTTTGCCCACGTATACTTACCGACGTAGAAAATCAAGATGCGCCAAAATACCTGCTTGATTGCCTTCGGGACTGCTTTCGCAGGATTCGCAGACTCTCCAGCAGTGATGCCAACCCTATATTATCGTTAGCTTCAATCGCATGATCGGCTATTGTAACACTCGGAACCCACATCTCAGTCCCAGCATATAGTGTTCCAGCAACCACAAACGTTTTCGCCACGCCATTGATCGAATCCGCAAATGCCCCGGGATCATGCCAGTATGTAAAACCAATAGTGCGAGGCCCAATTCCGCCTGTGCTGATGCAAATCGCGAGAATGAAGAAGACGATTAACGCCAAGACCTTGATGCTGCGAACGATTAGCCCAATCTGCCTGTTTCAGTCAATCATTCGGCAACTTACAGAGACAACCAGAACTCCATTTCTCCATATGCCAGAATCCCAAGATTGGACAGGGTAAGGAACATCACCCAGAAGATGAGAATCCAAGCCCATTGCGGTACAGCATCCGTCCAATATCCAATAACAAGCGAGATGGCGTTATATTCGTTTGCAAGGACCTTCAGAGCAACCAGATGAGCATGCGATCAACTCCATAGCCCATTCAACAACAGATCCATACCGTGACCCACAAATACCAGTATGCCCAACCAAGCGCAAACGCAAGCGAGTCGTCAATAAATCGTTCTGCGTATTCAGTGAACGAACCGGTAACAGGAATCAAGGTCGCCATCTCTCCCAGTGATTGCCTGTACTCATCAGCATCCTTCCAAAACCAGCGCATGTGCCCTAATTACATGACGAAGAAGACGATGATGCCCACAAGTGAAAAGCTGATTAGAGCCCCTGCGGGCCCACCCTCGTGCAGCGCATTGCCCGAACTGACCAGTAACCCGGGGCCGATGATGCCTGTGAGAAAAATCAGCCAACGCCCCCAGAAAAACAAATTGTGGTTGCATGCGGCGGGTGTCGTACCTCCGATCGCGATCATTTGCAAGTGTCTCGACTTGAGCTGGCGCTTCAATGGCGCTGCTAGGGGGTCGTTTGCTATCTCTTCATCTGTGCGGTGCCTATCTTCTCCTGTCCCTGTCCCTATTCTTTTTGCTATGTCATCTTTGACGGGTCCTCTGTATGTGACTGCGGTATCGCCTTTGTCTGTCATTTGCGGGTATAATTTGTCCTATAATCATAGGACAATAATCAAGTCGGAGTAGCAGCTCAGCTGAATGAGGAAAATGAAGAGAATTTGCTCTCCAGGAGTGGTTGTCACTGGGATTCCCCCGCGGGGCTTGGAAGTGAGGATTTTCGGCCTGTCATTTGCTGCCGATGTCGTGATAAGCTGCGGGCGCATCGTTACCAGGTGGGCCCCATGGCGTTGCGCTTGGAGACGATCATTTGGAGGAAGGGTGGATGATTCAATGGGAAGGTATTTTCCGAGTATAGGATTGATGTAGGAGAGGAATATTGGCTGAATATTTGTGCGTGTTTGTTTGCCTGCAGGTGACCTTCACGCGACCGCGTTGGTATAGACGCGTGACAAAAGTTGGCGCCAATTGAGCATCGTACAGTTGCTCAAAAGAGAGGCGACTACAGTACATAGTAGATGCATCCAACAACATCCATGTCAGCTGTGCTTGTCTCCTGTGTCTACATGTACATGTGTGTACCTGGTACCTGGATCGGTGCACGGACTACGCCACGTGGGGCTAAAAATAAAGTTATCAACTACATGAATGAACCGACGCATGCATTATTGGAGAAATCACATTCAACGAGAACAGGAATAATATGGATACACTGGAAGGAACAGACATGGTGGGATAAACGGGCTCAGACAGGTGTAGTTGGTCTTCAGAGTGAGTCAGTAGCTCTCTTGTATCTTCATAGCCCCCCACAGTCTTCAAAAGGAAACAACTTGTCAAGGAAACTAGAGAAATGAGGAATAAAATTGCATTTTAGAACCGAGTACCAGTACATGGGGAATGGGAACAGGAAATAGGAATGAGGCAGACATATGTTGTGAAAAGAAAACCGCTCAGAGTGTAGTAAATCAAAGTCCTCAAAGCAGTAAAGGCTTTTAGGTCTCATCGTAGTGTCATCAGCACGGTGTTCTCGGGATTGAACAGAGGGAAAGTGGGAAAGGTGAAATGAGGAATTGGAATGAAGCAAACGAGGGTTGTGACATTAAATGCTCAGACAATGTGGGTAGTAGTAAGAGAAGGTCATCAGAATGATCAGATCTGTTCTCTTTGGTCATCCTAGCCCCACAGCCCACGAAAACCAAAAGATCCAAGGGGAAAAAGCGGGAAAAATAGAGGAAAAAGGCGAAGTGTCACAGGAAAATAGAACACAGGAAAGGGAAGAGAGAAGTCAGGTCAGTAACACAAGAGTCAGCAACACAGGAGAGAGAAGTAGAAAGGAAAGACAAGAGGCAGCAGCACAGGAGAGTGAACAGAGGAGTCAACACAAGTCAGCAACACAGGAGAAGTAGAAAGGAAAGACAAGAGACAATATCGAACAGGAAAGGGAAAGGAAGAAAATGAGGCAGAAGACAGATGATTTCAGAAAAAAGCTTGGAGGAGAGAGAAGAAGAAGCAGAGGAAGAGAAATTCGAGGCAATTTATAGACGCGAGGGTTCAGATGGCAGCGCGCAGCTCAAATGGCGCGGTCTCATTGGTTCAACACGAATGACGAGGCCGGGGGATGCCGAAAAAGGGAAGTACGGGGTAGTGAAATTAGGCTTGAGAGGGTTAGAGGTACCGAATTTTGGGGTGGTGCCCTCGTTGGGGCCGGGGCTACATTAGGACGAAAATTCATCGAGCTCTCCTGCGTGCAGATAGTGTTCGCCATCGATCAAACTACAAGGGCCGCTTTATAGTAGTATCTAGATCTTATATCTGACGCTTCACAACCGTATCTGATGCTGTGCGTGGGTGGTTGATGAAATAACGCAGCGTGGTTGATAGGGTATCGCGCAATTGCGCGCTGAAAAGTTCCACTATACATCTGATTTTCGCTTGGAACGCTGCATTGTTTTTAGAAATGCATCCGGGCATGTGATACACGGTTCTAACGCGTCTTTCTTGGGGATTCGATCATGATATTTCAATTTCAGCTTTAGCCTACTACGAGTATAAGATATTGAGTCCAAATCGCATCCTCCCAGCTTCATCCGCGAGGGAAACAATCAACAAGGATCTCCAGGTCTCCTACAGCGGTAGGACAACTTGTCGGTGAAAGTCTGACCCCATTTTGCACTAGCAAGAGGTTAATAACAAACAATCGCAGCTCGATCACAGAGAATAGAGTCGACATACCTCGTGTTCGTGTTGATGAAGTCCCGAAGACGCTCATACTTCTTTTTACGCTCCTCTGGGCTCAAATTGATCGCTGCAAAGATAGCCTCGGACATCTCAGTGATATTGGCTGGATGGAATGGAATACTACCTTCGGACATGAACGACGCCGCGCCGGCGAACTCAGAGAGGACGAGCACACCATGACGCTCTTGCTGGCAGGCAACGTACTCGAAAGACACGAGGTTCATTCCATCCCGTGTGGATGTGAGAAGACATACATCTGCTACAGAATACAATGCTGCGAGCTCGTTGAATGGGACGGAGCGATGCATGTAAAGCAGCGGAGTACCCTCGGGGGTGGCTAGCCGGTCAGTATGGCTCCAATCGCAGGGCAAAAGACTAACCATGCTTCCCGTTGATCTTTCCGGCCAGGGTACATAATTCGCGTTCGAGCTCCTGATACTCCTTCACGTCCTCGCGACTCGGCACGGCAACTTGGATAAGAATGACCTTGTTTTCGAGTTCAGGGTGGTCATCTAGGAAAGCGTCGAAGCCTTTCAGTTTCTGGGTGAGACCTTTAATGTGATCGAGTCTGTCGACGCCGACGATGACCTTGACACCCTTGTATCTATCTTTCAACTTGCGGATACGTTCCTGGACTTCTGGCTTCGCCAGGGTCTCTGTGAATTTCTGGGGGTCAATGCCGACAATGAACTTGTCTATACAGACTAGGCGATTCTTATATTGGATTTGGTTCCCAATCTCGGTGCGTGCACCGCTGGCGAGGTATCAGGGTGTGTTGTTACATTGGTTCGGGGAAGAATTAGGCCTGACACTCACAGGAGACTAGCGCAGGTGTCGATGAAATTCTGCTTATACTCGTCGGTGTGGAAGCCAATCAGATCGCATGACAAGAGACCTTCGATAAGGTGTTTTCGGACTGGAAGGTTTCTCCAGAAGTCTCCTGCGGGAAAGGGCGTGTGGAGGGAGAACCCAATGGCGCAGGATTTACCCTGTTCTTGCAAGCGGTTACGGAGAAGCTCGGGCAACAACATGAGATGGTAGTCGTGGACCCAAATTAGGGTTCCGCTTTTTGCTGCGTCGGCTATAGCATCGGCGAACAATTCGTTTACTCGTCTATATGCTTGCCATGGTGTATCGTCGAAGCTTACACCAGACTGGTAATGGAGGATCGGCCAGAGGATACGGTCTGTAGGTTAGTGATGCTGCAATTATATGATCAGAAGGCTTACTCGAGAATCCATTATAGTGTTCCTGTGACAATGTCTTGTCCAGGAATATGGGGATCGCGTTGTGCTCTTCCAAACTCTTGGTCACTTCCTCCCTGTCTGCCGGGTCTTTGAGTTCAATTCCGGGCCAGCCAAACCACTGGAACCGGGTGGACTTTGTTAGTCCTGAGAGAGAGGTGACAAGGCCACCACTCGAGAGCGATGATTCAAATCCTCCTTCTACTCGTTTGATGGACAGGGGAAGGCGGTTCGAAACAATGATGAGGTTACTCTTGGGATCGTTTGTTGGCTCCATACCTGTATGCAAAATGGAACTTCTATACCTTGCAAATTATGCTTGTAGAAACGGTATCAAAAGGCATACGAAATTGGGACCTGGGGCTATATCAAATATTTAAAAACTGAAAGGCGAGAGATTGCCTGCAGCCACATCTTGCCCCAGAAATGGCAAATGGCAAATGGCAATTTACGTCAGTGTGAATTTCAGTCTGTCTCGACCTTTGTTGTCTATGTTTCTTTGGTGACGGGTTGGACTGAGCTAATAGATTTATCATTCTAGAAATATTTTGGTTCGATGTTATTTTCTCCCTTTCGCCCTTATAGCGTGGTATATATAGGCGGGAGACGACGCCCATCAACTACCGACTCGTTCTAAATTACTTCCAATGAATGATTAATAAGAGTGGGGTTGAACTTGAATTTTTTTGATATTTACTGATTAATTCATGATTTGTTGCTTATTTTGTTTCATAGATGTCGTCATGGCCATGTCAGGGCATCCACAGCCCTAAACGCCTGTCGCCTCCATCTGCTTTTCCGATTTGCCTCTTTGCTTCTGCAGAAATTTGACAGCAATGAAACAACTCAATCCAGCTGCGTATGCACACCCAGCAAAAGCAATCAAACCCCAATACGCTCCCTGACAGCGGTGGATGATCTCGCCAGCAATCGGAACTCCGGTCAATGCTCTAATCGAAAATTAGCCATACAACTCAGAAAGATAAAATGCGAGTACACATGGAAGACTTACCCAAAGCTGACGATGGTATACACAGTTGTATAGTACCTCCCATAATTCTCAACGGGACACAACTCTCCCACGCAAACGGGGACAAGACTGATGTTACTCCCGCTCGCAAATCCAAACACAACAGAGAAGATAATGACAGCCACAACGTTTCCGTCTGCAGGCATCCAAATGCCCAAAACAGCAATCAAACAAAGAATGTTCGTCGAAATCAATGTATTGAAGCGACCAATGTGGTCGGCCACAATACCAGGAAGCCAACGTCCAGGAAACGAGCCCGCATTCAAAAAGACAACCATCAGATACGACAACTTGGGAGAGATACCACTCGCAATCGAATACGAAGCAATATACTCAAGCGGAATGAAGAAACCCCATTCAATAAAGAAAACACCACTAGTCGTCAAAGCAAGCACAGGATCCTTGAGAATAGTAAGATCAGGCAGGAATGCCTTAAGCGACGGCGCGGACGAAACCTTTGGCGGGAAATTGGCACGAACAAGCAAACAACCAGGAATGAGCAGAATCAACGTGATAAGCCCAACAACACGACTGGCCCAAGCAAATCCAATCCTTGGAGCAAGATTCTCCAAAACCAAAGGAAAGATCACACCGCCAATACTCCCACCCGCCAAAGCAAGCCCAGTAGCAGCCCCACGCCTCTTTATAAAGAAATGGCCAATACTCGCAACAGGCACAATGAAAATAAACGACGTCCCCATTCCACCCAGGATTCCAATGACAATAAGGAAATGCCAATACTCAGAACAAAAGCCCATCAAGACAAAAGCCAGAACGAGCAGACTGGATCCCAGCCACATCAGCAAGCGCGGACCCTTGATATCGAATATCGGGCCGATCTGGATACCGCAGAAGAAGACGAGGAAGTTGTAGATGCCAAATATCCAGCCGATCTGTCCTTCGCCTATGTGGGAGAGTTGGTGTGTTGAGATCCAGGCTTGGTAGATACCGATGCTGTTCATTAGACCCAGGCCCCCCATTATTGCGCTGAAACTGCCTGCCACGACGAGGTTGCCTGTTAGGCCTCCTTCTGGGCACGAGGCTGGGCTGTCGATTTTCGGTTCGTGGTGCATTCTTTTGGAATTGGGTTGGAGTTGGAGTTGGTTTATGCAAATAGATGTATGGATGAGGGCTATGCAATTGATAGAATAGATGGATGAAAGAAGGGTGTATATGGTACTTTTGAAAAGATCTCTATAAACAAGTCAATGTATGGATATAACGCCCGCCTTTAACTGTTCTACTTAGTGGATAACTGCAAATTTTCACCAAGTCTTTTCCTTTGTCCTCGGCCATTGTCAATGCATCTAAGGCGTGGTTGACATTTGACGTGCAGTGGGACCGAACTGATAAAATCGCCGAGGACTGTGTGAAGATCGGGACCGGGACTTTGTTGTCAGGGGACATGCAGGCCCGTTAACGGATGGGCAAATCAGCGTGTGCTATATTTCGTCTTGTAGGTATTGTATCGGAAGATACTCGGGTCGCCCCGTGGCAAAGGCGATCTATGGGTTGTGGCGGCCGATGGCCGATGGCCGAGCCATCCGGCGGACGTGGGGCGACACTGCATCGGCGAACCTAGTTACAGACTATACGGAATGAGTCAAATACACGCAGAAGGCTTTGTAAATGCATGTGAATAGACGATCGGCCCAATAGAACTAGAACTGGAAAGAATCTCATCGGCACATTTGAGGCAGGTTGTTCGCCGAGCTATTTGTGGGAATTGTATGATACAATCATGTTCTGTTTCATATGAAATTTTAGCCGGGGAAATGTGGTGAAAAATGACAGGATAGAGGCTCATATAGCTCTCAGAGATATCAAATTGAAGAATTACAAGAAACGAAATAACCATGACAATGGTATACAGTCCATAAAACAAAACAAAATCCAACCAACCCCGAACCCAGCAATTCTGCCGGTTATGCTGCCGAAACCAAACAATGTAAACCAAGACGCCATACCAAGACCAGACCTAGATGTCAAGCTGTGGTCTATGCAAACCTGCGCTTGGTAGGACTCGGTGTCCGGAGGTGCTGCTCACGATCACGGCTGCGCTCGGTGACAAAGTCCATAGACTTGGTATTCTCAAGCAGCATGGGCGGGTCTTGTTTCTCGCCGTAGTTCATGTCTTGGGTTTGCCGAGGGTCTTGTCCGTAGTACCCAAAGGCGGGGTTGTGGTGTAGCTGTGGATGCATGGGCTGCGGTTGTGGGGGGTGCTGTTCGTAGTGCTGTTGCTGGAGACGGTGTCTGAATGAGCGGAATGACCAGTTGCTGACAACTGTGACTGTGGAAATCGTAGCCAGGAAGAATAACTAGGCATATGGTTAGCATAGTCCACACAGTCGAGGCAGAAGGGTACTCACAATCGCCTTCCAGCTGATAGGGTCAATGAAGCTATTGATGATAATCGCCATTGTATGCGCCGAGACTTTGGCACGGCCAACCTTTGCCGGGTCTCGATTCATGCACCGTTCCCAGTTCTCGCAGATTGTCTCTAGGGCCGGGGCCCGACTAGGTCGGCCGCAGTCATTGTCGACGTAGCTCTTCGTGCATACCGCCATATCGGCCAAGATTGTATCGGACATTTCTTGCGCGGCCTGCTCAAATTCACCGCGGATCGCTGACACAAACCCGAACACGACGTACACGGCCAGAGAAAACAGAGATAAGTTGACCACCAGCTGGGCCCACCATGACAGGATGGCGGGAACATTCGGGTGTGCCTCGAGCATGCTGAAGAATTCGGACCAGGTTGATACCCGCGATCCTTGTAGTTCTGCCTCTTGTTGTCTTCCTTTCTTCGCGGCTTTTCCTGTCCTGTTTTCTCTGCTGTTGGGTTGGTCTAGCTCGCTCTCGTCGTCGCTTTCGATTCGTACTGTTCGGCCAAGTTCCTGATCCCTTCTCCGCCGCTTCTGTACCCTATTTTGAATGGCGTTTGAGTGGTGGGTCAATCGTGGGATCCCCCCTCGCCCTGGACTAGACCGGCCAAGGAAGCTGAAATGTGAGCTTGACTTCCCCGTCTTGGAGGGCTGATCAGGCGTATCCTCATTGTCTGCGCATTCCGGTGATGACATGTTCTCCGGGCCAGAAGAGAAATCGACTTCGAATTTCCGCGGTGTCGTGAAAGCAGGCTGGCCGAATTTGGCCTTCGGCGAGAGAGGTGCGGATTGTCGGGGTTGAGTGAAGAGGAAGGGCTGGGAGTTTGGTTGGCGGAGAGAAGGCAGCTGTGGCTTCGCGGGAGAATCGAATACACTGTGTGTTCCTGGGGGCTTGTCAGAGGGATTGATCTTGCGTGGAGTGACATCGTTCGGGCCATCTCCGGTGAAATACGAACGTTTCTTGTCGTGTGCGCCTAGATTGAAGGGCGAGTTGGGATCGACTGGGCCTCTGGATTGCCATTCAAAGTCCATTGGACTTTCTGCCGTTCGCCTGTCCATGTTTGCGACCAGTGTGGGAGCGGGTGAGGTTGGAGAGCGGGTAAGTTTTTGTTTGGGGTAAACATCCAACCGCAACCTTGGCAACTGGCCCTATACAGTAGACACAATAGGTCAATATGGTTCATGTTTTTTTTTTATTCTCAACAAATTATTTGAATCAAATAAAGGAGTATTCGGGGTAGCTCTACTAGTTATACAGCCAGATCAAAATTATACTCTAGACAAAGGGTCAAACTACTCTACGAAAGAATACTACTCGGACCAAAAACTGTAGAAACCATCCTGCATGAGGTGACCAGCACCAACAGAAACATTAAACAGACATTTATTCATCCATCTGCCACTGATAATCCAAAGCCTCAAACCGGCTCTTCTTATTCCTCGCCGCAAACCACTCCTTCTCAAACCCAGTAGACCGATCGACCCCATCCCACCGATGTCCAGGCCGAATGCCATACCGATTCGGCTGAAAGGCACCCCGATACAACGGTTTCCCAGAAACACTAGACCCAGCATCCGGCCGCGACGTAAGGAACTCCGCGGCAGGATCATTCCATCGCTCCCGCGCCCGGAGTTCATCATTCATAATATCATCATCGATCGTCCGTGCCACAGGCATAGACTTGACATTTTGCAGTTCCTGTCTCCGCTCTTCACGCTGCTGTCGCTGTACATCGCCCATGAGAGCCTCGCGCGCTTGTTCTTCCTTCTCGCGCTTTTCCTCCTCGGCGCGGCGTGCTTCAGCGCGTTTCATTGCGACGTTGATGATCCGTCCGGACGCGTCACGGTAGATTGTTTCCTGGGTCTTTTCGTTCGAGGCAGTCGGATCGCGGTATAGTGCCTCTTCGGCTTTGCGCCTTTTTTCTTGCGCTTTTACCATGGCTGCTGTCTGGGCGGCTGTTTGGAGACCGCCTCGAGCACCGGATTCCATTCGCGCGCCGTCTTCGCCTTCATCTTCCTCTTCGATTGTTGGGCCGTCATCTTCTTCGGCGTCTTGTTGGGCTGTTCGTTCCGCGGCTGCTGAGGCGAGGATTGCGTCTGCGGCTGCTTGTTCGCTTTGTTCGCCTGGCGCTGGTCCGCCGATTGTTTTCCAGCTTGACTGCTTTGCGCGGCGAAATTCGGCGCTTTTGGCCGATCGCTCGATGTACGGGCTGTCTTCATCGTCTTCTTTGCTTTTGCCTAGTGAGGCGCGAATGTCGGGTGGGTCATCGTCTGCGATGATGAGGCCGGAGCCGGCTGTGTCGACGGCTTTGGTCTTCTTGCGCTTCTTCTTTGGTCGCTCCGTTGCCGGGTCGGCTGTGAGGTAGTTCTTTGCTAGGTATTCGGCGAGTGAGCCTGGCATGATCTCGTGGGGTTGTGTGTATGTCGGTGTAGAAGTGTAGGTTGAGCTCAGTGATTTATCGATTGATACCCGGAGGAATGTTTCCCCGAACTGTATGCTGCCTAGCGCCATTCTATGTCACAGAGTCTCTCTTGATCTGTGGGAATGTGAGAAGAGTCTTTGGCATTTATTCTGTAATCCTTTCTTGTTCTCTTCAAAGACATAATGCCTCGCTCAGAAGAAGCAGAGTGGTGGGCAAATGCGGTCTACGAGGCTATCCAAGAGGTCCCCCGGGGCAAAGTCACAAGCTATGGTCACATCGCACGTCTACTTGGCGAACGTACGGGCTAATTCCCATTAAATGTGTCTATATACTAACACCGTCCCGTTGAAATAGCCCAGCGCCCTCGTCAAGTCGGAGTTTGCCTAAAGGTTCTCCCAGCGGCAGAGTCCGGCCAACACTTCAACTCAAGCAATGTACCCTGGCAGCGGGTAATCAACTCAAAAGGAATGATCTCGCATCGGTAAGTGCATGTTTCAATCCTATGACCTTGCCTCAACCCAAGTTTGGTCACTCCGCCACGCTTCCAACACATGTTCATGTTCATGTACATGTATAGCCTGTTTAAACCACTGGCTAACAACAACGCAGTGGACCCGGCAGTGCAGGCCGCCAAGCCGAAGCCCTCGCAGAAGAAGGTGTGGAAGTTACTACTGACAGCATGGGGGAGATGTACGTTGATTTCTCGCGATATGGATGGTTTCCAGACCACCTCCCCAGCGAGACGAGCCAGCAATCATGACACAACGCGTAGATCGGGCATCCATGCATTATCCCTGGATTTGAATCAATGAACACTGTTTGCAGCGACATGCATATCTTTAAATCTTATTCACTCTTCGGGTCAGGTGGAAAGAGATGATGTAACGAACGAATATCGAATCCGTAGATTGGGACTTGTCTGGAATCTAGAATAGAGATGACATCGTACATGGAGGAGAGTAACGCACTAATGAGGCAACCTGTCCATGGTCTGGATAGTAAAGGGAAGGGTCTATAAGGAAAAATGAGAGGGAAGGGAGGTCAGACGGGAAGGGGAGGTCAAAAGCGCGGAGAGGGGTCATGAGCATACGAAAAACAAGCGCATCCAACCAACTACCAAGCTGAACCCAAAGAGTAGAAAGAAAGAGAAGAGAAAGAATGGAAAAAGAAGAGTGAAAGCACATAGAACCAACCAGCATCAATCCGTAAATGGAAAAGAAAAAAGATCGTTAAAACTCACATCATTGCCATAAGGGCATATCCGCAGAAAATCAGAAGAGTTTCCATCTAGACTAAAGAAATTGGAACAGGAGACCAGACATTTCATCGCTTCTTGACCTCAGTAGCCCAGCCTTCAATGCCCTCTCCGCGGGTTCCAGGGGGAATGCCTAGATCAATCCCATCCATCCCTGGTGTGTCCTTCATCCACTCATGAGACGACATTCCACCGGCATTGGCACGTTTCTCTGGTGACAGATCCAGCATGGGTAGTAGGAGTTCACTGATGCGCATGCTTTCTTCCATCGAGTAGTGGTACTTTTCTCTGAGGACATCGGGCAGGGCCCAGTGGCGGAGTCGATGAATGTTGCGCAGCTCACCCTTGCGATTGAAGATATCTTGGGACCATTTTCCAGACAGGCAGAGAGATTTGGGGAAGGGACCGAGGAGTTCAATGATCTGGGCAATGTGGTCGTCGTCTTTGCCATACTTGGTCCCTGATTGTGGGTCAAACAGGTAGTCTCCGGTGATCAATTCAAAGACCTGGACAGTTAGATATGTTCGCTTGGGATAGTGCATGTCACTTACCATGCATGCCATGCTCCACACGTCGGTACTCGCGCCCCATTTAGAACCCAGGATGACCTCGGGTGAACGGTATTGGCGGGTTTGAATGTCGTTGGTGAAGTGGTGGCCGACCCAGCATGCGTTGCCTAGATCAGCGATTTTGACGGAGATGATGTTGGCGTCAATTTCTTCTTCTGTGGACTTAGTAGAACCTTTATCAAGAGAAATACCAGACACTTCTCGCTCCAGAAGATCACTGCAGAAGTTAGACGGCTGAGAGAGACAGTGGGGGTAGGGACGTACGCGGTCTTCTCGCGCTGGTACTGCTTCTCATCTTCTTCCTTGACGCCGAGCAGCTCTTTCATTGACGGGGTATCTGCAGGTACCGAATGAGTGTGAGTATGTGCATGTAGGCGTAACAGGAGGCGCAACAGAGGCGCAAGAGAAGGCGTAGCCAAAACTGACCTGTGTTTTCGTTGACGATCTGGCTGAGACTGCTATGGGAGTTGGACGAGCTATGTTTGAAGTCAAAGCTGCTAAAGCTGGTGTTGAGAGGACTAGGCAACGGCTGACTGCCGGTGATCAAGGTGCGCCGCCGTCTACGGCCATTCCGGTTGTCCTCTTTGGCTTCCTTCTTCGCTTCCTCCTTGACATGCGCCTTGACGATCTGCTCGACGTCGCCAATCTCGATCAACACATTCTCCGGCTTGAGATCTGTATGGATGATCCCACACTCGCGGTGCATATAATCTAGGCCCAACAGCACCTGCTTTGTGATTTGCTTGACGAGCGGCATCGGGATACCACGATGGTTCCAGCGCTTGATCAATCCCAACAAGTTCTCGCCAAGGACTTCAAACACCATGCAGACATGGACACCATTCGGTCCCTTGTGTTCAAACGAGTCCAACAAACTGACGACATGCTTCCGACCGGGGTGGGATGGTTTCGCTTGCACGATTCGGTTGAGGAGCTTGATCTCATCGATCGCGGTTTCGGTGTAGTGTGCGGCCGACCGAACGACCTTCAGCGCAACGTGTTTTCCGGTCGTGGTATCTCTTGACAACCAAACCGTAGAGAAATGGCCCCAACCGAGCTTGCGCACCACCACATAGCGGCCATTGTTGTATGTTTCGCCCACCGCGACCGGGTGGTATCCGCCCTTGCAGTAATCCTCAGAGTCTTCTTCCTCGGCAGTGGCCTCGAGTTCTTCGCCCGACGACGCAGACGACGAGCGCGATCCGGATCTGGAGTTTGGAGCGGCACCGGTGCTGGGAAGAGTTAGCATGGGCCAGCCCATCATGAAAACATCACATACGATTCAGTGGGGGTTCCTTCATTGGTGACGATGGGCTTCAAATCAGTGCCCTTTCTCCTTTTCTTGCCGCCATTGCCATTGGCAGCTGAAGCAGCGACACTTGCCATTTGTTTGCCCTTGTTGAGCATTGCTTTGGTAAGATCGACTCCCTCCATGGTGTGGAGATTTGAGAGGGAGAGGCGGGGCACGGCTTTTGGTTGGCTCTGTAGGAGGGCGGTGGATGAGTCTACACCGTCAAATATACTATGTGTGATATCCAGGTGGTGATAGCTGATAGTTGACAGTAGTCGACAGTAGCTGATAGTAGACAGTAGACAAGTAGTTGGTGTGTTGTCGACGGTTGACAGTTGATAGTCGACAGGACAGTCGACGTGGGAGATGACGTCCAGCACTCGTTGGGCAATCCGGTCGTTACCTATTAGGTATCAATCGCGAGATGATCAAAATCGAGAGAAGAGAGGTATGTCCAGATGAAAGTCCCAAGATTGTCTCGGAAGTAACTCTCTTCCGCAAGCAGCCAGGTGGTGGCGAATACGCATCGAGTAGAAAATAAATAGCCTATAGCGTGATGACGAAGAACTTCATCACGTAGTATTTTATTATTTTATATGCTGCGTTGGCTGTTGGGTTACTTCCTGCATACATCGTTGACTGCTCCATATACCTAGGTATATATTCTGCCAGTTATGCCTGACCTTTGCATCTCCTGATGTCACAGATGACTTTAGCTCCGACGCATCTCGAACTTCACGTTTACAACCACCATGGGCCCCTTCGATCGTCGCCCAATCCCTGACTACTTCATCGCCTCGCCACTGGTAGCCTTACTCTATCCAGTTCACCAAACTCTCCTCCGTCTTCGCGGATCACCTCGTCTCCCTCCACCAGACGCCCGCCCAATCCGCGTAGTCTGCATCTCAGACACCCACACTCTAGAATGGCCCGACATACCTGATGGAGACCTGCTCATCCACGCCGGTGACCTCAGCAACGATGGCTCCGCGCGCGAGATCCAAGCCAACGTCGACTGGCTCCGAAGCCTTCCACACCCGCACAAGATCGCCATCGGCGGCAACCACGACAGCTACTTCGACGTACGCTCACGCCGAGAAGAAGACAAAGAAGAGCCAACCTCAACCGGCGCCCCCTTCGCCGCAGTCTCCTCATCCACCGCCTCAATCCACTCCCTCAACGACCCAAGCGCCTCCCACATCGACTGGGGCGACATCCACTACCTCCAACATTCCGCCGTAACCCTCACCTTCCCAGGCTCCTCAGCAGCAACCCCAACAACACCCCTCAACAGCACACGCCCACGCTCCCTAACAATCTACGGCGCGCCCCAAATACCCGCCATCGTCCCCTTCGGCCCCGAACACGCCTTCACCTACCCACCCCAACACGACGCCTGGTCGGGCACCGTCCCCCAAGAAACAGACATCCTAGTCACCCACACCCCGCCCCAATCCCATCTCGACCTATCCCCCATCTACTCGACCGGCTGTCCAAACCTCCTCGCGGAATCCTGGCGCGTGCGCCCAGCCCTGCACGTCTTCGGCCACGTCCACGAGTCTTCCGGTCAGGAACCGATCTTCTGGGACGAGGCCCAGCGCGCCTGGGAACGGCTCTGTGCGTCGCGCCGCCCTCGCGCAAGATATGGTCGCTTGGCTTCGTTGGCGGGTTTCCTGCGTGATTTGTTCGATCTGTCTGGTTGGGCGGATGCGGCTCGTGTGGTGGTCTATGGCATTCTAGGGGTGGTCTGGGCTCATGTTTGGGGAGGGGAGAATCGCGGTGGTGGGTGGATGGTGAATGCTGCTTGCATGTATAGCAGTAGTGGTAGGTTGGGGAACCCACCTAGGGTTTTTAATTTGTAATTCTTGTTCAGCGTGCATAGCGTGTGGGTTTCGGCTCTTTATCATACCACACGCCCCATATAATGCTTGGGCTGTTTACTCTGGGGGATTCGATTATGCTGAGCATTTACTCGCAAGCTCCAAGGTGTTGCAGTACCCAGCGGAGTTGTTGACCTGCTTAGTATAGCAAGCAAATAGTTATAATTTCAAAAGTATATAATCGATCGAAGGGCGACGAATTAGAACCCAAAGCTTATGAAAGACACATGTAGATGGTGATATAAGTTAACAGCTGTATTCCAGCCGAGGCCTGGCTAAATGAGATCGCGTCTTTTCGTCTCTGCAAGCAACATGCTTCTTGAGCTACTCCGGGTATTTCCACTGTGATCCATGGATAATAACAATAGCTAGCTAACCTAAGCTTGTCAGTAATAGGTCAAACCCCCTAGTCAGTGGCTGCAGACACAAAAGAGGAAATATAAATTGCACCAAACCATCCACCAACATTGTTAACTGATTGGCCCTCAAAGCCAGGCTATAAAACCCAACAGTCCAATCCCCTCGCCAAAGCAACCCCAAACATGTGCAAATGAAGTTGCATACAGTAGCGCTAGTATATATCCACCCCAAGCAGTGGTTCGCAAATAGATAGCGTGTGGGTAAGTATTGGCGCCGAGAGATTTGACTTTCAAAGAGGGGGGTAGGGTAGGGGGGTAAGGGCTGTGCAAGCTAGCCTGGGTATATAAACTGACTATCCCCTCGCGATCGATCTTGATCTTACTTTACACAGCCCTATCAACTCTATTCTACTTCCTCACCTCATCACCATGGATTTCCTCAAGAACGCTGCCGAAAAGGCCACCGGCGGAAGTGAGCACAAGGAGGAGAACAACAACCAGCAAAATGACGACTATGTTGACAAGGGTATGTGATGTGGCTTGTTTCATTTAATTATGTTCTATATCCACTGTTGTGGACATGGACTAATATGATATCATATTTTAGCCTTCGCTATGGGTGTGAAGAAGTCTGGTTACAGCCTCGACCGCAGCACCCAGGAGAAGGTCACTGATGGTGTCCGCGACGCTTTCGAGAAGGCTACTGGGTATGTGCTTTTGTTTTTTTTCTTTTTGCTGGTTGCTGCTAACTGGATATTTCGTTGTAGCAAGAAGCTTTCTGAGAATATCTCCAACTAGAGTAGGACTTAGCATACCAGATATGAATTTGATATGAGTGAATGTATATGCTCCTATATAGACAGAATTTGTCTACCGTGTAGGGGCTTTCCTATCTGGGCTGCCGCCGCTTTTTCAGGGCGCTCAGGCTTAGGATGCTACATCTACTCAGTGATCACGCTCAATTCAGTCACGTGTATGATGACTAATCCCAGTCGTGATCAGACTACTCCTCGGGCATGCCAAGTGCGTGCTCCGGGATCGCTCAGTGAGTGCTCAGTGATCCCTTGGTAATGCTTAATGAGCAGCCCTGATTTGTCCAACTCAATCTAGACCATATCCAATAGAGAAAAACACCACAGGGCCATTTATTCTGTGATGGTTAGTGCGTTGACGATATTTTGGGCTTCCTTCGTTTTCTGGAGGATCCCTTTGTCCCCAAAATAATGTGTCATGTCTATCAGGCGTAAAGAAGGCGGAGAATGCCATCCAATTAGGGCTATCGGATAGCCTGGTCAAAATCCTTGTTCTTTTAAGTATGGCGGGCGACTCGAGCTCGAAATATTAGCTATATAAGGACACTATATCCCTATAAACTAGCTATTTTATTATCTTAGACTTCTTTCTTTCTATTAAGCTGCTTCTATAGCTAGCAGTCGAGTAAGGTGGCTTCTAAGGCTGATGTGATAATTAACTGACAAAAGAATGCTCCGATGATGACTATCAGGTAGCCCTTTCTAAAGCAAATCCCCATCGCGGTGCATGAAGTCTAATCCCCCGTGTTGTAGATGTGACTTCTGTTGTAATAACTACCTCGTGTGATGTCAGAGCCGAAAGCCTACCCAAGTCCCTGTTTATTGAACGAGAGAAAGCCGATTCGTCGGTGCGCCACAAAGCAACATTTTGCCCTTTCTTTAGAAGGGTAGGATCATGTTCGACATCACCCTCGGGCTCGACAAAATCGCTTTCGATTATCAAATTGGCAGCATCTGGACCGGCGAGAGACTCTGGTTTTGGGCCTTGGATATTCGCAGCATCCAACACTCCCCTGTATCGCTTAAGATAGCCAAATGTCTTTGGGAATTCATCCAAGAAAAAATGTTCCGGGAGAGCCCCTGGCATGCCGAGAATCCAATCCAGAGCAAACGCGGCTTAACGATGGTCAGTCTGTTCTTTCATAACTGTCAGAAAACCGGCCAACTTACTATGGATATCTGCAAGTCCAGGGTTATCGGTAGATAGGACCCAATGCCTATCATCGGAGAAAAGACTCTCCAGAAAATTGAAATGTGTTCTAAGGTTTACCAAAGAAAGTGGTCGCCCTTTCTCCTGAGCTTCGACACTGATTTCAGAGTCCCAGCACTGTCGCCTGTCCTTTACCATCTGCTCATTATCCAGGAAGGCGGGGGGTAAAGAACCGATAATCGATGGCATGACTGCATTTTCAATCCATTTTTCGAGCGTCTTCTCCAAAGCTCGTGACGTTGGATCTCTTGCGCCTAACGTATTCCCGGGAAAAAGTTGCTCAAGCTTCTCCAACATAAGGACAGTGTCGAAGTATATATCTCGTCCGATCGCAAGGACAGGGATCCGGCGGTAATGAATGTTAAGACCCGCCAGATCAGGACGCGGCATGACACCTGGTTGAATGCATTCGTGATAGGAGATTCCGCGAAGGGCAAGGTATGCGGTGATTTTGGCAGCCCATAGCGATCCAGGGTAATGGAATAAGACGATCGGGTGTTGATTAACTGCGGCCATCGTGAATCAAGAAAGAAAGATGAACAATTTCAAGATCAATCATCAACGAAGAGAAAATCCGTGTTGAGAGGAAGAGCGGTGGTGGTCCTTGTCACCATGATCGTCGGTTACCCGGATCCCGTGGCGGATTCTTAAAACCCGGGATCCGAGAACACTCTTCCCGTGCTCCGGCATCCGAGTGAATACCCTTTGCTGATGGATTACATGTAACTTATCACCCTGCCAAACATGTAACGCCGGTAATTGCAAAAATTACGGACCGTGACTAATCCGATTATGTACATATCGAACTCGGCCTTCGTTTCGACTATATTGATCATCATCCATACTAACCACACACAGCATGACCTGCCAAAACCTGTACGTCGCTTTTCCAGCCACTGTTTCGCGCAGGCTAGATGGGAAAGCGCTCGGCACTGATCGCAACGCAAGATCACGCACTCGTTTGCTTGTTCCTCATCCTCGGCCAAACAAAACACACAGTGGATGTCGTCGACCTTTTATTTAAGCTGAGATTCTAGAGCGTCAGAGCGTCAAGTCTTGAACACCAGTCCAGATATAGTGACCGACGACAGAATAGCTCAGCTGGTCGAGCCGGCGAAATGTTCCATGCAACACTGTTCACTCGCAGCATTACGACAGTGGCAAATGGATTAATTGGTTGCACTGGCTCGGAGCTGGTTGAAAGGGGCACCGGCGAGTCTTGTCTGATCCCGCGACGAGGTGGCGGCTGGTGAAGGGCCAGCGTTGAAGCGGCTAGGTTGCGCCACATTTTCAGGATTGATAGAAATGTAGGAAATTAAGGCACGTCGGGAAGGAAGTAGATCCAATACCTACCTTGCGTATTTTCGACTTACGACTGTAGCAAATGGCCGCGCACCCGTATAAAGGGATAATTCGTAAAAGCATAGATGATGTATCACAAACTAATGCTTAGCCCTACTTAAATACTGTACAATGGTTGGCTAAAATTCCTAGATGTCCATGGACATTTTGAGCATGCCCATGGACTGTCCATGGCGATGCCTGTGCACTGTGTACAATAATGTAGAAAGATTGATTGTTTGTGAGTTTTTTGGAGGCTCCGCCAATTGGGAGCTCCTGGTTCGCTTGACGACGGGAGTGGCAGTGTAAGTAATGCCTGGTTGTGACTGTCAAGGAAAGACAGGCGATGGAGGGTCATCGTTGCCTGTCCTGCCTTCGATGAGTAGCATCAGTCGGGTCCTTTCTTTCATCGAACTCGACATCACGGGAAAAGAATGTCTTTCCAGAATACACCTCATAAAGCTTGTCTTTGTAGATCGCTTCGTACAATGTCTCTGAGGAATTGATATGGTGCGCGAAGCTTCAAATGTTAATCAAGTGTTGCTTACAACGAAAGCAACTCCTTAGAATTCATACCACTGGTAGAGTTCCGTACACATCTAGACAGTCTTCTACGATGGCATCAACGAAGACAATAATCGTCAGGAACTGGCTCAGCACTACGATCCATATTCACATTCGTCATCAAAGCCTATCAAATCATTATAATCATCAGGCCTCAACGTGTGGATGATGGCTGACCTTAGTTAACAAGAAAGGATTGATCAAATTGAGCCCATTCGGAATTCTGCTTGTTCTAGCCTAAAAGCCCCACTGCTTCAGCCAGTTCCCCATCAAAGCAGCATCGATTGGTGCGAGACTACGCATCGTCTGGCTGGCCTCCTGACATCTCGTAGTCTCCGCAGGAGGATTTGGAGGACCCTGCTTCCCTATCAGTCCTCGGAAGAAATCAATGATTTTCAGTGCCGGTTTATCCTGGAGGTCAGATTCGGTGGGATTGCTAAACCCTTCAAGGGATTCCAGCCAGCTATTCAGATCGACAGGATCGACCGCGTAGTACTTTTGAATAGTGGGAATTAAAGTCTTCCAAGATGCGTCCGAAGGGTTGACGAGATGGAAAGCCGCACAACGCAGTGAAATCTCTGTACTCTGTCGGGATTGGGTGATTTCGACAATAATTTTGGCGAGCGAGTCCTTTTTAAATAATAAATCAGCGGCTGCCAAACAAAGGTTTGGGCTCGGATATTCTTTGTCTGAGTTTGGGGTGGAGTTGTTTAGTTATGGCTGAGGGTTGAACGTACCACTGGAATCCAATCTACTGGCATGGTTCCCAAGCTATTGGGGACTTGCTGGAGTGTCTTCGAGGTTGCTACGAGAGAGGGCAGCCACTCCTGCTTATTCCAGAGACCCTTTTCAGCAGTTGGTCCTCCAATCTGACCAACTCGGTAAATGCTGGTCGGCACTCCTGAACGGGCAGACGCAATTGCACAGATACGCTCAGAAACATATTTAGACTCTCCATATCCCTGCCGCGTGGCCACATCCGGATCTTCTAGCGGGATTTCTGGGACGGAGGGGCCGTGCTTTTGGCTCCAGGCTCCGATAGTCGAGAAAGACGAAATGAAATGGAGATGTGGTTTGTTGGTGCTTTCCATGCAAAAGTCGACCAACCGGCGGACGCCTTGGATATGGGTATCCTCGAAGGCCTCCACTTTGTGGTTGAAGTTGACCTTCCATGCATTGTGGATGATGGTACTGACCGACTTCTTTAGTTTCTCATACACCTGGTCTGGGAGGCCAAGTTTTTCGGAACCAAATCTGGCCGGAAAAATTTCAACACGGGAAACGAAATTTGGAGGTATCTCAAGCCCCTTTCCTTCGAAACCTTTCAATTGCCTCGTTTCAGCATCGTCTGACCGATTAAGGCAGTAAATCTTCGAGATAGTAGGATCTTTGGTAAGTTCGCTCAGGATGTAGTTCCCCAATGATCCAGTGGAGCCTGTTAGAATAACGGCACGGTTGCCATCTCTTCTGAATTCAGTAACTCGAGTTTGGGGCAGATCTTTGGTGTATTTCTCAACAAGCGCGGCAATCCTCGCACGTCTTCGTGAGTCGTCATCGGTTCCCATATCAACACCGGTTTCGTCACCATGCGCAAGACAGTAAATATATTCCGATAATTGCTTAACCGATGGATAGGAGTATAGTTTTTGACTGTCAATTGCTTGAAAATCACTCTCAGGTCGGAGAGAACGAACGGCTCCTCGCAGGGTCTTGCCGAGCTGAAGGGTCTGCAGCGAGTCCAGGCCCATGGCAAAAATGTCGCTCGTCTCTCCAACATGGTCGACTGAGAGCAAGCCGGACACGATGGACTGGATGTATCGCATGATATCCTCCAGGGATGCTTTTTGAGGAATTACACCCAGGTATTCTTCGTCCGAAAGGGCATATATGGCATCGATCTCTTCCGCATAATCCTTGACCACAGCTTGACGTTGAATGGAGCCCTTAGGGGTGGTTTTGAAAGGCTTGGCTCTCGAGGCTAGTCCAATTTTGGTTTTCAAAACCCGTGCATGGCTAGGTGCAATCTCGTTTGCTTTTTGGACAGTTGGCCAAATCTCATCAATGAAGAAACTCAAGGAGGATGACTCATCCCACTGATGCCAGACTGGTTCGATGAGCAGAGCGGATTGGAATCGGCCTTGGCCGACAACAAGAGCTCTAGACACAAGACGGTGGCCGTCAAGGACCTTCTCCATTTCGATCGGGTTAAATTTCTCGCCGTTGCTGAGCACGATAACATCGTCAAGACGCCCTTTGTATCGCCATAAACTGGGCTTTGTGGGGTGTTGAACGAAAAGATCCTTCGTTCGATATTCCTGGATATCAGGATAGGTGTGAAAAATGCAGTGGTAATCACGGTTTTCTCCCTTTTGAAGCACCAGCTCGTATGTTCCGTCCATGATGTGCTGCATGTCAACCCCATATGCCGGATTCCACTCGAAATACTGCCAGTCAGCTTTGTCACTGACTACTAAATTGGCAACAAACCCAGCTTCACTGGAACCCATGCCTGTTTGGAAATCAATATCCTTGCATAGCATATCACCAACATCCTTCGACAGCGGCGCGCCTGCAAAAAGGATCATTTCAAACCGCTTGAGCGTATCCAACCCTTTTTGGGTTGAGGCCAACTCTTCGATGAGAGACGGTGTGAGTATTGCCATTTCTGGGGCGTTTTCATCCAGAATGCGAGCCAACAGATCCACTGTCATTGGCTTTTCTGGACTTAGAACAAAAGGGATGTTGTGAAAGATGGATTGTGTAGGTAAATAGAGACCCATCAGGTGAAAGAACGGAGCCATCGTGAAGAAAGATTTGCCTTCTCTGGCTGGACTCATCAACGCGCTACCACACCTGCCTGGTGGAACTGGTAGAGAAGGCAGGTTGTCCATGACACTCCAAAACCCGTTTGTCAAGTAAACCGGTTTCGGAAGCCCTAATAGGTGTCAATGCCAGATAACGAGTAGATATTCTTCCTTATCACTAACCGGATGTTCCTGAACTATGAATGATGACCAACGGATCATTCTCCACATCTCCAAATCGCTTTTTGTAGAAATATATTTCCACGCCATTGTCAAACATTTCCCACAGCCCAGGTATCTCCCATCCTTGGATGTCTTTCTGTCTCTGTTGGAGACCTTGGACTTGTGTCCGTCTCTCAACGCTATATACGAATTTGAAGCATGCCGTTTTGCTGAGGACGTGTAGGAATGCGGTTTCGGAATTCCTTGGGGAAGGTAACAGGGCCTTCATGGAATATTAAAAAACGCGATATTATAACAGGTGATATTCGTGTCCACTCACCACATGTCCAGTCTTCATGCATGCCAGTACGAATATCATATAGCGGATGTCATTTGCACCCATGTAAGCCAAGGGCTCAGATTTTTTGTGCAGGCAAACGGTTCTCTCGATCCACCAGGCTGCGTAGTTCACCGCCCCGGCAAGATCTTTGAATGTGATATTCCGCCACCCTGCAGAGATATCAGAGGAAATGGGGTGCACACAGAAAAGCTGTTTTGGTCTGCGTTCCGCCAGCTCATCGACAACACGGCACAGCAGTCGGTTCTGGAGGCCTATAGAACCCATGATGCTTTGGTTGTTTGGCAGGAGATTCACCTGTGGAAGTGGGAAGCTGCAAGCTGATATATTCGTGTGAACGTGTAATTGACTTGTAATGGAACGGAGGTAGAACAGAAACGTTTATATATAGTCAGACAGCCACGCTGTTCATCTTCTCTATTTATTATAGCTAGGCCTTTTTTATGCATTTTATGCATTTTATGAACTTATAATTATTCGGAATGCAATATATGTATTGCCAAGAAGACGAGATGTAGCATGGCCGATCATTCTATGCTGATCCCTCAGAGAAATGTGCGCCCGATATTGTTCAAAACCGCGGACATCCAATTTATGACGTTATACAATTTAATATGAAGGAAGCATTTTCCGGCATCGACCACCCATCAGACCGATGCAGCATTCATAAGGTTTCCCAGGGGCTAAGTAGAGCTGGTGAGCATAGATAGATCTACTCGATTTGGCTATAGTGCCTGCGGTGGCATCCCGGAAAAGTCAGAGCAACCCATTTCGTGTAGATTTTCGCTGGAAAGTGTATAGATAGACTTTTTGCTGGAACCCGCTGTTCTTGTGTGCTATGGAATTCCTGAACCGCGGATTCTGAGACGGTGTAGAAGGCCGCCAACCTGTTCCGCATGCATATGCCTCATTTATACATTTTATGGTTTTCATAATTGCATAATTATTGTAAAGCTTAAATGCCTCCTGCCCCTCTCATGCAAAAGGAGCACAGGAAAATGTCTCGGTCAGGGGAAATCCGCGAGATAATCCGGGACCCTAGACCTCGACATTTCCCATTTAAATTTCCCATGGACCAACATCATTGGAAAATCTGACAAAGGTGGATTTTGTCAAGACCGAAAGATGTACGCAATCCGGCCTAAAAAGGTAATATTTACATTATTTTGCATTATTGTGGGAAATGGGAATGGGTTCTGGGTGTGAACAGAGTCTTCCTAATGGGGGTGCTTGTGAAATGAGACAAGAATACAATCAGAATCTTCGTCGACATTATGGCTATGTATAAACATATTCGATATCCGTATCCGCCTCCCAGATCACGGCGAATAATATTCGACTCCGAATTTGGCGATATTCGTATCCGCGGCAGATATCCGATTTTCAGTCGCATGTATTTCTAAATAGGAAATGACTACTAATTCGCAACCTCTGCTCTAAATATAGCTAGTCCCGCCACGGCTGTTGATGAAACAGCCGTCGAAGTCTACACGGGCACTATCGGAGATCAAATACGATATGTAGGAATTCAGCAGAACGAAAAAGCCTCCTTTGGCCCCTGTTGAGCTTCCTTCCTATTTATACAACCGCTTAATCTACTGCCTACTCTGTGCTCTAGAGTTACCTTCCTCTATTACCGATTGTCATGGAAACCCACGGCAAGCGTCAAACTACGTCGCATTGAACGATGGTTACGATAGTGAGGCTTCGCCTGAGGACCGGTTATCAGGTCCGAACCCTGGACTATCAACTCTACCGGACCTTGATACCTTCCTTGATATCCCTGACCTCGTGATCAACCCTTACGAATCTTTATCACAATCTCTTCCTACTCAATAGGCTCGACAGCTGCCGATTCCTCGATTGTTTCGTATGCCTCCGAGGCCATGCAAAAGCCGAAGAAGGAAGGATGATTTTGGCCTTACTTCAATCAGGTTTAGGTTCCTCGTGAGTGGTATATAACGAAATATAAGAAACGGAAGCTGATAGATACGGATATTCAATGCTCTATCGTGAACTAAGATACCGACAAGCAATATGGCTGGATGACAACAGATTCAAAGAGGCAGGAACTACTAGCAACCTGACACTCCACCTCTCACGCAAGCATTCTATATATCCCCCAAGTATCTCAATTCCTAAGTAAGTTAAAAAGCCAATGGGTACTCTTTTTACCATATGGGGGAACAGAGAGGAAGAGAAACTTACTTGCCAGCAACAGCTAGAGAAGGATATCATTCGCTAGATTGTCGTTGATAAACAACTATTTTCAACAATTAAATCTCTAGCTTTCTAGCAGATATTCCTTAATATCCTAGGTGTCGCGCTTCCATTTACTTCTCGACATACCCTCAGGCAGCGGCTAATGGACGACTTCAATCTACAACGCGCTCAATTGAAAGAGGGACTTCGGGTCACTTACAAAACAATCACCTTATCTCTGGACGAATCTCTCTACGTAGTAAAAATATAATCCTCCTTGAATTCCCTTCTAATTCGGCCATTTTGAATACCGAATACGCAGATATGAACCGGCTGGCACGACCCGGGGCTTAGCCATTGTCCCACCGTCAAAGGCCAAATTGACTCATCACCTGGACATTCAAGTTCTCGGGTTAGAAGCCATGCACAGGGACTGTTCCTCAGTTACTGCAGAAACTATGGGTAGTTCGAAATATTCGCAAAGAAGCAGTCATTGGCCCGATAAATCGCATTTTTGTATCCAAGTAGGTGTTTGATCAGCTTGCTAAGTGCTTTGTCCATTATGGAGTAATAATGCACTGGTGAGGAGTTGGCTTCCAAGTTAGGAGGGATATAAATTCGCCGAATTCGCAGCAAAGACTGCATGCTTTGATGCACAATGGGTTGTAAAGGTCTAGTAGAGAAATGTAGATGGCAGGTCGTGTTCGTGATAAGGCGCAGAAGAGGTTCAGTCCATGCGGGACTACACTTTGATACTGGTTGAGAGAGTCTACCATCTGTCTTGCTCAGATCACGGACAGACAGTAGTCTCTGCGGTGGTAGGCGGTGGTAGGCGGTGGTTCGAACAATGACGTCGGTAGCGGAGCGATATCTGTAGGGCATAAGGGTAGCCATTCTCGTGCTTTCTTTTTTTTTGGTACGGGGTGAAAGGGACAGACCTCGGCAAGAATCGCGTCTATCCAATGTACCTCCCTGAACACTCCTTGAGGCCCATGTAGAGGGAAATTAAACTGATCCTAGTAAAGTCGAATAAAGTTGTGGTGGCGAGTGATGAGTTCGAAGCTGCTGGTTTCGTTTGACTCAAGTACTCCAGGCTGAGGGAGACATGGTTGAAAACTCCGCAATCACTGCAATTATACATATGCTCTGGAAGTAGTACTATTCAAGGAACCGAACTGAACCATGTTCTTGTTAGTGCAGGGTTGTTTTTTGAAGAACAAGACCACTCAGGCAAACGCGTTAATGTACTGAAATGCAAGGAACATGACACAGAAGAACCTGAGTATAACTAGTCAGCCTCCATTGAGGACCACCTCTAGATATAACACGCCGTCTAACTTCACTTCATCACTGAGCCGCTTCCCAGACCTCATCCAAGAATGGCGTTGCCCCCATCATTTTCCAGCAAGATTCAGACTTCAACGCGATTTCCTTCGACTTGGAGGTCAGAAGCATGTCTCTCAGGCCGTCTGTAAGGTAGACTGCATTTTTATCCTGTACTAGTCAGCTGCCTGTACGTTGCAAAACCCGGTCAATGTGGCCACTTACCAATCCAAGTGTCAACTCTATGCCGCCTTCCATCAACATATTGGAGTGATACATGGTGAGAGATTGGCCTTGAATCGCGCGGAGGATGTTATTGCTCACAAACTCTGCTTGTCGTATGGCAGAGCGAGCGTTCTTGGGACCGGTGGACGCAACGATGTCACCAGCTGCGTAGATATTGCTGAACCTGTCGTCCGCAATCTGCAATGAAGACTTCACCTTCACAAAGCCGCCCGAGGGTGAGACAGCATCGGGGCAAAGCTCAGCGATGATATCCGACGCAGCCTTTTGGCCAGTGCATCGAACCTTAGGGCGGATAAGCCTCCATCCAGAATGCCAATAAGGTTTACATACCAATAAATCACAGGGGATCGCTGCCCCCGTCCCCAACACCACACTCGCGTCATCCTTGCCATGAGTTTGGATCCGCTCGCCTAGGATCACGCGTACACCGAGCCCTTCCAAGGCCTCTAGCGCAACGTCATGGACCTTCGTTCCAAAGTTGTTCAGCAGTGTCTTCCGCGAATGGACCAACGTCACATTTTTATGAGGGTTGACGCTCTTGACATCCGTAGCAAGTTCGACGCCAGCAGGTCCCCCGCCCACTACCACCATATCATTCGCGTTCCGGATCCGATTTTGCAAGTTTTGCAGGGCCTTGATTCCTTCGTTCTTCTCATTCACATTGAGCCTAGAGGGAGAACTTGCGTGGGAGCCCGTTGCAAGAACGAGGAACTCATAGTCTAGTTTGACTCCACTTTGTAGCAAGATCGTGCGCGGGCCTACCTCTTGGACGGTATCCTGTATCATCCGCCAGCTCCCTTTAGGTGCTCCTTTGAAATAGGGCCCGTAGGGGATGAACGCTTTGTGTTCGTGTCCGTTGACCACCGAGAAACGGGGGAACACCCATGTGAACTGAAAATGCGAGCTTTTTTCGATCACGACGACTTGGTAACCGGTCGGCACAGAGTTAGCCAGCAGTTTAGCGGTGTGGTATCCCGCAAAGGAAGCTCCGATGATCACAATGTTTTTAGGAGAATCCACCGGATTGTAACGGTAACGATGGATCATGGAGGCGACTTTTTGGTTGATGGCATTGCCAACAGCAACGAAGACTACTCCCACGAACTTGAATACGAGGATCGTGGAGTTGATCATTTTTTTGATGCAAATCCATGTTCAGGGATGTGCGGTTTTATGAGACTCATTTAACAATGTTGCTTCGTAACCATTCTTGGCATATAGATGTCCGAAGAGTTCGGCCGAGCCACGTTGGTTATCTCCGTCGAGATTAACGAAAGCCGAGCATCCGAAGCCTAAAACACTCTATTATTTACTTGTATAATTTTTTATTAGTTCTTCGTTTGTTGCTGCTGACTATCAATTCTGTCTTTATGGTCAATGGTACTTTATCATATATGTAAAATGGAGCCCGTACTATGTGAAGCAACACTTCCTTCACAAAATTGAAGCCCAACGACGTACACGTGAGATGGATTGTGAATCATGGGGAGAGAATAATCGAGCAAAGAATAATAAGTATTATCAACCAATCCACGTTGAGCTACTGGTGACCCAGGATCTGAGCGAGATACGGCAAGTGTTTTATGGAAGACTACCTACTTGTGTGGTATGCGCCGGGACGAAGCCTGCTTGAAATACCGAGTCTACTATGCGGATAATGACTTGTCATAACAAGCTCGAGTATTTATTTTGTGGAAAAGAATTGGCTAAAATACAATGCGCAGGATGCCCAAAAGCCATGCGAGAAAGCTAGCCCCATTCGGCACCTGAGTGCTTGCTGTCGAGCTGCGATCACTCCAAACAAGATTCTAAATTGTCTATGTCAAGCCCGCCGATCTTTTCACCCAGACTCAGCGAGTCTTTTTAGCAATGGCAGACTCAGGTCTCCCCTGAGTAGGAATAGCCAACTCCTCATAGTATGGCAGGTCCCATGAATTCTGTTCGCGCAGAAACCATTGCGCAACTGCATCAATGCCTAGCAACGCAGCCAGCCACAAGATCAAGTGCATCACAGAAATGCCCCATTGGGTCTCTGGGGCTACAATGTTTGGCATGCCGGGTCCCAGCGTTTGTACCTCTGTCATGAAGGGCCGGAATTTTCTTTCGTACTCGCTCAAAGCATGAAAAAGAGGGTCCTTCAGACCATCAGAAAATTCAAGACAACCACAGTACTTGGCAATCTCCCCTGCCAATACATAGGCACCGGTAAGGCCCGATGTGGTACCCATACCTGTGGCTGGAGATGGGCAATAAGCAGCATCCCCGACAAGGACCACCCGACCACGAGACCATGAGTTCAGCCTCACCTGTCCCACCTCCTGGGAGTAGAAGTCGTTTGCCGCCTCATCATTCAGCATATCACGGATTATTCGCGGTGTTTTCCAAGCAGCATCGGCGAAGAGTTCAGCCCAGGCTTTCTTTTGCTCGTCGATGTCGCTCTTCTTGACATTATCCAATTTGTCCGAAGCAGTGCAGTAGCCGAGATATGCCTGGATCGTGTCCGGGGCATGTCTTCGAGTGAAAACAAAACGTTTTCCTGGAGCGTTGTAAAGGGTGCTCATGTATTCATCTCCTTCCTCTCGAGGAATTGTGAAGTATGCGATGTATAGGTTGAGAAAGTGGAACGGATCTGGGGCGTTGGGTTCGAGCATCATCCTCCGAGTACGCGATCCTTGCCCGTCCGCACCGACCAAAAGATGGAATTGATCCTCCTTTCCATCTGAGAATTTTACGCTGACTGAGTCGGCACCTTGTTCAAAACTGTCGACGTGTACACCGAATATGTACTTGACACGGGCCTTGCCAACATTGTACAACATGCGGCAGAGGTCTCCTCTCATGATCTCGTATTCAGTTGTGAAACTCTGTAATCCCTCACCCGACGTGTTGACTGGGTAGAAAGCCTTCTGTTTTCCGTGGTCATCGACGAACTGCATGCCCGCCTCCTTGATGCTTTGGGAGCGGAAAAGGTCCTCGAGGCCCATACGCTTCATGACTGGGATACCGGGGCCCCGTAGATCGAGCTGCTGCCCGCTGGCACGGAGGCTAGGGAATCGTTCGACGACTGTAACATCGTGGCCAAGTTTTGAAAGCCAAAAAGCGAGGGCAGGACCGGCAATGCCTCCACCGCAGATGAGGACTTTCAGGGGTGCCATAGCGTGAGAGGAAGGACTAAATGAGCAGTAGGCACAATGGTTGACTCAATTGACAGTTGACTCAAGTGACAGCTGTATAGTGCTGTCACGTCGTAGTACCGCAGGTAGTGTTGGTGTGTTCTCTCCAAAGTCGGTACAGCTGGTTTAAATAAAAGAAAACATCGGGTGGCTTTCTTCCGAGCTGGCATGGTCGATATCTCCGTCGTTACGGCCGGTGATCCAACGACGTGACATCATCTCCGAGAGGTGTATTAAATGGCTCGGTCAAGGAGAAAACATGAACCAATGGCAATTCTGGACTTATTGCAAGCGGAGTTCTCGGGGGTAGGAGCATCGGGGTTATGGCCCTCGGGCTGTTGAAGATCGGAACATGAAGTTTTCTCTGTTCGGGCAATCAATCAATTAATCAAAGTTAATGTTAAATTAAACCTGTTGTTTTTCTCTTCGGTTACTATCGTCGCCCTTTGGCTGAGCCATGTCATTAAATCAATACAATGTCAGATCGTCTCTATTAGACCGAGTAATTCTTGGCTCTAAAACAATAATTTGATGTCCTTCAAGTTTTGATAAGGCTCAGGTAGGAAACTATATTCTTTCGTTCAGTATGCCCAAAGTTTTGATTTCGAATACAGTCAATAATTATTTTAATCACAAAGATAGAAGCAGTCTATATATACATGGGTTGTTCGGGATTTGGCAGCAATCACTTTAGTATGCTTATGCAGACTTTCCCAATCTCAAATTCGGGCCAATGGATTTTTTTCCATCGTCAGCTTTGTCACAAAAGCCAACGCCGCACCAACCAGAGTCGAAACTCCGCTGAAGATGGCCGCCTGCGTATAACTGTTGTAGTGATCGATCAGCGCACCTGTAATCGGTGTTCCCGTTAGGCCAGCCACTGAAATGACAGCCATCCCCATACCGAGGTAAGTACCGATGTAACTGGGTGTGGGCGAAAGATGCGCGATGCAAGGGGACATCAGGGAGACGATCGCCCCCGAGAAGAATCCGTAAAGGGCAGCAAAGACGATAATGGCTGCGTTTGATTTGACAGCGATCCAGCAAAGGAGGAGGACTCCCGTCGATGAACCAAAGAAGCAGATTGTGTTGAACCGCCCCAATTTGTCCGCCAGCACACCAGGTAGGAGTCGACCGAAGACCGAACTGGCGTTGAGAATAGGAAGAATGTAGGAAGACAAGTTGGCGCTCATTCCCTGTGCGATGGCATATTCCGTCAGATAGAAGAACGGTGTGAACACGCCCCAGATCATTAGGAACATCCCGGCCAAAAACAAGGAGTAAGCGACTTGTTTGAAAGCAGAAGGCATCAGGATTTTGCCTTTTCGTGGGGGTAGACGTGGTCGAACTGTAGCCAACGACAAGGACAACATCGCTAACATGATAAATCCAATGATCCGCACTGTCCAACCGAAGCCCAAGGACTCGTTCTCAAACATTTTGCTCAATGCGATCGGGAAGATTACTCCTCCCAGCGAAGAGCCAGTGACAGTTATTCCAAGTGCAGCACCTCTCTTCGCTTGGAAATAATGGCTGACTGCGGCCATTGCCGGCGAAAACATGATACCACAAGTTAGTCCGCCAAGAATACCCTGTGCCAGCATGAATTGATAATATTCCTTGCCAAGGGAGGTCATCATAACGGAGAATATAAACGCGATCGCGGCGGGCCATATGACCTATCATTGTTGCAAATCGTTAGATTGTTGAATTAATACACTTCATAAGTCGGAATGCGAAAGTAATTACCTTTGCGCCATATTTGTCAAACAAAGGACCTCCCACTATTCCCCCGCCGAGCAAGAGGCAGGTCTGTACAGATCCTATCCATGCAACTGTGGATGCAGACTCGCTTATGAGTTGATGCGTTGAGTAGTAGTTTTGGTAGACGCTATATCGACGAACAAATTAGTGATAGTTCTGCTAGTTGTTACACCGATGACACTTACCCATATGCATTCAAATAGCCAAAGGTGCAAAAGGAGATGCAGAAGGCTCCAGCAACAACACTCCATGCACGAAGTCCACCTTCCGGGAAGGTGACTTGCGGCTGCTCTGCTTTGGCTTCTTCTGTACTACCAAAGCTACCTTCCTGGACAATCGCATTGTCCCTGTTATCCGTAGGGGTCTGCATGATATTGGTTACAGTTCCAAGGAAAGTGAAAGGTAACGCAAGTTGAATCAATAACGGTGGATAAAATGAAGTAGAAAAGAACTTTCTTTGCGCATCGTCCAATGCTTTTAATATTCCACATATTCCAGTCAATCAAATTTTGCAAGCTCGGACAACTCGGGAAATTGCAGTTAGTCCGAGTCCAAAATTGAAGCCCGCCGAAAACTCCGCTCAGTGATATGGAAACATACTTTGACCATCGCCGCATCCTTCGGAGATAAATGGGGGCGAACAGAATATCGGTAAATTGTGGAGCAGCATGCTCTTTTGTGATTCGCAGGTCTGAACCTGTTCCGGAGATACTGGATAATAGTTAACGACTCTTTCTTAGGTAATCCCCCGTCCGGACTTTTCATATCCTTGACGACACATCGTTACCTCCGAGTTATGATAACGAATCTTTACCATTTACCATTGTTCGAGCCTACGAATAATGTTTCCGAGGCCATTACCCGGGAAACGCCGTCGTCCAGCCCTGGCTTGTGCTCCATGCCGGCTCCGTAAGGTCAAATGTGACCGGAATAGTCCCTGCGGGCAGTGTGCACGACGTAACTCCGACTTGTGTACCTACCCAGGAGATGGCCGGACAACGATAAACGAGAAGAAAAGCCGAAGGCCAGAATTTTCCGTTGCGGCTGAAGTTAGTAGAGGAGACGCGCCCCCCTTGAACCAATCCCAGTCTCCTGACTATATCGCCGGCCAAAGGGCTCCCGGAGACACCACAGGTGGAGCTGAGACGGGTTTAACTGTGAGAGCCGGAGGCTCTCACCAACCACACAATACGTTCCCCACCAGCCACAAAACGACGGAATCTCCACAAGATTCATCTGCACCTGGTCCAATCTTGGGTACCGTATCGAAGACAAGAATATTTGGTCATGGCCATTGGATGAGCACATTTCATATGGTATGCGCACATTTACTCTGTTTCATATTGTTCCTTTGCCGTTGCTGATGAACATCGCGAATGAAAATAGGCAGAAAGACTGCCAAACTTGGATCCCATAACCCATATAGGACCCATGACACCTGAACAAACAAGTGACAGTCAAATTCCCGGGATCTCAGACGTGTTGCAGAAATGCAAACAGCTCGCTCGCGACATCAAATCACAACGCCCTAGTCGAGGTCCACTGCCCGCCGGCATATATCCAACCTTCCCCGATCCTGCGGTGACGAACCAATTGGTGCAAATATACTTCGATTCTTTCGAATCATGTTTGCGGATACTTCATTTTCCATCATTTCGAGCAGAGTACGAGGGCTATATGAAGGATCCGGGAACTGCAAAGACCTCCTTTGTGGTGATCCTTATACTAGTGATGTCTAATGCAAGTTCCTTGATTGAAGATGCCGGCTTGCAGCGGGAATTGCGCGCCAAATCCCGCAGCTGGATTCATGTCGCTCAAAGTTGGGTCTCTGCACCCATTGAAAAAGATCGCCTCTCAATAGAGGGACTACAAATTTATTGTTTGCTTCTTCTCGCTCGCCAGGTGAATTGTGTCGGAGCAGATTTAGTCTGGATCTCAGCTGGCTCATTGATGCGCATGGCGATACAAATGGGATTGCATCAAGACCCCGACCACCTAGGAGGAATGGCGCGGCTACAAAAGGAGATGCGAAGAAGACTTTGGTACACAATTTTGGAGCTCAATGTGCAGGCTGCTTTGGACTCAGGCATGCGTCCCATGGTCACTGGTGATGATTTTAACACCCGGCCGCCTTCAAATATCAACGACGAAGATTTGGACAACGAAATGCAGCGGGAGTCCTCTAAGGAAATGTCTTCAACGCCAACGCGGGCTTCATTCCAGTGTCTATTGGCCGCATCCGTGCTTTTAAGGCTGGAGGCTGCTAGGGTCATCAATGCGTTGAAGGAGGAGCCTCCATATGATCGCGTTGTTCGTCTCGGAGAGGAGTTAGCGTCGGTTTGTCGCAATGCGACTGTCTCCATTAATCACCACAGGTCGGTTGCCAAGGACCTGTGGCCGACAGAATTTCCATATAGCTGGTGTGACCATTTTCACCGTCGATTCCTGTTGTGCCTCCACCTTCCTTATGCAGTCAAAGCCGCGCACAATCCGATAAACAGCTACTCGTCAAAGGCAGGCCTCGATGCCGCGCTTTATCTAGTCTCACTGCTTGACGACGAGATATACCGTCGCCTACTGCTTGTTGGTGGAGGCATGTTTCGAGATATTTTGACGTCTGGCGCTATGTTGATATTTTTGGAATTAATCACACAGCTGGAAAACGAGAGCTCTGCATTTTTGAAGAAACGCAATCAGGCACGCAGGGAGCCGCTCTTGGAAGACGCGAGGAACCTCGTTCAGTATGCCCAGGATAGACTTTGGTATGGCGAGACAAACGTGAAGGGCTATGTGTTTGTGAGTATGGCTATGGGCCAAGTGGATGCCATGCTCAGCAACTCGTCAACCAAAGATGCTATTGTCAAGTCTGCAAGCGAGAGTCTCGTAGTCTGCCATGACATACTGAGATCCACAGCTGCTAACTTACTCTCAAGAGTTACTATGGATCCCAATGTGGCATGCGGGATAGGCGATGACGCATTGGCAATCCCCATTATTGATGATATCAATTTCGACTTTATGAACGATGGAAACATGGACTTTGGACTTGCAAGCTCTTGGTTTGTACGACAATGGGAGGATAAAGTATGGTCCTAATCTTTTTATTCGGCCCAGTGGACGAGGGGGTGAGTAAAAGACAGGATCTCTGCCCCAAATCAAAATACCCCAAAGTCTCGGGCGAATATTCTAAGCACTCCAAACGGGCTCTAGTACTTTGGTGCCCTGGATTCGTTGCGCTCAAGAGGCATTTGAAAGAGGAAGTGGCCTGTGCAATTTGAGCATCTGCGTGGTACCTAGTCATCAGCGTCGCCATCTTCGAGATCGGATCTGCGGTTTGCGGATCCGCACCTAATATGGACGCCCTCATCGTGGGCCGTGTTCTTTGTGGTATCGGTGGATCTGGACTATACTGTGGTGTGATCACACTTCTGGCAGCCACCACCACACTACAAGAGCGGCCAATGTATGTAGCCAGCACCGGTATGACTTGGGGTCTCGGCATGGTCCTCGGCCCAATTGTGGGAAAAGGCTTCAGCCAGGCTCTGTCGGCTGGCGTTGGGCTTTCCTATCCGGTGTCATGGCTATCTCTTTTGGTGGCTTGACCTGGGCCTAGGCAAGCGGGAACATCATCGGCTTGTTCGTCTGCTCAGGTGTGCTGTTCATTTTGCTCCAGCAGGCCTTCACTATCGGTACCACCGTTACCCGGCGGATTGTGCCAGTAGAGTTGTTCAAGTCCCGCACGATGCTCTTCGTTTTTGCCTGCACATCGGCAGCCGGTACAGCTTGTTTCGTCCCCGTTTACTTCGTTCCACTCTTCTTCCAGTTCACCCGAGGCGATGGTGCGCTTGACGCCAGTGTTGGGCTGCTGACTTTCATTACTCCTTGCATCGTCATGATCTGTGTCAATGTCGGCGTTATGTCTGCATATGGTCTATATATGCCATGGTACACCATTGGAGGCGCTCTCGTGCTCACTGGTGGCGCCCTTTTCTACACCGTCGGTGTTGACACAAGCGCTGCCTATATCTACGGATACAGCGTCCTTACCGGCCTTGGCACTGGAATGTATCTCCAAGCCTCGTTCTCGGTTGCTCAAGCTTCTGTCGCCCTTGATATGGTGGCTAGTGCCTCAAGATTCATCACCTGTGCCTTTGGCGATAGTAGTGCCAACGACCTGGGCTGAGAGACGGCTCGGCGAACAGGGCAAGGTCATCGGAAAATGGAGCGTTGCGTTTAGCCGAGGGCCCCGCGTGCATTGGAACGAACAAACCCTACTTAGGATTGCACTGTGTGCTTGTTTATCTTTTTTCGCAGTTTGAGTTCGAGCTGCCGGACGCGCCAGGTAGAGATCTGATGTGGGTGGATCGTTTTGTCGCCACAAATACAGAGGACGTCAAGGTCCGAGTGCTGAAGAATCGATGGGCCTGAGCGTCTAGTCGAGGCTTGGAGTTATTGCAATTGGCAGATGGTAACTGTTAGCATAATCTAAGTTCCAAGCCCAATGTCCAAAATCAGATCTATAACATCATCTCGGCTTTGCTACAGTCGACTCTCGATATCTCCACCTCATAAAGCTCCACTCATTCGGATACACCACGCATTTTTTCTTTTTTGCCGTTTTCCCACACAAAAGGGGCCGTAACAACACACTTATATTGTGCGACGGATTTTGGTGCTTAGTCACCGTAGATTGAGTAGTTAATTAAAGTAAAAGATCCTAACCCTTCCATTGGCATGATGTTCAGGGAGCGATTTCATTGCTTATATAAGACTCAGGGGCATGCTCAGTTTTACTCAGTGAGCGAAAAGCGGTAAGGGGCGAGCAACTAAAATGGAACGGGAAAAGCCTTATCCTGACTATATGTCAATAATTCTATCGACAGTGTACCGTATGCACATGGACAGTATGTAACTGTAGGTCGTGGGGCAAAGGAGGAGGATGGTCAAGACGATTCGCACGCCTCAGCCACAGCCCAAGTTGTGATTGCGATCGTCCGCAGTTAAGCCTATCTGGGTGGAACATACCCAACTTTTGAGATTCGATCGATGGTTGCTAGGCACTATCACATGTGTTATTGGAGGTATCAGACTCATCGGCTTTTATTGCTGAATGAACTTTTCCAATGTGGACCCTGGCAACCTTGGAACACTCCATGTGACAACATTGGAGTGTACTGGTATTGGTTGTATTGATAGGTAGGGAAAACTCTCAGTCTCGATCCCTGGTAAATATTCGTCACTGTTTCAGGTACGCTCCGTTGTGAGACATCGAAAACATGGAAGAGAGTGAGACGCAATGAAAATTGTTGGTTAAACAATGTGGAGCGATAGGGGCACCCGAGATCTTATTTGTGCCGGGTCTATTATGGGGTCCTCGAGAGTCCCACTGGCCCTATCGTCGCCTAACTTATTTACCAGTAATTGCATTACCCAGAACCTGTTCTCGCCGAAACAAAGCACCAAACTGACCGCGCCTGGCTGTACTGCAGCCCCATCACCTTACTAGTGGGAAATAGTGGGAAATAAAGTGTGTGTTGTCGGTAGACTGTATAGGATAAGATCTTAGCTGTCGACCCACACCGAACTAAACTTGAGACTGTGCACAAGCTTTTTCAATGGTTCAGTGTTTCCTGGTACTGTAGTTAAAAGGATCGTGATCGCCAATGTCACTTACATCCTTCGCTCTCAACCATGTGGCGCCAATTCCAGACTTTCGGGATAGCCCTTGCGGCTGTTCCCCTCAGCCACGCGTTGTCGCCGCGCACGGATATCAATGATACCTATGACTTTGTTGTTGTCGGTGGTGGTCAGGCTGGTCTCGTTCTTGGTGGTCGTCTGTCCGAGGATACCAATCACACTGTCCTGGTGCTTGAATCTGGTGGTAATGGCGATGAGTATCGTGAGCGTATTGGTGTGTATCTGCTGTCCTATCTGAGAGGGGGTTTGACTTGACTTACACTGCGAAGATACCCCTGCGTATTCGTACTTTGATTCTCTCTGGACGACTCCCTTGAATTGGATGTTCTACACCAATCCCCAGCCTAATGCTTACAATCGTGAAATCTACTGGCCTCGTGGCAAGGTCCTTGGGGGTTTGTTCATTCTCCTTCATCACAGAGTCAGATATTAACTCTGGATACAGGGAGTTCCGCCATCAACGGGCTGTACATGACCCGACCCGGCAAAGAGGAAATCAACGCCTGGAAGGATATGCTCGGCGACATGGCTGGTGCTGAGAACTGGTCCTGGGACTCGTTCTATGCCGCCATGAAGAAAAGTGAAACTTTCGTGCCTCCAACCGACGATGTGGCCAAAGAGGCAGGCATTACATGGAATGCCTCGACACACGGCACTGACGGACCTATCCGTATGGGTTATCCTGGCTTGTACGTCCATTTCTCACTGTGAAGGTTCCAAATGCTAACACTCACCCAGCACATTCCCCGAAGTCGGCTATTGGTCGACATCGTTAGACAACATGGGCATTGCTATTTCCGAGAATATGTACGGTGGTGACACCTTCGGTGCCGAGGTCTCAACTTCCTGCATCAATCCATCGAACTGGACCCGGTCCTACAGTCGTTCTGGTTATCTCGACCCGCTGCCTGATAGGCGTAACTACGATGTTCTGGCCAACGCCCATGTTACACGCCTTGTCTTTGACAAGTCTTCTTCTTCGGATAATCTCACTGCAAGAGCTGTCGAGTACACCATGGACAATGGAACGACGACATTATCGGTCAAGGTGAAGAAGGAAGTCATCTTGGCTGGTGGTACTATCGGCAGCCCTGCTGTCCTCCTCCACAGTGGTGTCGGACCGAAGGACGTTCTCTCTGGTGCAGGTGTAGACCTTGTATCTGAACTCCCCGGTGTCGGACAGCACCTGCAAGATCATTTCGTGAGTGAAAACTACTCCATCTTCTCCTCCACCATGAACTAACTCAGACAAACAGAGTGCCACAATTAAATACAGCACAGATGCAGACACAGCAGGCTCAATCTACTACGACAACGGCGCGGATAAGGTAAGTCCAGTCGCATACAAGCATACATCAACCCACCGAATGCATCCCACTAACAAAAAGACCAGAACGCCACCCTCTTCAACTCATACGTCGACTCAGCAATCGCCTACGTAAACGCCACAGGCCTGTACGGCAGCAAAGTCAGCGACGAAGAAACAAGCATCCTCTCCCAACTAAACACCTACAAACCAAACACAACCTACGACGCCGGCGTCATAGCCGGCTACGAAACAATCTACAACACAACCGCCAAAACAATCTTCAACAGCCCAGTCGGCCAAATCGAACTCCTCTTCATGAACAGCGACAGCAACGGCGACATCGGCATCACAGCCGCCCTACAACACCCCTACAGCCATGGTCGGATCTACATCAATTCCTCAGACCCGATGGATTACCCGGTTATCGATCCGAATTATCTGGCTAATCCAGCTGGTATGTTTCATCCACCACCCCTCACACAGCAACCCTAAACTTACAAATGGAACCAAACAAATAGACCCCCAAATCCTCCTCCAAGGCCTAAAACTAGCCCGCAAACTTGGCCAAACAACCCCCCTGGCATCAAGCCTAACAAACGAAACCTCCCCGGGAACAGCAATCCAAAGCGACGAAGACTGGCTCGACTGGCTCCGCAAGGAAGCAAGCACAGAATTCCACCCGTCATCTTCATGCGCCATGTTACCACGCGAGAAGGGCGGCGTGGTCGATGCCAAGCTGCGCGTTTACGGACTTGCTAATGTGCGCGTTGCGGATGCCAGTGTTCCGCCTATTGCGTTGTCGACGCATCTTATGGCGTCGACCTATGGTGTTGCTGAGCTTGCTAGTGCGTTGATTCGGGATTATTGGAATGGGCTTGGTGATGGGGATGGGGATGGCGGCAGGGGTGAGGTTAGTCCTGCTTTTAGTGCGCAGTCGAGTACTGTCTCTGCAGCTGCGGCGGCGCAGACGACGAAGAAGAATGGGGGTGTGACAATTGCTGGTGGTGGTTGGGCTGGTTTGATGGTTGGGGGGTTGCATGTTGTTTTTGGTATGGGGCTTTTTGCCTAGGGTGAGTATCGTACTGCGTGGTGTCGGTTTCCTCCCTCTTTCGTTTCTTGTCGATGCTGGCTATACATCGGCTTTAGCCTTTCTGGACATTTTCATAAGGCGCTTTGGGTTTTTAATGGACATGATGGATTATTGGTGGATATTCGTGACTAACTTGTTACATGGAATGGCTCTGTATCTAATATCTAGATGAATTTATGATTGGAAATATGATATTGTCGAATGTACGAACTGAAAATATACCTTGATATACATACTGTTCGCTTGAATTGTGTCGTCCGAGTTAACAGGGCATCTATTACTCTGCCATCTCAAGCTGCGGAGACTGCCCAATTGATTATTTTCATCTTCAGATCTGCCAACACGTTTTTCTTGGATTCGCGTCTCTATCGCAACAGTAATTATTTTGTTTCAGGGTGGAATATGTCTTTGGTCTGGGGCCCGGGCAGGGATATATATTGCGATTGAAGCGAGTACCCCAACATATATTTCCACTCATCCTGATAAAGCCTGCTGAAATTACACGCAATTTTTACTTCCTTCAACAAGTAACATTGTATACACTGCATGGGTATATATATACATCGATGTATATGAACAAACGGTGCGATCAAACAACCGAGCACCAACCCCGATCAATCCAACTAAGTCTATCTACAACTTAGGCTTCTCGTTAAACCTCGGAGCCTCAAGAGGATCATAAGCCCCGAGCCCAAGGGTGTCAGAAGGAACAAAACCAGTATGCCCGTTGAGCAAACCACGAGTATCAAGCAGCGAAGGATTCAGATCCTCAACGCGCGTAGCCCCAATCAACCGCATATTCATCTCCATCTCATCCTTAAGCAACTGCATAGCACGATCAACACCCTCAAGGCCATAAGCCGACATAGCAAACAAGAACGGGCGCCCAATACCAACACCCTTAGCACCAAGACAAAGTGCCTTAAGGATATCCGTTGCGCGACGCACACCACCGTCAACATAGACCTCGATGCGCTTTTCCCAGCCGCGCTCGCGGAGCGCCGGCATCACCTCGGCTAGCACTTCAATGCCCGACCGGGCTGTTTCGAGCTGGCGACCGCCGTGGTTGGAGAGCACGACACCGTCGCAGCCGGCCTCGACGGCGCGGAGGACATCCTCGACACACTGCACACCCTTGAGAACGATGGGCATTTTGGTGATTGATTTGAACCAGGGAATATCCTTCCAGGAGAGGGCTGGGTCGATGAAGGAGGAGATGGCGCGCGCGGCGCCCTGTGAGCGGTCGATGTTGTCGCCGCCGGATTGGACGTTCGAGCCTGCGTCGGAGAATTTGGAGCGCATATCTTTCTCGCGGCGGCCGAGTTGGGGCGCGTCGACTGTTATGAAGAGGCCCTTGCAGCCACGCTTTTCGGCGTGCTCGACGATCTTGCGGGTGATTTCGCGGTCTTTGTTGACGTATAACTGTAGCCATTGGACTTGATCGCCTTGCTTTGCGTCGACGATTTCGTCGAAGGAGCATGAGGCCAATGTTGGAATCATTTGCACTACGTTGTGCGCGTGTGCTGCTTTTGTGAGGACAACTTCGCCTTCTGGGTGGCCTAGTTTGCCGAGGGCTGTTGCCGTTACGTAGAAGGGTATGGAGCATTTTGTGCCCAGCATCGTTGTAGTCATGTCGATGTTCTCTACGTCCACGAGAATGCGGGGGCGGAACCAGATCTTGTGGAATGCGGCGTGGTTCTCGCGCATTGTCTGTGGGGGTTAGCTGGCTACCTTGTAGATGTGGTGTTGGGTGAACGTACGATTTCATCATCTGCTCCGCTAGAGTAGTATGCCCATGCGGTCTTCTTCATGACCCTGCGTGCGACTGCTTCGAAGTCCATCAGGTTGTAGCATGCGGCGAGCGACGGCATCCGGCTGATGCGCTCCTGGCGATCGGTCTCCTCTGGGTCAACCGCCTTTTCTTCCTGCTCGACGGTCGACATGTCGACTTCGCCAAGGTGTTTTGAGTGGTCCAGGTACTTGTCCAGGGTGTCGGGTGGGTGGATGGGGTCGAACTCTTCGGTCGCATCTTTGCCGGCATACTTGAGGATGATCTTTTGGCCACCAGGGTGTTCTGGTTATGTTAGTGTTAGTGCATGAATGAGCAGCAGAAGCGATGTGCATACCAGGGAGGAACTCTGTTACATCGTAGGCTTTGCCGTGGACGATCACCCAGCACGAGTCCTTGGAGTTGTGCTCGGCAACCGAGGCACCTGTGAGTTTGCCTGCCATGACTGAAAATAGGAATTGAGAGATGATGACAGACTATTGCATAGAGGAGGAAGAAGTATTAAAAGGAAAGAGAAGTGGCATTGAAAAGACGTCCTCTAGACCTCGGGCTAAAGGTGTCCGGGGACGAAAAGTTGCGGGGAGATTTCTCGGCCGACTCGGGTCATTGGCCCACCGCCCAACAGCTACAGGTGTATTGTTAAGCAGTCAAGTTGGCAGTGGCAGTCAGTCTGAAGAGCTTGTGACATTGGAAGATCGGAAGAGGTCAAATGTCTTCGCCAGAGCACACAGTGAGACGTAATCGGCAAAGGGCCTCGGCATCTACATGCACGTTCCAGCCAGTAGCGATGAAGGCATTACATCTCCATCTCCGGACATATTTACCCCGGGAATATCCAATTTTGACCGCATTCAGCTTCTAGAAAGATGTAAATAGAACGATCGCATTCCTGCAAGAAAGAAGGGAGTTGGAATGCAACGCAGGGAAGGAAAGGCGAGGCATGTTGGCCTGAGGCATACACATGTGATACTATCACGTGACACCATCCTGGCCACCCGACACAACTAACATCCATGTCAATATATCTTCAGGATTATATTAACTCGAGCCAAGCAAAACTGACATTGGAGTGTGCTATCAAATGGTGGATCAGACAGCAGGACAGATCAAGCAACCTTGGCAAACGCCACTGTCGATCCCACATTAAGCTTCTCAAAACCAGGTTTTGAAATTTGAACGGCAGAGAGAGGAAGGGCAAAACGCAGGTCCAAGTGGCCATCCGCGAGGGAGAGTCATATCGGCATCTAGAATAACACAATAACACCGACCATCCACTCATAAATCAACCCCTCACAAGAAGTCCTTGGAGATGCCGGCGCCTCCGATCCTCCGCCCATCACCCACATCTCCGCGGCTCCGCCTCTCCATGGCACGAACCCCTTTGCCATCATAGCCACTGACGTATAGCGTTACTCTAACCGCACGTCCAAGTATCTGAGCATGTACATTTCAAACAATGCGATAGATCTGGGACGCCACTGAGATGTGGGAACCGGATCGGTAGATAGCTGTGGCCAGTATTGAGATCATTCAAAAGTTAAACGCACTAGCACTCAGGAACCACTCTTTCTGGGTAGCCTATCTGATCCCACACCGCAATATTAAAGATTCCTTTGAACCACGGGGGCTTCATCCAGAGCTCGGTGTCTACACTTCGCCCCCAAGGGGCCTTTTGCACCGAATCATGTACTGCCGGAAAGGATGTCCCAAACATTATTCTCAAAGGATCTGAATGACGTCTCTGGGATCGACCATCGACCGGCACGGGTGAGACGGGGCGAGCTGCACATTAGTATCAACGGACATGCACAGTGACATCGTTTCCACTAATCTGCGAGTAAGCGACAGAAACCCCTCAACACCCCGGTCTGATTCGAGATAACGAGATCACAGCCGCATCTCTCCGAAAGATGGCCCCAGGTTCTCCTGAATTGTGGACATCTTGACGCGCAACACGGGGTCTAGTTACTAAAGACCTACGGTAAAGCGTTCTGCCCTTTTGCAAGACGTATCTCGCGCTTTCGGGTGTATTGTGGAAAAAGATATAGTGCATCGAACCACCAACACCGAGAAAAAAGAAAATACAATAATTTAGTTGCCTGGTAGCGATTCTCGCCATCCTTTTCGAGAAAACTTCGAATGCGCCGGGATGTGGTTCAACGACATCATTGCGGAGTCCACCCAAAAAATCTCTTTACATATTGAATCCATTTTTTGAGACATGACGTGGGTCGGGAAAAAATATCAGATTTTTCTTTTTTTTTGATACAATTTATGTGTCACCTAATTCGTCAGGTTGGGCTGAAAGTCGACTAAGATTTATAACAAAAAGAAGAGAAGTAATTGTGGTTGATAACTCTTGGCATGCATTAGCAGCATAATTTGATTGTTTTCGGCATGATGCATACTTGAGTACAAGGGAATAGGGGTGACATGAGAACAGGAGAACACGTTTATATAGACTATCACCTATAACCTACCTGGGTAATCCCCGCGCTGGTTATTGCGTAAGAAAAAAGGAGGGGAATAGACGCGGAGAGAGGAAAAAGCAAGGAGAGCACTGTTCAGGTTGTTTATGCACATTCTATACAAGGCAGGACTGCATGCCGATCAACACGGTCGAGGCTATCCCTTTTAGCGTGCCGCTAGTGTCCACGCATTCGCTCTTTTGATGCACTCGGGACACCAACGGCTTCCCGAGTCCGTATGTGCTACCGCCGAGACTTGGCGGGCTCCGTCGCATGCGATCCCGAGTGTTGTCCGTGTAAGGTCGCAGTACCACCTACGTAGAGGTTGGGTTGTCCAGAAATTCGATCGGTTTATCCGAGCGGAATTTGGACTATTGACTAATATTGGTGTTCGGCTAGCTTTCCTTTTTCCGCATTTTAGCAGCAAGGTCGGCAATATGTTCGCCCTTGCCGCCTGCCCTATATGTACTATACTAAGAGAGAGAAAAAAAGCAAAAATTGTTATTCGGTGTACTCCAATACTCTGTACCACTGGCCACTGTCCACTTAAGAAAACCAATCATAAAATCCATTATAGAGTCGACCCTCTAAAAATTTCCTACTCTCCAGTGATATTCGCCAACTGATGTCATCAGGGACGCAAACTACCGCTGCACCGCTGTGGGTCGGGAAGAAATGCTTAACACGCCATTATTGATGCATCCGGTAGGCTTGTCTCCACCCTCGCCTATGATTCGGTCGACCATCTGCGCCTTGGGTGGAGTGGGTTTGGGTGACGCTGTCGGCTTCGTTATTCGCATATGTCCCTTCTCACGGGGAAAGTGTACTATGGAGTAGGACACGCCCCACGATGCATCTCCTTGCCACTTTCGTCAATTGCGAGACATTCAAATATCTCTCTCCCTCCCCCCGGGGTTTCTCCTTTTTCCCTTCTCCGCGTGTCTCCTCTTTATCTCCAACCTTTGCCACTCCCACGTGAAGCCATAGTCCTCGATTCTTAGGACTTGTATAGGATTTCGTTCATCTCTTCACATCTTTCATCATGGCGCCGAAATATGCTGGCATGTCCGGCAGGCCCCTGTCGTTGACGGTGTCGACCATCGCCACTATGGGTTTCTTGCTGTTCGGTTATGATCGTATGTTGGTCTGTTCTATATCATATACACAGATGCTAACTATTCACAGAGGGTGTCATGTCTGGTATCATTGACTCTTCTGCTTTCGCCAAATTCCTTCCCATCACCGCTGGCGACTCTGTCATGCAGGCTCTGGTTACTGCCGTGTATGAGTTGGGTTGCCTGGTTGGTGCTATGTTCGCTCTGTTCACTGGTGACAGGATGGGTCGTCGTCTCATGATCATCGCTGGTGCCACCGTTATGATCGTTGGTGTCATTATCCAGGTTGCTGCCGTTGACGGCCATGGTGCTACCGCTCAGTTCTTTGTCGGCCGTATCATCACTGGTATTGGCAACGGCATGAACACGTCGACTATCCCTACCTATCAGGCTGAGTGCTCTCGCAGCACCAACCGTGGTCTGCTCATCTGTATTGAGGGTGGTACCATCGCCATCGGTACTATGATTGCCTACTGGATTGACTTCGGTGCCTCTTACGGTCCCGACGACCTTGTTTGGCGTTTCCCCATTGCCTTCCAGATTGTCTTCGGTGTTATTATCATCGTTGGAATGTGGTACCTCCCCGACTCTCCTCGTTACCTCATCTCCAAGGGTAAGGTCCACGAGGGTGAGTATGTCCTGGCTGCTCTTGGTGGCTACGAGATCGACGCCCACGAGACCCAGATCCAGAAACAGCTTGTCATCGAGTCTATTGAGGCTGCTGGAGTTGCCGACGGTGCTGGATACTCTGACCTCCTGACTGGTGGCAAGACCCAGCACCTCCGCCGTATGCTTATCGGTTCCTCTTCCCAGATCGCCCAGCAGCTGTCTGGTTGCAACGCTGTCATCTACTACCTGCCCGTTCTCCTGAGACAATCCCTGGGCGAGGAGGAGAGAATGTCCATGATCATCGGTGGTGTTAATATGATCGTTTACGCCATCTTCGCTACCTTCTCCTGGTTCTTCATTGAGAAGATTGGTCGCCGCAAGCTCTTCATCGGTGGTATGACTGGCCAGATGGTGTCCATGATTATCGTCTTCGGTTGCTTGATCCCCGGCGGCCCCGGACCTTCCAAGGGAGCCGTCTTCGGTCTGTTCCTGTACATTGCCTTCTTCGGTGCTTCCATCCTGCCCCTGCCCTGGTTGTACCCAGCCGAGATCTCGCCCCTGCGCACTCGTGCCAAGGCCAACGCCGTCTCGACCTGCTCTAACTGGCTGTTCAACTTCACTGTTGTCATGATCACTCCCGTCATGGTCGCCAACATCAAGTGGGGAACCTACCTGTTCTTCGCCGTCATGAACGCCATCTTCATTCCCCCCATGATTCTGTTCTACCCCGAGACCGCTGGCCGCAGTCTGGAGGAGATCGATATCATCTTCGCCAAGGGCTACTGCGAGAACATGAGCTACGTCCGCGCTGCCAAGGAACTCCCCAAGCTCACCGACGACGAGATCGAAGCCAAGGCCATCGAGTACGGCTTCGAGTCCAGCCGGCGCACTGGCGATCTCGAGAAGAGTGGCGAGAAGCCTTCTCCCCGCAGCGACTCCAGCGATGGTGTTGCCAACGGTCACCAGGAGACCTACGCCGAGCCCCGCTCTTAAGCGGTTGCTTCCTAGGCGTGACAGCGCTGTGCGCTGCCATTTCTTAACGTTATGGTTGTGCTGTTCTCCTTCCATCTTAACCCGTGGTTTGGGTGAGACCAGATTCACATCCTTTTCTTTTTCTTTATTATCATCTTATTTCCTTTTGATCTTATATACCCATTGTTTCTGGCCTGGAGGATGAACACCCTGGCCCTGGTTGCCGGTGACTAATCCTGTCTGCATTCCTTGGATCTGAAGTGCAGAGCTCTTGTGTTGATGATTTCATGTCTTTGTTATGACCTAAAATGGTTCGGTCGGCATGGGAATTATCGCGATTCATGTATATGCGCTTTGTATGACTACAGTACCAATTCATGGATCCACCACATTACTTCAAACTGTAGATCGTAAATAGTAAGCTTTATGAATGTCTCATTTATAAATATTCCTTATATTATAATAGTCCCTGCATGTGTCAAACGGCCTGAGTTTAAAAGTGACTCATGCAAGGCAGTGCTTCCTCGCATGAGGCTCAGATCTCATCTCCAGCAAGGAGGAACCACTCACAGCGCAGAACCGCACTATACATGTAGCTTACAGTCAAAACTATTCTGGATAACTTCCAAGACATAAACTTCCCAGCTGACCGATCGGCTGATCCCGGCCGACCAAGTTTCCCTCCTTATCTTCTCCCTTTCATTCACCTCACCACCTCACTCTCGCTGGTGCAATACCATGCCCATTCAACCAACCAGCCCCCACATTCTGAATGCGCCATGAGTTCGAGTCTCGAGGCCAAGATCGTCGTCCTCGGCGCGCAAGGTACGTCCCTGTCCTTTCCTGCAAAGGGATGTGGATGTGGGTGTGGATCTTGTCTACCAGACAAGCTACAAGTAACTTATATGCGATGCACTATATCCCCACATACTATCTACACTGCTATCTACTATGGCATATAATCTAACACTAACGCCAATCCAGGTGTAGGCAAAACCTCCCTCGTGGAGCGCTATGTCCGAAACGCCTTTAACCCCGCAACAGCCTCAACAGTCGGCGCGTCGTTTGTCACAAAGCGCGTCCTGGACCATACCTCGGACACCATCGTCCGACTCCAGATCTGGGATACAGCCGGGCAAGAGCGATTCCGCAGTATCTCACGTCTCTATTATCGCGGCGCGCACGCGTGCCTGCTTTGCTATGATGTCAGTGATCTTTCCCCACTTTTGACATGACCTCCTTTGTTCTACATAACCCATCATGTAACTATACAAAAGCAAGACAACCAAAACTAACACATGTCATAGATCACAGATGAATCCAGCTTCCAAGAAATGGCCGGCTGGCTGCGCGAACTACGCAAGAATATCGGCACAGGCGAAGACAATCTAGACCCGCTAGTCATCCATGTGGTTGGAACGAAATCCGATATCGTTACCATGGATCCCAGTCGCCGACGCATCCCGTTCGAACGCACAATCGCGTATGTAGCCGAACAACTTTATCCCACACAAGCATCTACACCGCCGGCTACGGCAACAAGTGGCGGGATGAGTATGGGACTGGGATTCAGCACGAGTGTGTTTGGCGGTAATGGGGGGAGCAACAATACAAATACCAACACAAACACAAACACGAATATCAATACGAATATGAATGGCAGCGGGGGCATCTCATCAACAGCCCTACAAAGCCCAGATTCAAAACGCAGTTCTGCGTTCTGGGGACAGGAAATTGGCTGGGATTGTTGTCATGAGATTAGTGCCAAAGATGGGGAGGGCATTGATGAGGTTTTCCGGGTTATTACTCGGAAGTTGGTTGAGCAAAGGAATAAACGTGATACGGAGCTTGCGCTTTCGATTGCGGGGACGCCTATGACTGCTGGTGGTGTCTCTGCTGGCCCGTTTAGTCCAGGTTTTGTGGACGGCACGGGGAGTTTTCGGTTAGGGGTTGGGGATAAGAGGAGGAGTTGGTTGGGTCTAGCTTCGCCTTCTGCTGGGATTGGAAATGGGAGTGGGAATGGGAACGAGAATGGGGAGGAGGTGCAGATTATGCAGAATGCGAAGGGGAAGGGGAGATGTTGTTGATTTGATTGTTGATACTGGCGTGGGTTGGCATGTACTTGTCTATTTTTGCATCAGTGCTAGGTTGGCGTTTGAGGGTTTGTGTGATTAACGGTGGGACGTTCGTGTCTGGATGGGTTTATGTGCTTTTCTGTTTGTCTATGTCTTCTGCTACTCACGGTAATATTTCGGACATCTTGAATGATATATGACTATCACGTTATCGGTTCGGGTTTATCAATATAGTACTATCGCATACAAGAAGGACATAGTCTACTCGACCTATTGACTGCTAAGTCAATGATATTTGATGTTTTCAATTCATGGCTCATCGAGCTGACCAAGGCTTTTGATATTTAATCTTGTTTGGCAAAGATGAGATATAAGTGTTTCGCTGGCAGTGTGAGAACAAGGCAATGTAACCCACTGCGCCCTATAAGGCTATGCAGACATTCATTGAGAGTGGCTCGCTAGATAATGTTCTAGAACGCTGATTCTTTGGAATGAATGTGTGCTATGCGATGGCAATTTGATTAACCAAACATATGGATAAAAGCTATTTAGCCGAGGACAGAATCTCGAGAATAGCTATCCATAAAAACATCTGCCTCTTTTGTATTGTTTACCTACGTAATCGGATGATCCATAGATCTGTGGAACCAGTGGAGTCGAACCCGGCTATACTGCAGATCCCACTTTGTTATGGTTATACAGGTACAAGGTATATCCGAGCTTTATATTATGCTCATTGTGTTCTTCAATCTCCGACCTCGGTGCCTTGATAACACCAATCACCTCCCCTGCACCCGTGAGCACCCTGTGATAGGTCTCAATCCCTATCGCTCAGCCTCACCCCCTCTTCTCGCTTGCCGGGACATTTACTTCCCAATCAGTTAGCGAAAAGTTTACCTAGTAAGTAGGCACTGAAGCGAGGTAAGGACCGTGCTTTTGCTAGCAGATTACTCCGACTTCCGATACTCCGTACATGCCCAGGTATAGGTAGGCACTGCCCTATTTTCAATCCAGCCTGCTGACGCACTGAGTCAAAGCTAGGCGATACGGTTCTTGCTTCTTCTCTTCCCTGAGTAATCTGTGTCCCTGTTCTAGGCTTCTTTTTTCCTTTTTATCCCTGTATTTCTTGACTTTTCTAAGCTTTCTCTCCAACATTGGCCATCATATACCACTCTATCGGCTGCCATTTTCCCGATCGGAACGGTCAGCGAGACTCCTGTCATAACTCAACCCTATCCACCCCTCCCCCGTCCCCGGTTATAATGTCGGGGGTGGAGGTGATTGCAGTCGTAGCCTGCGTAGCAGCCGGTATATCCCCCATCCCCTTTATAATCTTCACCTAAGCTAAGAATCAAAGTCGTATCGGCCTACAACGATGGCAGCCGCATGTTCACAGCAATCCGCAAAAAATGGCACGAGCGCCGCCGCCAACCCGACCAGTCGACTCGGGATCTGGAATGGTCACTCGCACGAGGCCACCACGAGATCCTATCTCAGTATAATAGACACCACCAAGAACTAGGTCGACTATACGCAGAAGGCGACTCGATCGCTCGCGAACAGATGAAGGATATCATTATCACACTTCAAGGTGCATTGCTGAGACATCTCCGCGAAGCACAGGAGCAAGGCTCCAGCTTAGATCTGATGGCGCTACAGATGGAGTCTGAGCAAGGCCGTGTTCGGACCCTCGTTATTCTGGGTGATCTTTACCAGCGACTGGCAAGGGCGTCGCCTATTCCGCCTACCCTCTCGATGACTTTTGATCCTACGTATGTGAGAAGTCAGTACATGTATGGGGCCTACCTTCCTAATGACCCGGACCGATTCTCGCCATCCCCTACCCGGGAGCCGATGTATCTGTCTGGTGGGTATCCAGTTTCATCGGGGGCGTTCCTGCTCGAGGGGTTGTCTGCGTCGCCTACAGATACGCTGGGTGCGTCTGGCATTTTCGAGACGAGTCCATCATCTCGGAGACGATCGTCGGGGTTCGGGTCGGCTGTTAGTAGCATGGGAAGTATGTTCTCTCGATCTCCGCGCGGGAGCAGGTCTTCTTTCCCATCCTCTGCACCTGAGCCTGGGTTCCTTGCCCAGCCAGGCTTCTGCCACACCGTCTCGCCATCAACACCAGAGCCAGTAGCAGAATTGCCAGTACCGGAAACACCAGTGCGGTCACCACGAAGACCCAACCTCCGCCTAAGCCCAGTCGAAGATGACAATCTTTGGGGAGAACAATGGAAACGCGAAATAGCAGATTCAGACGACGACGAAATCAGCGATACATACCATCCCCAGCTCAAAGACGAACCACCAAACCATCACCTATCCCCAATAACCGCAAACATAATATCAATGCACCCACGCCGCCAATCCCTCCCACCCCCATCAATAGCCTCAACAGACTCAACCCCCTCAAACCCCTCGACAACCTCAACCTCCTCACATACAACCCTCTCCCCAGCCCCCTCCTCCCAACCCACCGGCCCAAAATGGTCCCCAAGCAAAACAAACAACTACCTCGGCTTTTGCAAAGGCGCCTGGAAAGTGCACACAGGCTTCCGCGGCTTCAAAATCCACACAGAACCTGGAAGTGGCTACTACACGCAGGTGTCCTGGCTGCGCTGCGTGAAATGCGCCTTTGAAGGTCCCATGGCTGCCAAGTGCAGTAGCACTAACCCGCAATTCGACGATTCCGTGCGCGTCCACTCACCCACGAGGATCCGATATCGCTGGGAGTTCCTAGCTAAATCGCATGTTCCTTGTAAGCGGGATTCGGCGGTGTCTTTTTCGCCTGTTGCACCGCGGGGTGCGTTTTGTTGTATGTTTTGTTGTGTGGAGGTTCGCGGGTCCACTGGTGTTTATGGGAATTTGGATACCTTTATGGCGCATTTGGGCGAGGTGCATCGGTTTGTTGGGGCGCGTGCGTTGGCGCTTTTGCCTACTAGTACTAAGTGTGTTTTTGGGAGGGTTGCGGGTGATGGGGAGTATTTTGATGTTAATATTTGTTGATGGAGGGCGATTGGTGGATTGAGGGAGGGGGGTTAGTGCGAGTTACCATTTCCTTTTTTTCCAGTCGGTTGAGCTTGGCTTGGCTTGGTTTGTGCTTTGCTCTGTGCTGCTTTTTGGACTGGATTGGCGTTTATACCCTTGGTGTTAGGGTGTTCGGTGTATACATATACTTTGTGAACTTATAGAGAGGATCAAAATCCCGGGTTTATCCGTTTGGCCCGAATACTCGGATCGCTTATCCCTGGTTTGATTATGATACTAGTTTCTTTTGGCCAATACCGAGACTGATGTCTATGTGGAGATTATCTATGTGTTAGGATCTCGTCTATCACTTGGCGTATCAATCCAGGGTCGTAGTGACATCAGTGTCAACCAATCCACGCGAATATATAATCGCCGTGGCATCCCCTGCATACAAGCATGACGAAGCAAAGAAAAACATGGAGGCCCTTGCAGTGGAGAAATATCCCAGATGAAGGCCCAGATAGGGGGTCGGCGATGCCGATCCCTGATTTAGTCCAGACGGGACCCGTGGATCAGTTTGAGATTAAAGGGTCTGCTTACTGCGAAGAATGACCGACGGGGAAGGTGTGAGACTGACTACTCTGTAGGTAACTATATGTAGTTAGATATAACGTTACCCCTGAATGGAGAACCCTGCAGCAGACAAGCCTTAACCAAGTCTCTTCCCATATTAATTACAGTGTAAAGGTACCTGGCCTACCGTAGTCAGTCCACCAATCGGCGATCAGCACAGATAACCTGTGACGCTAACCCCAAACGGAGAAAGTGTGACCCTCGATGCTGTCCCTTTTTTTTATGATCGTCTTCTGTTCAATGCCCTCAGGACACTACCTGGGCACTTTCATCTGACATCTGTCGCATTCCTCCGTTGATCGACATCCCTTCGTCCCTGGTCTCGTGACGTGTGATCCCGAAAAATACCCCGGCCTCCACATGGGGCGGTGCTGATTACTTTAAGATTGCGCTGTTTTAGACTCTGGCTTGGTGGCTTCTTCATTTCTCGGACTTTTTCCCTCCTCTCCTCTCACCCTCTATACACCCCCTCCCTCCGTCCCGAGGACCGCGTTATGCCATGAGGCTGTCACTACGCATCGGTGCGGCTCTCGCCCTCATCATTATTACCCTTGTGCTCGTCAACCGCAGTTTAAAGCCCGAAGCTCAATCCCTCAAAGATCTATGGCGATTCGATACCGCCGCATTCCGGACAGCCCTAAAGCCCAAACAGCCCGAAGAAGACCCATCGGCTCGCCGGAAATGGCGGGTCGCGTCGGATAACAAGCCTGCTTTGGTCTACCAGACCACCCAGATCGAGGTGCCGAATCAGGGTGCCTTGGTCATGGCCAAGTTGAAGGCCGAGGACACATCATGGGCCTCAGGCGAATTGTCAGAGTAAGTACAACGCATTGCGTGTTTTCCCGAAACGAATTGCAATTGACCGGCTCTGGTTTCTGCAGATGGCGCAGCGTTATCTATACCGTCGACGATACAAATGCCCCGATACATACCCCCAAGAACAAGGGCAAGGAGTCTCTCGCCTACCTCCAATACCTAGTTGACCACTACGACGACCTTCCTGAGACAGTTGTCTTCCTCCACGCCCACCGCGACGGTCTCCCCGCCGGATGGCACATTGATACCATGGAGTATAGCAATGTGGATTCGGTTCGCGCGTTGCAGAGAGAGTTTGTTCAGCAACAAGGATTCGTCAACTTGCGATGCCAATTGTCACCTGGATGCCCCGATGCTATCCAGCCCTTCCGCCAACCCCCGAAGTACGAGAACCCCGGTGAACAATATTACGCGACAGCCTGGAAGTCGTTGTTCCCCAACGAGAAGATTCCTGAACAGATCGCCGCGCCATGCTGTTCCCAGTTCGCTGTTTCCCGCGGCCAGATCCTCCAACGCCCTCGTTCCGACTACCAGCGCATGTACGACTGGGTCATGAACAACGACCTGCCAGATGACGCGACCGCCAACATTATGGAATACACTTGGCACATTATTTTCGGCAGAGATCCAGTCTTGTAAGTACTCCCCGAGGCAGGAGCTTGTCCATATACTAACATAATACCAGCTGCCCCGACCTCTTCCAATGCTACGGTGACGTCTACGGCGAGGAAGTCGTTTGGTAAATTTAACCCTTCAATCCACATCCACTTCCTAAGAGCAAATTGCTCTCCTGTATCAACGACAACCCTTCTTCTTCTTAGCCAGCACTTGCTGGATTCCCTAACCAGAGGGACAACCAATGGCAACTGGAACGCGAACAGTGCCAATGCCACTTGATGAATCGTTTCGATGTTTATTTTCCGTCGGGGGATTGTACATGTTTTGAAAGAAGTTATGCCGACATTGGCTTCGGCTATTCAGACATCAGCGACTTGTTTTATCTCGCTTGGTTTACATGTCTTCAAGTTAGCGTTAGTGAGACATGCCTTTCGTGCCGCGGCACTTGTGTACATTTTACTTTTACCCTTTTTTTTTTTTGGAAAACAGCTATCATTTCAACTTGAACTTCCTGCCTGGGCTAGCATACCTGTATCGTTTATATGTTATGCATCACCCCTCCCATGCGCAACCATCTGCCTCGCACCCTCATCCCACCGATACATCCCTCCATCCCCAACATTATAATGGTAATAATTATCCGTCCCGCCTGGCACAACAGCCCGCCGAAACGTAATGTTAATCCGACCCTTCGTCGCTTCCCCGGCTTTCCCTTTCCGCTTGGGTATACTATGTAACCAATGCGCCTGCGTAGGCCCCCGCATAACAACCATATCGCCCGAACCAAGATTCATCTTGATCTGCTGTTGTGTCTGTAACTGCGTTGGTGGAACACTGCCAGCATTCAAACCGTGATTGGATCCTCGGGTTGTACAAGTATCCATCTGCATCCCACCCCCAGATCCCATTCCAAATGCATGTACAGGTCTCGTATTCCCGTTCCCAACAGGCGCATAAGGCTTATGCTTCATCAAAAAGTCCCTCTCACCACCCAACGACAAAGAAGCAATATTAGGCTCGACGCCGAGAAACCGCTCGTCGTCCGAGTGGAAGGCTATACTGTCCTCGCCGCTGGCGTAGTAATTCACAAGACAGAAATTATAGCTTTCTTTCACGTTTGTGTCTTTCTCCACTTGCCGCCGGAGGATATCCAGACAGGGTGGGATAGGCCGGGGCGTTTGTTTGTATTTGTGTTTTGGCGGTTGGAGGTTCGTTTTGGAGTCTAGGAGGATGAGGTTGAGGTCGTGACTGTTGTTGTTGTCGCCATTCAAGTCTGAATTTGGATCAGACTTGGATTTGGTATGCTTGTGCTTGTTCTTATCTTCGACAAATATCCCCGTCTCATCAACGCCGAAAACAGTCGTGAAGCGAGGCGTGTTTATCTGCGTCTCTGTATCGCCTCTTCGTGCTTTATATTGAACGCGGTAGAAGGGGAGTTCGCGACGGAGGAATTTGAAGAGTTCATTTGCTGTTTCTTTTGGTATGTACGGTTGGAAATGGAGGAGGTCGAGGTGTGGTTGGTTTTTTTGTTCGCGGGGTGCTCGGGCTGGTGTTGCATGTTCTAGGCCGACTTGGATATGTGTGGGTAGGTTTGCTATTGGGATTGGGTAGCTTGGGTGTGTGCTTGGGGGAATTGGTTCTTCTAAGGGTGTGGTTTGGGGTGGTGGTGAGGTTTTGAGGGTTGGTTGGGCTTCTTCGTTTTTGGGACGTTTTGGTGTTGAATTTGAGGGTGTGTTGGTTGATAGTTTGAAGAATGCATCTAGAGTCCGTTTTGCCATTGTTGCTTGGGATTTGGAGGTGATTGTAGAATTATGAACTGAGACGCGACGGGATCTGGAAAAGAGCAGGTGATGTCATTCCGTGCAGTGCTTCGATCTATACAATTTCCCGATTTGGCTTGGCGTGACGTACTTGGACTTTGTTCAGGTGCATATATAGCTAGCATTAGTTATGAAGACATGCTAATCTACAGCAACACACCTTCCGTCTCTCCAATCCTCACAACATATTTAACAGCAGATGCCTTACCAGCCTCCAAATCCTTCAATGCCCCTTCAACACCTCCCAGTCCACCCTTCCGCACTTCATACGGGTGCCCAGAGAACCAACCCTGCGCCAAACCGCGTCCAATAAACTGGAAAAATGCAGCCCCGAACTCCTTATCACCAAGGGCCTTTCCCTCAGCTGGAGGCATATGAACAGACCCGACCATTGTGCGACGGATTGCAATGCCATCAGCAGCCTCGTCACTTGGAGTAGGCAAAACGGTCGTAATAGCTCCAGGCTTCGTCAACGCAGCACCTAAGTTGACATGGCTTCCCTTCTGAGACACAGCATCATAGGCATAGTGCACGGGCGCGCCATTGGCAGCAGCCCTGATCTTCGAGCGGACGGCGTCGTCGCCTTCACGGTAGTCGACGACGGTGTCTCCTTTCGATGGTTCGAGGAGATCCTCGACGAAAGGTGCGCCCTTGCCTGCTACAGCGATGATTGGGTGGATGTTGGATAACTTGGCGAATTTAATGGCGAATGCGCCCACTGCACTGGCGCCGCCGTATACAACTAGCGGGGTGGGTTTTCCAGCTGGGCTCCAGGGTAGAGGGAGCTTCAGCTCTTGGTACAAGCCCAAAGCTGCAGTCATTGCTGCAAGGGGGATGGTAGCAGCCTCTGCTCGAAGTGGTTAGTTGGGGCTTTAAGCGAACTCCATCTGGATCACGATCTCGTCATACCTTCAAAGCTGGTCTTCTCGGTGAGATGGAAAGTAGTATGTTCCCACGCAATGGCATATTCGGCATAACTTCCATGAGGACTCATCATCTCGTGGAACGCCGCTACTTTATCGCCCTTGCGGAACTTCTGGACTCCTTCGCCGACCGCCTCCACGTAACCTGCGATATCATCGCCTTGGTTTATGACGTTGTCGGGCTGCCATTTAGGGACTTTCCAGTCCTTTGGGTTTGTGCCGGATACCACAACTTTGATTAGGACTTGGCCCGGCTGGGGAGTTGGGATTTCGACGTCGCGGATTGTGACCGCGACGGTCTGGTCGATGATGGCTTCTTTCATTGTGGGAGTGTATGTAATTGTATTGAAAGTTGATTGTGGAATATTGTACAGAGTACGACTAGATTCCTGCTCTTAAACCTCCCAAGGTCGTCACCCTCTTGATTTGTAATCGCAAATTATTAATGGAGTTATGCTGGAGCTTCCGCGCATAAATGAAGTCATTCACAGTGGGTCTTCGCGGGGTTGAACTGCGCCTGGTTGATCTAGGAATTGTCACAATTGTACTTGAACTCCCATTCATAAACTAACCTCGTCCATAAAGAGATAGGTAGATAGTATATCCGTCACCATGCCATAACCCCAGACCTCGCCACAAGCTTCCCAGTCGACGAATCCCTCTCACCCTCAACAACCATCTTCAAGAATTCCCCACCAATACTGGGATGCTTCGCCCCCATAGCCTTGGCTTTCTCCGGAATCCCTCCAAGATTAGTAGCAAGCATCCCCGGCCCAACAGCCCAGACTTTGACCCCATCAGCCTTGAGCTTATGATTCCAATCCAGCATCAGCATGTTTAGAGCAGTCTTGCTGCAGCGATATCCGATAGTCTCGAAGTCGATTTTCTTCGGCCAACCTGCTGGTTGAGGAGGTGTTGGAAAGTAGGATTCACTGGCTTGGTTTATGGCAGACAGACCAGCGACGAAGATCAGACGGGGGTCTGCCGACTTGAGCAGGAGGGGCATGAATGTCGCTGTCATCACATTCGTGCCTGCCACGTTGACGTCGTATGCTTTGTTGAAGCATTCACGAAGAGAGACTTTACCATCTGTGTACTCAATATCGAAGGTTGCTCCTGGGTGGTGTTAGTGTATTACTTCGCTTGGTATGCGTTGAGATAAAGAGACCCGGTACTTACCAGCATTGTTGATTAGGACATCAATGTGACCATGACTTGCCTCAACTTGCTTGAACGCAGTCTCAATAGACTCATCGCACGTAAGGTCGATCTGGACAGGTTCAACGGTGTTGGCTGCACCGGGGCATTCGCTGTACAGAGTCTCGATCGCTGCATTGGCTTTATCCAGGGATCGACTACCCATCAAGATATGATATGGCTTGTCGGACCCAAACAGCGCTTTGACTGTCTCATAGCCGATTCCACCATTACCGCCGGTCACAGTTACGATCTTTCGCAACGCCATTTTGATCTGTCGTTTATTGTTAGAGCTGTGTTGCTACGTCCCTCTTTTATAGCCGAGTTAATATTCAGTGGAAGTATTCAGAAGTTATTTTCCAAACTCCGATACAGCCGGTGATCCTCAGTGTTGTATAATAGCCCTCTGTTGTCACGGAGATAAGCGTGGCTACGCGGAGATAGATGGCTGCGCCCCAAGCACTCGGATTTTGGACCTTTGCACTTCTTGAATGCCGTTAACTATACAGAATGACAATTTCACATTTATCCTAGGCAGCTATTTTGACCGATAAATATCTGTACGAATGTGATGAAACCCTTTCATCTGTTTGGCTGTCTTGATGTCAACAGACTTATGACACATTTAGACTTTGCCAGAAGCCTGCTGAATTTATCTGGTATATGAAATGTTAGAATAATGCCTACATTTATTATGCTACGGTAGCTTAGGGAGATAACCATGTGACTTTTTATAGCACGGATCTGTCCGTCCTCTAAGCGTTTCTAAATAAATAGAGCCAAAATATTCCAGTAAGACACTTCGCGTCACCTTATCGTGCGACTCTAGAATCAATTACGCTGCACGTAAGAGAGTTAGAATGTACCAAAGAAATGGGCCAAAATAGATGTTTGTGATCTTAATCATTTTGATCGTCTGTTCCGACCGGTTATTGGAGACAACACTGCTACGCCAAGTCGACGGCGATTCGAGCTGAGTGCCATCGTCAAAGAGAATACCAAATCCAACCATCGGCCGCTCGAGCTGGTTTTGAGCTCTACGTACGGATAAAGTGGAAAGGTTTATAAGTGCCCAGCTTCGGTACACTCAACACGCAGTTTCATACCGAACGGTCATTACTTTGCTGGAACTGACTTCCTTGATTGTGGATTGTTTTTTGCTTATCAGACAGACTCAATCATTAACATCTTTCCTATATCCCTAGTACAAGGTAGTGGATTCGTCCCCTGGAACCCGTTGTTCTTTCCAACATATGCTTTCCTTAACCATCCAGTAAAGTCTTCAAGATATCAGCAGGTGTACGCTTTGGAGCAGCAAGCTGCAGGATCTCCTTGCTGGTTGTAGAAGTCGAGCATTTCCCTTCCCAAGCTGTCTCGGCGCCCCGCTTGCTTGAGTAGATGACGTTCTTCGATTGCTTCGTTGCCGCATATTGGTACTCATACAGCATGTCGATAAACGAGACGTCTTTGTAGGTAACATCCTTGACGGGCGTACCGATGTGCTGCTCTATCATGTCGACGACCTGCTTTCCAGTAATATCCACGGGTCCATTGAGAACGTATTTGGCCTTGTTGTGGACGGAGGTGTCATCCTGAGACAAGAGATGAGCTGCAATGATACCAACCTCGTCAGGGTCGATAATGCCGACGGGTGCATCCTCTGACAGCATCAGCCGAAGGGTATCCTGCTCGCCAGTCTTGCGGTATTTCTTGATGAACTCCGCAGCAGGGGACATGATGAGTGGCGTGAAGACGTTCGGCTGAAGAGACGTCCACTGCAAGTTGTTGAACTGGGCTGAGCCGAGGAGAGCCTCGATGGCCCAGTGTTGGCGTGGATAGTAGGCAGGGCAATCTGGGCGAACATTCGCAGCAGTAGTCGAAATTCGAACAACATACTTGACGCCGGCACTGAGGGCGTTGACGTGGAAGGTCGACTCCTCGGCAAATTGGTTGGGTTCATTGTGGGGTGCAATGAATGCTCTGGCAACTTGGTGTTCGCGGAGCCAGTCGGCGGTGATTTCAACCCAGTTCTGTTCGATCACTTCAACTCCGGGTAGCTTGGCAAGCTCTTGGGCCACTGGACTGTGCGAGGAGCGGGTAAGAGCAATGATGCGATGCCCGGACAAAGTGCTGCTTGATTGAAGCAACTTTGGCAATGTCTGAGCGACAGCTCGACCGGTGTTGCCAGTGGCGCCGACGATGAGAATGGAAGGAGTCATACTTTCGAAGTATGAAATATATAGTTCACACTGAGCTGTGGGCCAAATCTCAGGGGCTTTGCTAGATACTTATACCTTAGGGTTGGGATGGTGATTAATGAATAGTAATCCAAAAATTAGGAATCAATAAGGGTATATGGGAGTTCGAGAGTCATGATTCGCTTCGCAGAATTCTACCGGCCTCCCGCTGGCCGCCCGCCGGCATCCCACTGAGCAAACTACAATCTACACTTGACTGTACCCTTTCCATTACTTTTTGCTCACTTTTACTGCGAGAAAAAGTCCCTGCGTTAGTATACCACTGTCTTTGCTTTTCACATACCGTCCGCGCAATTTTCGTCTCAAAGTGTGTCTCAGACCTTCGTCATACGTTAGCGGTGGGGAGGCCGGCCGGTGGGAGGCCAAGGAGTCACTTTGCAACCCGAACACCCACGCAAAGCTCAGCGAGGCCCACTCTTCATTCCATTTCCAGGCAATTTCTATAAAAAAAAGGGGTTGATAGGGCCAGTTTTACTGATGGAAGGGTTCGGCAGCAAAATCGAGTTCCCTCATAGTTCTTCGGACCCTTCCGGATACGCATCTGACGCGTTTAGGTGTCAATTTCCTGGGTGCAATGCTAGGTACCGGCGTAAGGAGCATCTCAACCGCCATGAAGGATCAAAACATGCCCAGCAGCAGGTCTTTGTCTGTTCCACCTGTGGTCGGGAATTTGGACGAAGGTATTCACGTGCTTACACTCATCCTCGGACAAGACCAACTCTGATTATAGAACGTCCATTTTAGTGATACGCTTCGACGCCATGTTCAAAAACAGCACAAGATAACAGAGCCTCTGAGTCGTGCGCGCCGAGCTTGTGCGAGTTGCCATGCTGGCAAGACTCGGTGCGAAGGTGGCGTGCCGTGTGAGGAGTGTGTTCGTCGCAACATTCAATGTTCTCTTCAAGATCATGCTGGTATCGCTGAAGGGCAACATACCGGTTCATTAACCCCACCTTCCTCATCTCCAAACCTTGAACAGACACAGTCATATTATTGGGAGAAGAGGAAGCAGTGCGTTGATCGTTATTTTGAGGTATTCCATCCGCGTTGGCCTTTCATTCATCGGGGATCATTCGATGTACGCCAAGAAATACCACTACTTCTGCAATCAATGGTGGCTATAGGCGTGTGGGTATCAGGAGACCAGTCCGCGCAGTCTGCGGCGATGGAGCTTCATGACAAACTTGACTTTGCTATTCGAGATCAAAGGGTATGCCGGATCACCAGTTCACAATGTACGCTGTACATGATTTGCTGACGTGTAAACCATAGGAGAAATGGGATGCCTCAGAAGTAGAGGGGGCCTGCAGCGCCTGCTTCTGGCCAATAGCGACATACCAGGCTATCCTACTACATATTATCTTCTCTGTTGTTATGAAAAGCGAAGGTGTTGTCAACCTCGACCTCAAAGCGTCTATCTCCGATGCGGATTTAGCGTTACTCAAATCACTTGTTGGAAGCTGTCGAAGGCTGGGGATGTTCTTTTACCCGAGCATGCTTGCAAGGTATAAAGAAGCTGACCTGCCCTCATTTGTCTGGGTTGGTATTGAGGAAGTCAAGCGATTCAATATAGCACTGTATAAGTTCTGTGCGAAATTGAGCAGCTCTAATCGGGAGGACAGGCCATTGCTACCTGCGAGCGAACTTCAATTCCCTCTCCCAAGCAATAATCCCTTGTGGAATTCAGTTGAGAGAGATGAATGGGAAGCTAATTGGAAGGAAGAGCATATGGTCCCCTTGAACGATGACTTTCAGGGGAAGTGGATTTCAAAGTTTGCAGATGTATTGGAATTTCTTGGGTTATAACTATCAAATCTTTCAATGAACCGAGCGCTGGTGGGATACCGGTGGGATGCCAGGTGGGAGGC